AAGGTCATTCTCGGCGGACCCTTTGGATTCTCGTAAAAATTGGTACAACTATAGTCCATGAAGAGCTGATTTCAAAAATATCAGTATCTTACTTTGGCAAGCAGCACGAACTGATATATAGTAGGTCAAAGGTCAGAATCAAGGTCACGTATGTGTAATACAGGAAGTGGAAGTGACCACGTGGTCAGGTGAGAAAGGAGGACCCCTTAGATTTCAATAATTTTATGCTCAATGATGCAACCAATGTTGGAGATGCTACTGCTGGTTTTTCTTGTTTTGGCAAGGTCAAACTACGGATAAATGACTGGTCAAAGGTCAAGGTCATTTTTAGCGGACCCTTTCGATTCACATATAAATTTTTATCACAATACAATTTTTAATTCTGGTTATTATTCTGCGTATTGTTAGGCTTGGCAGGTCTTAAATTATTTTAAAATATTTAAATAATTTAACCTTTAATTCACCTATCCCAACATGGCTACCGTGCGAGCACCTATCAAAACCTTGATGAAAATAACAAACCGAAAATCTGAGAAACGCGATTTGACCCGTGCCAGTGCACTGGCCTTAGGGGTGCTGAAGAACTTGATTTGGTAGGTATAGTGTGTTTTGGTGTGGGTTAATGTAATTTTAATGTATTGCACGTTGCCTGATTTGCGACACAACTTACAAAATTGAAATAGCAGTCGTAAGTAGTGTCAGTGTCGCAAGTTGACCTTGCCTTGGGGTATACCGAATAGGTCACAGGTCATTCGGGTCATTGCCTCGAAATTTACGTGGTACGTGTAAAATTGTTTGAACTTGAGATCCTGAAAATTTTGTTGCAATCCATTGATGCTAATGCAAGTTATAGAGCTTGAACTGACAGGTCGTTTATGAGGCCTCCATCCATGCCAGCGAGGCAGCAAGAGTGTTGAAAATGGTCCATAATATGCTATTTCACATTTATTGGGGTATTCAGGAATTGGAAGTAGCCTAACACCATTCCAGCAACTACTGGCGAATCCAGAAAGGCGGTCTTGGACGCTGCAAGGGTCATCCCCCCAAAAAAATTCTCCCGATTCCAAAAACGTGTCCCAGATGACCCCCACGACCTCCAACGAGCTCTGCGATGACCCCAAGTTGACCTTTTTGACCTGATGTGTCCCAGATGACCTCTGTGACCTCCAGTTTAGCTCTGATAACTCTAAGCTGACCTCTGTGACCTGGCATGTCCCAGATGACCTCCATTTGAGCTCTGTGATGACCCCAACTTGACCTCTGGGACCTCACGTGTCCCATATGACCTCTGTAACCTCTAAGTGATCTCTCTGATGACCCTAAGCTGAACTCTGTGACCTGACATGTCCCAGAAGACCCCCAGTTGAGCTCTGTGATGACCATAAGTTGACCTCTGTGACCTGACGTGCCTCCAAGTTGCCCTTTGTGACCGACGTGTCTCAGCTGCATCAGTGGTCTCCAATTGAGCTCTGTGATGACCCCAAGTTGACATCTGTGACCTGACGTGTCTTATATGACCTCCAATTGAGGTCTCTGATAACCCCAAGCTGACCTCTGTGACCTGACATGTCCCATATGACCTCTGTGACTTCTAAGTGACCTCCCTCAAGACCCCAAGTTGACCTGTGTGACATGACGTGTCCCCTATGACCTCTGCGACCTCTAAGTGATCTCTCTGATTACCCCAAGCTAACCTCTGTGACCTGACGTGTCCAAGATGACCCCCATGACCTTCAATCGAGCTCTGTGATGACCCAGGTTGACCTCTGTGACTTGACATGTCCCAGATGACCTCCGTAACCTCCAATTGGGCTCTTTGATGACCCCAAGCTGACCTCTGTGACCTGACGTGTCCCAGATGACCCTCAATTGAGCTCTGTGATGACCCCAAGTTGACCTCTTTGACTTGACGTGTCCCATATGACCTCTGTGACATCAAGTGACCTCTCTGATGACTCCAAGCTGATCTCTGTGACCTGACATGTCCCAGATGACCTCAAATTGAGCTCACTGATAACCCCAAGCTGACCTCTGTGACCTGACATGTCCCATATGACCTATGTGACCTCTAAGTGACCTCCCTCATGACCCCAAGTTGACCTGTGTGACCTGACGTGTCCCAGATGACCTCCGTGACTCCAATTGAGCTCTGATGACTCCAAGCTGACCTCTGTGACCTGATATGTCCCAGGTGACCTCCAATTGAGCTCACTGATGACCCCCAAGTTGACCTCTGTGACCTGACGTGTCCCATATGACCTCTGCGACCTCTAAGTGACCTGACGTGTCCCATATGACCTCTGCGACCTCTAAGTGACCTCTCTGATGACCTAAAGCTGACCTCTGTGACCTGACATGTCCCAGATGACCTCCGTGACCTCCAATTGAGCTCTGTGATGACCCCAAGTTGACCTCTTTGACTTGACGTGTCCCATATGACTTCTGTGACATCAAGTGACCTCTCTGATGACTCCAAGCTGATCTCTGTGACCTGACATGTCCCAGATGACCTCCAATTGAGCTCTCTGATAACCCCAAGCTGACCTCTGTGACCTGACATGTCCCATATGACCTCTGTGACCTCTAAGTGACCTCCCTCATGACCCCAAGTTGACCTGTGTGACCTGACGTGTCCCAGATGACCTCCGTGACCTCCAATTGAGCTCTGATGACTCCAAGCTGACCTCTGTGACCTGATATGTCCCAGATGACCTCCAATTGAGCTCACTGATGACCCCCAAGTTGACCTCTGTGACCTGACGTGTCCCATATGACCTCTGCGACCTCTAAGTGACCTCTCTGATGACCTTAAGCTGACCTCTGTGACCTGACGTGTCCCAGATGACCTCCGCGACCTCCAATTGAGCTTTGATGACTCCAAGCTGACCTCTGTGACCTGATATGTCCCACATGACCTCCAATTGAGCTATTTGATGATCCTAAGCTGACCTCTGTGACCTGACGTGTCCCAAATGACCCTCAGTTGAGCTCTGTGATGACCCCAAGTTGACCTCTGTGACTTGACGTGTCCCATATGACCTCTGTGACATCAAGTGACCTCTCTGATGGCTCCAAGCTGATCTCTGTGACCTGACATGTCCCAGATGACCTCCAATTGAGCTCTCTGATAGCCCCAAGCTGACCTCTGTGACCTGACATGTCCCATATGACCTCTGTGACCTTAAAGTGACCTCCCTCATGACCCCAAGTTGACCTGTGTGACCTGACGTGTCCCAGATGACCTCCGTGACCTCCAATTGAGCTCTGATGACTCCAAGCTGACCTCTGTGACCTGATATGTCCCAGATGACCTCCAATTGAGCTCACTGATGACCCCCAAGTTGACCTCTGTGACCTGACGTGTCCCATATGACCTCTGCGACCTCTAAGTGACCTCTCTGATGACCTTAAGCTGACCTCTGTGACCTGACGTGTCCCAGATGACCTCCGTGACCTCCAATTGAGCTCTGATGACTCCAAGCTGATCTCTGTGACCTGATATGTCCCAGATGACCTCCAATTGAGTTCACTGATGACCCCCAAGTTGATCTCTGTGACCTGACGTGTCCCATATGAACTCTGCGACCTCTAAGTGACCTCTCTGATGACCTTAAGCTGACCTCTGTGACCTGACGTGTCCCAGATGACCTCCGTGACCTCCAATTGAGCTCTGATGACTCCAAGCTGACCTCTGTGACCTGATATGTCCCAGATGACCTCCAATTGAGCTCTTTGATGATCCTAAGCTGACCTCTCTGACCTTAGGTGTCCCAGATGACCTCCAATTGAGCTCTGATAACCCCAAGTTGACCTCTGTGACCTGACATGTCCCATATGACCTCCACGACTTCTAAGTGACCTCTCTGATGACCCCAAGCTGACATGTGACCTGACGTGTCCAAGATGACCCCCATGACCTTCAATCGAGCTCCGTGATGACCCCAAGTTGACCTTTTTGACCTGACGTGTCCCAGATGACCTCCGTGACCTCCAATTGAGCTCTGTGATGACCCCAAGTTGACCTCTGTGACCTGACGTGTCCCGTGTGACCTCTGCGACCTCTAAGTGACCTCTCTGATGACCTTAAGCTGACCTCTGTGACCTGACGTCTCCCAGATGACCTCCGTGGCCTCCGATTGAACTCTGATGACTCCAAGCTGACCTCTGTGACCTGATATGTCCCAGAAGACCTCCAATTGAGCTCACTGATGACCCCAAGTTGACCTCTGTGACCTGACGTGTCCCATATGACCTCTGCGACCTCTAAGTGACCTCTCTGATGACCCCAAGTTTACCTCTGTGACCTGACATGTCCCATATGACCTCTGTGACCTCTAAGTGACCTCTCCCATGACCCCAAGCTGACCTGTGTGACCTGACGTGTCCCAGATGACCTCCGTGACCTCCTATTGAGCTCTGATGACTCCAAGCTGACCTCTGTGACCTGATATGTCCCAGATGACCTCCAATTGAGCTCTTTGATGATCCTAAGCTGACCTCTGTGACCTGACGTGTCCCAAATGACCCTCAGTTGAGCTCTGTGATGACCTCTACTGATTCTTTGTGATCTCATATGACCTCTAGAGACTTCGCATGACCACGTGAGCTTTCCTCAACCTCCTTTTATCTCGCTGAACTTTGAGTGGCTTCTCCCACCCTCGCCTGACTTCCTGTGACCTCGTAGGACCCGTCGTCTTCGTGTGACTACTTGTGACATTCGTTTGTTTTCCTGTGACCTATACCGATTTTTGTGACCTCGCCTAGCTGTAACCTCGCTCCTGTCAGCTTCTGTCAGCTCCCGTAAGCTCCTTGCAGCTCCCGTAAGCTTCTTTCAGCTCCCGTAAGTTCCTTTCAGCTCCTGGCAGCTCACGATAGCTCATGACAGCTGCCGTAGGCTCCTGGCAGCTCCTGTCAGCTCCCGTAAGTTGTATATCTGATCCCACCTTGACCATATTCCTGCCCTCACTTTCTTTGACCGTCCATTGTTCGTCGGTCGCCAGGAGAGCTTGACGCTGCTGCGAGCACCACAGGGCTACTAGCGGTACTCACGTGCTGCTGGTTTTCTAGAGACGGATGTTTGCTGATATTAGGCTGTTAAGACTGAGCCGTGATGCAGTGGCCGGTGGGAGTGCCGGCGCCGGTCGTGGTGGACCCGACGCCCAGCGCTCCGCTTCGCGCTGCTACCACACAGGTAGGGTTCGGCACACCGACTCCCGATGGCTACGTGGACAGTGAAAATATTGCAATGCTATGGTACAGGTAGAGTGACCGTTCCGTTCTTTGTCAGGTCTCTGAATGGAGCTGCGTTCCGGTGGGCTGCTGGCTGCGCTCTCTCGGTCTGGCCCAGTACGCCGACGCGTTCGTCGCCCGCTCTGTGGATGGCGCCCGGCTTCTGGGGCTCACCGAACAGGCTATGGAAGACGAGCCCGACGTCGGTGAGAGATTACATTGCTAGCTGAGAAGGTGGATGTGACTCAAATTATTCAGTTCATAGCCTGATTTATTTAGCTTAATCTATTTGTATTAATCGTATTGCCACCATTAACCTGACTCGTGATTGTGGTTGCCTCAGTTGTAGGCCTTAAGTGCACCGCATTTTGACAGGTCTCGACGTGGCGACCTCGGAGCCAGCGTGTTGGGTCTCGGCTTCCCGCCACTCACCGGCGGACCTTTCCGCTTCGTGGACCGCATCGGTCCCGCACAGCTAGTCAAGGACATGGAGCGCTTCGCCGTCGTCAATGGCGTCGGCTTCGAGCCGTGCCTGACCGTGCACTACCAGGCCGCTAGCGGCACCAAGTTCTGTTCGGCCGGGCCTCGTGTAATGCCCACATGTGATGACCGAGTGTATACGCATGTGAAGCCGCTCCGCGTGTGTACCAGCGCTGGGCGTGTTCAGTTTCAAAGTAAATATAGAACCCTGGTGATCAAGCTACAGCTTTTGACGAGAAATAGAGTGAGGTCATTTTGAAAGCGATCAGACGGTAGCGCCGCCGTTCTTTGGCACGCCTTAGCATGCATCTGTGCTACACTAAAAGTTTAGGCTCGTGTCTTTCAAGGTCAGCAGGGTGAGGGCACCAGGTACTTCAAGTGGCCTCGTCTCAGTTAGAGTTCTAATACTCGTTCTAATACTACCAACACATCTAGTCAAGGAGCTGAGTTGAAATCGCGGGGATGGGGGGCTGTTCAGCCCCTTCACTGGGAGGTTCACGGTTCAGCCCCTCCCCCACCAGGCGCGAAAATCTAGGAGCCCCAGCGTGGAGTGAGATATAACCTTTTCGACGGCAGGTGATCGGGCATTGCATCGAATGACACTGGGCGATTGAAAGATGTTACAGCTCGCTTGTCAAGGCAAACATTTATTCACAACGAAAACAGACATAGGCACATGTGGATTGCTAATGGATAATGGATAATGGCGACGGGTAACACCCAGGTTGTGCACCGTCTGCTGGAGAGCCAGCGGCTGGTGCGTCCCGCGCGGGGTCGCCACGGACGCCGTTCGTCAACCAGACAGCCGGCGGACCGGCCGGGACGCCTAACGACAGACACAACCACCCCTCATGGCTATGTAGCGGGGCCGGGCTACCAGTGAGAGGTCACGGAAAGGTCAGCTCATAATGTGCACGGCGTGACATACAGTGTTAATGTCATCCCGCAGTCGCCGGACAGTGAAAAATTGGACAATGGCATTTCGCCGTCCAGACGAGCTCTACTGTCTACAAGACACAAGTAGTCTACATACGCTCAGCGACGAGCGCAGGCCGCCGGAGGATCTCGACACGGTGCTGGCGCTGTGCGCGCGCCGCTTCCGCTCGTATATATTGTATTATCAGCTTTAGTATGTAGTATGCATTATCAGCATTTTTTTATATAGTATGTATTATTATTATATAGTATGTATTATCAGCTTTTTTTCCAAAGCTTCAGAGTTGTGTCGCCCTCGCCACCACCTCCACAGGCTCCGCCCGCGCCGCTGCCGCCCCATCTACTCGAGGAGCAGCGAGCGTAGGTACGCCGCGCGACTGCTGGAGGTGATCGAGAGCGAGAAGTGCGGCATTAGCGCCTACGCGGCATTATATACCACCAGCAGACAGGATTTGATCTCTAGCAGACAAGCTTCTATCGGTGCCCCGCGCCGTCTCTCAACAACCGTCCACAGCCGCGGCTCCTGTGCACTGAGACGCTGTCACGACCGCGTCGTATCGCGACTGGAAACCAGCCCACTGCCCGGTCTCTGCCGCGTCTCCGGCGGTTGGGACCTGTGCCGGGGGCGCCTCCTCCAAAAGATTAGTGGCCATGGCCAGCTGTAGCAAACCGCGGCAGCGGCGGTCGCCCACGGGTCGCCGTGTCCACCTCCATAGAGATGTGCGCCGGCGCACTGTCGTCGCCGCCGCCGGCATCCTAAGGGAAGGAAAAATACATGTCCGGTCAGAGACTGGGGATCAACACTGGTATGTACAAAATTTGCCTATAGGATCCGCGACACCGGCACGTGAAGAGAAAGAGAGAAAGAGAGAGAGAGAGACATGGGGGTCATCTGGGACACGTCAGGTCACCAAGGTCAACTTGGAGTCATCAGAGAGGTCACACAGAGGTCACAGAGGTCATATGGGACACGCCAAGTCACAGAGGTCAACTTGGGGTCATCACAGAACTCAATTGGAGACCACGGAGGCAATCTGAGACAAGTCGGTCACAAAGGGCAACTTGGGGGCACGTCAGGTCACAGAGGTCAACTTAGGGTCATCACAGAGCTCAATTGAGGGTCATCTGGGACACGTCAGGTCACAGAGGTCAACTTGGGGTCATCAGTGAGCTCAATTAGAGGTCATCTGGGACATATCAGGTCACAGAGGTCTGCTTGGAGTCATCAGAGCTCAATTGGAGGTCACTGAGGTCATCTGGGACACGTCAGGTCACACAGGTCAGCTTGGGGTCATCAGAGAGGTCACTTAGAGGTCGTGGAGGTCATATGGGACATGTCAGGTCACAGAGGTCAACTTGGGGTTATCAGAGAGCTCAATTGAAGGTCATCTGGGACACCTAAGGTCACAGAGGTCAGATTGGAGTCATCAGAGAGCTCAATTGGAGGTCACTGAGGTCATCTGGGACACATTAGGTAACAGAGGTCAACTTGGGGTTATCACAGAGCTCTGTTGGAGATCATGGGGGTCATCTGGGACATGTCAAGTCACAGAGGTCAACTTGGTTCATCACAGAGCTCGATTGAAGGTCATGGGGGTCATTTTGGACACGTCAGGTCACAGAGGTCAGCTTGGGGTCATCAGAGAGTTCACTTAGAGGTCGCAGAGGTCATATGGGACACGTCAGGTCATAGAGGTCAACTTGGGGACATCAGTGAGCTCAATTGGAGGTCATCTGGGACATATCAGGTCACAGAGGTCAGCTTGGAGTCATCAGAGCTCAATTGGAGGTCACGGATGTCATCTGGGACACGTCAGGTCACACAGGTCAGCTTGGGGTCATGAGAGAGGCCACTTAGGTCATCTGGGACACGTCAGGTCACACAGGTCAACTTGGGGTCATGAGGGAGGTCACTTAGATGTCACAGAGGTCATATGGGTCATGTCAGGTCACAGAGGTCAGCTTGGGGTCATCAGAGAGGTCACTTAGAGGTCGTGGAGGTCATATGGGACATGTCAGGTCACAAAGATCAACTTGAGGTCATCAGTGAGCTCAATTGGAGGTCATCTGGGACATATCAGGTCACAGAGGTCAGCTTGGAGTCATTAGAGCTCAATTGGAGGTCACGGAGGTCATCTGGGACACGTCAGGTCACAGAGGTCAGCTTAAGGTCAACAGAGAGGTCACTTAGAGGTCGCAGAGGTCATATGGGACACGTCAGGTCACAGGTCAACTTGGGGTTATCAGTGAGCTCAATTAGAGGTCATCTGGGACATATCAGGTCACAGAGGTCAGCTTGGAGTCATCAGAGCTCAATTGGAGGTCACGGAGGTCATCTGGGACACGTCAGGTCACACAGGTCAGCTTGGGGTCATGAGAGAGGTCACTTAGAGGTCACAGAGGTCATATGGGACATGTCAGGTCACAGAGGTCAACTTGGGGTTATCAGAGAGCTCAATTGGAGGTCATCTGGGACATGTCAGGTCACAGATCAGCTTGGAGTCATCAGAGAGGTCACTTGAGGTCACAGAGGTCATATGGGACACGTCAAATCACAGAGGTGAACTTGAGGTCATCAGAGAGGTCACTTAGAGGTCGCAGAGGTCAAATGGGACACGTCAGGTCACAGAGGTCAGCTTGGGGTCATCAGTGAGCTCAATTGGAGGTCATCTGGGACATATCAGGTCAGAGAGGTCAGCTTGGAGTCATCAGAGCTCAATTGGAGGTCATGGAGGTCATCTGGGACACGTCAGGTCACACAGGTCAGCTTGGGGTCATGAGAGAGGTCACTTAGAGGTCACAGAGGTCATATGGGACACGTCAGGTCACAGAGGTCAGCTTGGGGTCATCAGAAAAGTCACTTAGACATCACAGAGGTCATATGGGACACGTCAGGTCACAGAGGTCAGCTTGGAGTTATCAGAGCTAAACTGGAGGTCACGGAGGTCATCTGGGACACGTCAGGTCAAAAAGGTCAACTTGGGGTCATCACAGAGCTCGATTGAAGGTCATGGGGGTCATCTTGGACACGTCAGGTCACATGTCAGCTTGGGGTCATCAGAGAGGTCACTTAGAAGTCGTGGAGGTCATATGGGACATGTCAGGTCACAGAGGTCAACTTGGGGTTATCAGAGCTCAATTGGAGGTCATCTGGGACACCTAAGGTCAGAGAGGTCAGCTTAGGATCATCAAAGAGCTCAATTGGAGGTCATCTGGGACATATCAGGTCACAGAGGTCAGCTTGGAGTCATCAGAGCTCAATTGGAGGTCACGGAGGTCATCTGGGACACGTCAGGTCACAGAGGTCAGCTTAAGGTCATCAGAGAGGTCACTTAGAGGTCGCAGAGTTCATATGGGACACGTCAGGTCACAGAGATCAACTTGGGGGTCATCAGTGAACTCAATTGGAGGTCATCTGGGACATATCAGGTCACAGAGATCAGCTTGGAGTCATCAGAGCTCAATTGGAGGTCACGGAGGTCATCTGGGACACGTCAGGTCACACAGGTCAACTTGGGGTCATGAGGGAGGTCACTTAAAGGTCACAGAGGTCATATGGGACATGTCAGGTCACAGAGGTCAGCTTGGGGCTATCAGAGAGCTCAATTGGAGGTCATCTGAGACATGTCAGGTCACAGAGATCAGCTTGGAGCCATCAGAGAGGTCACTTGATGTCACAGAGGTCATATGGGACACGTCAAGTCACAGAGGTCAACTTGGGGTCATCACAGAGCTCAACTGAGGGTCATTTGGGACACGTCAGGTCACAGAGGTCAGCTTAGGATCATCAAATAGCTCAATTGGAGGTCATGTGGGACATATCAGGTCACAGAGGTCAGCTTGGAGTCATCAAAGCTCAATTGGAGGTCACGGAGGTCATCTGGGACACGTCAGGTCACAGAGGTCAGCTTAAGATCATCAGAGAGGTCACTTAGAGGTCGCAGAGGTCATATGGGACACGTCAGGTCACAGAGGTCAACTTGGGGGGTCATCAGTGAGCTCAATTGGAGGTCATCTGGGACATATCAGGTCACAGAGGTCAGCTTGGAGTCATCAGAGCTCGATTGGAGGTCACGGAGGTCATCTGGGACACGTCAGGTCACACAGGTCAACTTGGGGTCATGAGGGAGGCCACTTAGATGTCACAGAGGTCATATGGGACATGTCAGGTCACAGAGGTCAGCTTGGGGTCATCAAAGAGCCCAATTGGAGGTTACGGAGGTCATCTGGGACATGTCAAGTCACAGAGGTCAACCTGGGTCATCACAGAGCTCGATTGAAGGTCATGGGGGTCATCTTGGACATGTCAGGTCACAGAGGTTAGCTTGGGGTAATCAGAGAGATCACTTAGAGGTCGCAGAGGTCATATGGGACACGTCATGTCACACAGGTCAACTTGGGGTCATGAGGGAGGTCACTTAGAGGTCACAGAGGTCATATGGAACATGTCAGGTCACAGAGGTCAGCTTGGGGTTATCAGAGACCTCAATTGGAGGTCATATGAGACACGTCAGGTCACAGATGTCAACTTGGGGTCATCACAGAGCTCAATTGGAGACCACTGATGCAGCTGAGACACGTCGGTCACAAAGGGCAACTTGGAGGCACGTCAGGTCACAGAGGTCAACTTATGGTCATCACAGAGCTCAACTGGGGGTCTTCTGGGACATGTCAGGTCACAGAGTTCAGCTTGGGGTCATCAGAGAGATCACTTAGAGGTTACAGAGGTCATATGGGACACGTGAGGTCCTAGAGGTCAAGTTGGGGTCATCACAGAGCTCAAATGGAGGTCATCTGGGACATGCCAGGTCACAGAGGTCAGCTTAGAGTTATCAGAGCTAAACTGGAGGTCACAGAGGTCATCTGGGACACATCAGGTCAAAAAGGTCAACTTGGGGTCATCGCAGAGCTCATTGGAGGTCGTGGGGGTCATCTGGGACACGTTTTTGGAATCGGGAGAATTTTTTGGGGGGGATGACCCTTGCAGCGTCCAAGACCGCCTTTCTGGATTCGCCAGTAGTTGCTGGAATGGTGTTAGGCTACTTCCAATTCCTGAATACCCCAATAAATGTGAAATAGCATATTATGGACCATTTTCAACACTCTTGCTGCCTCGCTGGCATGGATGGAGGCCTCATAAACGACCTGTCAGTTCAAGCTCTATAACTTGCATTAGCATCAATGGATTGCAACAAAATTTTCAGGATCTCAAGTTCAAACAATTTTACACGTACCACGTAAATTTCGAGGCAATGACCCGAATGACCTGTGACCTATTCGGTATACCCCAAGGCAAGGTCAACTTGCGACACTGACACTACTTACGACTGCTATTTCAATTTTGTAAGTTGTGTCGCAAATCAGGCAACGTGCAATACATTAAAATTACATTAACCCACACCAAAACACACTATACCTACCAAATCAAGTTCTTCAGCACCCCTAAGGCCAGTGCACTGGCACGGGGCACGTCCAAGGTCAAATCGCGTTTCTCAGATTTTCGGTTTGTTATTTTCATCAAGGTTTTGATAGGTGCTCGCACGGTAGCCATGTTGGGATAGGTGAATTAAAGGTTAAATTATTTAAATATTTTAAAATAATTTAAGACCTGCCAAGCCTAACAATACGCAGAATAATAACCAGAATTAAAAATTGTATTGTGATAAAAATTTATATGTGAATCGAAAGGGTCCGCTAAAAATGACCTTGACCTTTGACCAGTCATTTATCCGTAGTTTGACCTTGCCAAAACAAGAAAAACCAGCAGTAGCATCTCCAACATTGGTTGCATCATTGAGCATAAAATTATTGAAATCTAAGGGGTCCACCTTTCTCACCTGACCACGTGGTCACTTCCACTTCCTGTATTACACATACGTGACCTTGATTCTGACCTTTGACCTACTATATATCAGTTCGTGCTGCTTGCCAAAGTAAGATACTGATATTTTTGAAATCAGCTCTTCATGGACTATAGTTGTACCAATTTTTACGAGAATCCAAAGGGTCCGCCGAGAATGACCTTGAACTTTGACCTGAGATTCCTCAGTTCTTAGGGGGTGCCAAGCCTAGGTGATTTATTTTCATAATAAGCATGTCCTGCTCTATCTATCCTGTGAATTTAAATCGATTCTGAGGGGTCCGTTTTTGTCATTTTTTCCACGAATGTGGTGCTGGAATCCGAATCCGAATTTGAAGCCAACTTTATGAACGTTGAGAAACAGGCTTAGAAGCGAATAGGACCAAGATACGTATTACAGGAACTATTTCTTTGCAAAAAGAAACATTAAAATGCAAAATAATAGGTATTTTTTTCAATTTCTTCTTTTGAAATAATATTTAAAAAATATGTCGGTATATTGTCAAGTTTTCAACAATAAATATTGTGAAAACCAAATAGTACATATCCACATAATTTCAGTTGAAACATTTTTCTGACAGCACTACAGACGAATCAAGAGAGGCAATTGCCCAATGAGTCAAAGCAAGACGACTTTATGTTCAACTTTTTTTTTGTTAAGTTAAATGAGAATGTTTTGAGCAGATTAAATGCAAAAAAGACATAAGATAATAAATTTTTAATTTAGTCACCTCTATTGCTACGGAAGTGCGCCACATTTGTATGCTATTCCGTTTGTAATGCGCATCGGGCCGAGCAACTTACCCGGCCGAGAGCCAAACTAGATCCGTTTGACGTCACTGATACGAATTTGCTCATGTAGTCGGTGCACTGAATGCGTTCTTGGGGAGCTGATGCGAATTAGCGATAGTGCGTATTTGGAACGGATCGCTCATGTAACCGAAACGTCCGAGGCACACGATTCGGGCCGTATTTCACAAGAACTATTCTTTGCTGACTGGAAGCGTCAAAATGCAAAATACTAAGCATTTTTTTTTTATTGGCTGCCTCGTAGAATATAACAAAAAAATGTTGGTATTTTGGTTTAGTCTTTGCATGTGAAATAAAATGAATGAAATATTTTGATAGATAATTTTTTCTGACCACCCTGCTGTCGCTGCATGGCGAATCAGTGCCCACTGACTTAAAACAAGAAAACTTTGTTTTCATTTTTTGATTTCATGTTAATTTTAAATGTTTTTGAGCCTATCAAATGATATAATTATTAAAAATTTAGCTCAGTCGTCCCGGTAAATGCCGCAACTGCGCCATGACTGTACGCTAATCCTATTCCGTTTGTGATGCGAATTACCGGCCGTCGAGGAGTCAGCCCGGGTGAGCCAAACAAGATCCGTTTGACGTAGATAAAACGAATTAGTCTCATGTAACCGGTGCCGTAGATCCGTTTGTGGGGAGCTGATGCGCATTAGCGTAGGGCGTATTTGGAACGGATCGCTCATGTAACCCCGGTAAGGGTTGAAGCGGCATTGCTCCCCTGTGATGTTGACGTGATGAAAAAATCACACGATTTTCTAATCGAAAAATAATAACATTTATGAATGTTTTGAACAAAAAATAACGTTTTTAACAGACTACTGAAAGATTGGCCCATTGATTGGAACAACCACATCACCGGGAACTTCAGTTTTTCATTCTTTTTCACGCTGCATTTTCCGGTGCACCAGCGGCCTGGTGGTCGTCAATCTGTGATTAAATCGCATGAATGTTGTTGTAAAGCCCTATTTGGAGACTTAAGTGGGCATTTTATAATATTTCAAATGTGCTGAATATAATCGTAGGCTCGGATCATCATAAATCTCCGTGCAAATACGTAAAAAGCAGGATGGAAATAAGGTCTGCACCGTCGTCACACCAAATACCGTCGTATTCTGACGATGAATTTAATCATTCTAGCTGATGTGTAACATTGATATTAATTTTATATATTGAAATGATATCTACGCTTTATGTATTGCCCACTTTGGACCACATTTGTCCAGTAATTTCTGGGAAATCTTAGTTGTAGTTGACTTTTGAATGTGCTAAGGTTGCGGTGAGTAATGTATTAGTATCGAACCCGACGTCCAAGGTAACTGCCGAGAGCCGAGATGTTGAACCAGTCCCAAAACATCAAAATTTTAGTTGCATGTGAATTTTAAAAACATTTGAGCTAAGTTTGCACACATTTGAACTTCAGCGTTTCCATTTTTGGAACATCGGCGTTTCCATTTTTAGAAACTAAGTCTCCATAAATGGATACGATTCAGGAGCATTTTAAATTGGTGAATTTGAATGCATATGACAGCTTTCCATGCGATAAAACAAGTGCTTTTGATGTATCAGCGCTTGTTTTAAGTGAAACAGCGGTTATACATCAAATCCAGCCACCCTAGGCAAAAAAATTTGTGCGGAGATGTTGGCGTTTATATTTATGGAACGAGCGTTTCCATTTTTGGAACAGAAGAGTAGTCAAAATTGGAAACGTTTCCAATAATAGAAACGTCTCCATAAATGAATCGGAGATACCACAGTGCGCCCGACTGATATGGTAGCATATCACTCCTACCTACATCTATCGGTTCCATGACAACTGAACCAGTGACAACTGAACCAGGACAACTGAACCAGTGACAACTGAACCAGGGACAACTGAACCAGTGACAGCTGAACCAGGGACAACTGAACCAGTGACAACTGAACCAGGGACAACTGAACCAGGGACAACTGAACCAGTGACAACTGAACCAGTGACAACTGAACCAGGGACAACTGAACCAGTGACAACTGAACCAGTGGACAACTGAACCAGTGGACAACTGAACCAGTAGACAACTGAACCAGTGACAACTGAACCAGTGACAGCTGAACCAGTGACAACTGAACCAGTGACAACTGAACCAGTGACAACTGAACCAGTAGACAACTGAACCAGTGACGACTGAACCAGCGAACAACTGAACCAGTGGACAACTGAACCAGTGGACAACTGAGCCAGTGGACAGCTGAACCAGAAACAATTCTAATGTCGTATTGCGCTGTATAGGTATAAGATAGCCCTTGGCTGGACGGATGGACTGTACCAATCTGCCGGTCTGCCAATTGATCTGTGTCAGTGTCCATCCGAGAGCCGTACGATGGCTGACAGGGCTGACAGAGCCTGGTGGTCGCGAACTGACCGTTACGCCCACCTGGGACGCCCGAATAGTTAGCAACGTATAAATAATATTCACTTTGATGGCGTAACTCGGGACAGACAGGGCATGTAACGTGGGCTTGGCAGAGTTCAGCCCGCTTGGGCCCAGAGGAATCTCCGGTATATAAATGGATTGACTGCTCGGGCTTACATCGGGCTTGCGCCAAACGTCGCACAGCTAGGGCGTAACTACGGCTGTCCTGAGCTCGCCGAGCGCGCATACCTCCGGCAGAGCATTGGTTTAAGTCGGCGCTTTTTAGTCATACGCCGATTGCCCAAACGCTAGCTGGCTTTAGCCCAAGCGCTAGCCGACTTTCGCCCGACTAAAAACCTCGGGCAAGCCTCACTTCAGCCTGCTTGGGCCCGGAGTAAAATTGCTGGCTGGGCTACTGGTTCAGTTGTGACTGGTTCAATTGTCAATGGTTCAGATGTCTCTGGCTCAGTTGTCACTGGTTCAGTTGTCACTGGTTCAGTTGTCACTGGTTCAGTTGTCACTGGTTCAGTTGTCTACTGGTTCAGTTGTCCACTGGTTCAGTTGTCCACTGGTTCAGTTGTCACTGGTTCAGTTGTCTACTGGTTCAGTTGTATACTGGTTCAGTTGTCCACTGGTTCAGTTGTCACTGGTTCAGTTGTCACTGGTTCAGTTGTCACTGGTTCAGTTGTCACTGGTTCAGTTGTCTACTGGTTCAGTTGTCTACTGGTTCAGTTGTCTACTGGTTCAGTTGTCCACTGGTTCAGTTGTCCACTGGTTCAGTTGTCACTGGCTCAGTTGTCACTGGTTCAGTTGTCACTGGTTCAGTTGTCACTGGTTCAGTTGTCTACTGGTTCAGTTGTCTACTGGTTCAGTTGTCTACTGGTTCAGTTGTCCACTGGTTCAGTTGTCCACTGGTTCAGTTGTCACTGGTTCAGTTGTCACTGGTTCAGTTGTCATGGAACCGGTCTGGGGCAAGGTCTGGGGCAAGTCCGGCAAGTCTGGGGCAAGGCTGTCTGGGGGTTGTAGTGATTTTGTATTAGGGAGAGGCCAAGGCTTTACAAACCGGAGAGGCCGGGGATAGGGGCGAGGCGGGCTGCCAATCCAAGGTGAGTTCCAAATTCAAATGCTCAGCGTCAATGAAAACTAAGTCAAAGTGCTAAATGTGCCAGGATCGTATGAAAAGAATAGACCACCTATTAACTGATCACCCCTTTTCCAGCCTCGATGTCAGCTCTATGTATAGGTACACTTTGGTATGCAGAGGTCGATTTTAGGCATTGGCATCAGCGAGTCCTGATTCCTGGGCACCAAATGCCTGGGTTGAACTCTAAAACCTCCTGCTTCTCCCTGACCCCCCCCCCCCCCCCCAGCCCAGTGTCACTCACCCCATGGTCCCCAGTCCCATACTAGAACTGTTGGCATAAATTGATCAAGACCCACAGATTTAAACCATAGCTCAAGCTTTAATCGTAGTTGTGTAGTTTGTAGGTGTTGTATTAACATTTAACAGCTTTGCATGTGAATGTTTGTATACTGGGTAGGGAAATAAGTTACTATGGAGTTGAGTTGAGACCTTATTATGTCTTTTTTATGACAGTTATTTGTAAAATGCATTTAGGGTGCCTAGGCTGGATGCTACTGGATTTTCTTCTTAGCTTCGTGTATTTTTTCCTTTACTTCAATAGTCAGGATTGGGGGATGCAAAAGTAGTAGTGTAGTAGTAGTATTTTATTGACACAGTCTTATGTACTAGATGGATAAAACCCAGAGGACAAGTGTCCATTAAAACAGTTCATATGCCTACAAACATATGAAAACCGCCAAACATTTCATACAGAGAACCAGCGTCCATTAAAACTATACATAAACACCACGTTGCACATAGCGCGTTGAGCATTCTTGATCCGGTTTCCAGTAAGACATGTTGGCAGCCCCGGCTCCTCCTCTGGTCAAAATGTGCCGATTCAGGCGGCTTTGACTCTGGCACCTCACGTACCACACAGGATGAATTTTGATTTATATTTGTTCAGATGAATTGCACAGCTAGTTATGGAATAAGACGGTGGTCCACACCGGCACACGCCGCGCGTGAAGACGAGATCTTCAAGACTCGCAGATCAAGATCAGATTAGAGCGCAATCGATCATTTCGGTCGTGGGCGTCGCTGATGGGAAGCTGATCCCTGAGTGCAATGCAAACTGATCCATCCGCTTCGTGCCCCATTAGGTTGAGGTAATATGAGGACGACGGAGGGCGACTCTATGTAATACAATGCCAATCATTCAGTGAGCTGCACATGAAGAGCTAATGCGCACCTAGTGCTTGACCTGATGTATAATGGGATGATAGGTAGGTAATAGGTAATGCTGGGCGCTTAGACCTGGACAGACAATGGCGGAAACAAGGCTGAACTTCAGTCATAAACCAATGTGAACCTGGGCTGAATAGTGAATACTGAATCGTCATGCTGATTTCTGAATCTGTCCTGGGAAACAAAAGTAAAGGCTTGGCCATGATTCGTCAGTAAGCTCCTGATAAATTACTCTATGCCAAACCCATAACACTAAGCCCTAACTATGTTCTAGTGTTTGCGTTTGCGTGTGTAGGGTCGTTTTTATCACGCGGGCTCGGAAACCAGCCTGTTATATTTCCAAGGTCCAATGTTCCATCCGAATCGCTGACACCAGCCGTCAAACTCGGGGCCAAAGTCAGTATGTGACCCCACCGGAGCTGTCTGTCTGTCTGTCTGTCTGTCTGTCTGTCTGTCTGTCTGCCTGCCCATCTGTCTATCTAAATTTCTACGGCAGCATTAGCTACGTCGGCTCTCCCGCTAGCCGATCCAAAGTGCGTGCGATAAAAGTGCTAATCAGCATCTATCGCTGGTCATGAGTGGTGTGTCCACTGTTCAAGGTCGCGCTATCCGCTCTGGTACCCAGACGGGAAGTTTTACCCCGCGTTCGATGTCTCTCGGACGACGAAGATTCTACGTCGTCCGGCCAATCCCGTCCAATCCAAGGTCAGCGGGGGCTCGGCTGCGGCTATGGAACGTGTTTGGCCGGGCGGCGTAGAATCTTCGCCGTCGAACGCGGGGTTTAGCTTACTGCGGTTGCGCTTTTTGGGAGAAATTATACACCATCTACACAAAGCTATTAGCCGGATTGTAACATTGCCAATGCCGGCTTTGCTATTGTCTAAACTCTAATGTCTTTGATACGCCTCGTACGAAGGATGTCAATTTCATAGATACGCTGCTCGTTTGTCGTTTATTCTCTCGTGACTGGCTGACCACCATAAACCTCTGAGAATCGGCTGTTGCCATGTGCCATGTGCTTACATTTGCCATTGGTCAAGATGCCACCTAAGCATTTATGCAAACGCTAACGTTCGCAGATTTGAGGAGGGCGAGGGAAGCGTGACAAGCCATACTCTGATCGGGACTGGGGTGGGGAGTGGGGGGGGGGGGGGCTGGGGGACTCGAGTCGCTACGCCGGTCGCTGACGCGCGCTTGGCGGCGGAGATGGGGCTGGGTGAGGGGCACTTGAGTCTCGCGTCTGTCTGAGCCACACCGGGGAGAGAGAGAGGGTCCCGCGGAGGAGGTGACAGTCGCTTGTTTGGCAGTGGCTCGTGGAGTGGGGAAGTGGTAGGTTGTGTTCTGTGTGCATATGTGTCTGTGAGTTGTGACTTGTGACTGTGCTCCATATCGGGACGAGGTATGCAAGGGTGGCCGGCAGTTTGCGTGAGGATTAGTTGACTTGTGGTGGATGTGACTTGCCCCGTTTCGATACCGTTTCGGCTTTTTTTAGATAGCTGTGTATTCCATCAGTTTGTGCCGTGGCTATGTGATCTTACGAGGTCTCGATTGGATTGGTGCAATGTTGACAAACGATTTGTGCTATTGTATCTGCAATTGTCTGGCAGATGCCTCTTCGCTAACCTCTTGCACCGCCGCTTTGATGAAGTGTTCCCTATTCCGTGCAGCCCCTGACCTCCCCTTTCGATGTCTCCACAGCTGAAGCACCATGGCCGTCATCGGAATTCTTCTGACTGGACTGGCCCTCGCTGCCGGGTATCTGCTGGCCTCGTGGCTCAGAAAACCGGCCTCTCGAAACCCGTTCGAAAGAGATACCCGCAAGCCGGTACAGCCCCTAGTGACGGATCAAAAGCTGAGGGATAAAGTGCTCAAACAATGTAAGTACCCAGTTCCGGTGCATAATTAATGCCTGTACCAGTTACCACATGGATACCGGGTGTCATGGGTACTGAGTAAGGTGTTCTGTGCTCTGGTTTTCGATTTTTATAACTATGAGCGTGCAGACGGGAAATATTCGCTTTATTGGCGCAAGTAGGTGGGTAGGGACTTTTAGAGTGCTCTGACTCAGGTCATGTCAAACAGTCAGCTGTTGGCTCGCGAGTTTGTGACCGTTAAGTGACACCGCATCATGCTTGGTAGGACTGTCGTTGGCCACTTGGCTGTGTTCAAATATGATTTTGGAAGAACCGGATAGGGTGATACAACAGTGATACACTACGAGGATAAATATTACATAAATAGTTCAATGGGACGCTACGCACGTATCCTAGGGCGAAATTCTTCAACAGCAGCGCTGCCGTGTCCGGATCCCGAACCTCTACCTCCTACCTCGCTCACCAGATGTCTCTGTCGGCAGCGTTCTCGGCGGACCGCGTTCCGTCCGACCTCGATGCCATCGTCATTGGCAGCGGTATCGGAGGTCTCTCCGTGGCGGCCATCATGGCCAAGGCCGGCAAACGTGTACTGGTGCTGGAACAACACGATCAGGTACTGGTTTGAGAATGATGGCTCAGGCTGGTTTGTGGAAGGGGAGGGGGTGGGGAGTCAATGATATTTTTATGGGGGAGCGTGGAGGGTGAGCAGTGAACACTGAGCATTGACATTCCCCTCTCGCTCAAAAGAGCCTCACAAGAGTTGGCAATCTTCTGTAACAAGTCCATGTACTTGATCATTTAACCTCGCATCCAGTCGGACTGCTCGCAAAATCCTGTACGAAATCCATTAGCATCTGCAATCAATAGGATTGAAACACCGCGGAAACAAATGCCGTGCTGAAGTTCACTGAAAGGTCAGCTGAGCGCGTGTATTTAAAACACACCATGACATCCGTCAATCTGGACTCGTGCGCCGTGATGCATGTGATGGAGCTACTTCCGTCCTTTTGTTCCAAATGACCACGGACAGCTGAGAGGTTAATGTTTTATATTGTAGAAAAGTGCCGGTATGCATTCACATAAAAACGGTAACGTTTCTTTACAATTTGGGGTGAATGAACGAAGAGACAGAAAGAAATACTAAGGGAGTTATTATCATCAGATCAGATATTGAATCATGGGAGACTGATTGAATTGAGAAATCGTAGGGGACTTCTCGCATTTTCAACAAGTGCGTCCATCCTTCATTCCTTTTCGTATTCAGCCACAATTTGCTAGCTCTCCAATGCATTCGGTATTTGCTGGATATACGAGTTACGACATAAAACCGGAACTCCAGTCGTTATGGAAGACCGGAGCAGAAAATCGGCGATTGTGGCCCGTGTGTCTTTTCTGTCTCGCTGGAGCTCCGCTTCAAGAAACGGCACGCGATGATTACTGGTTCTGCACTGGAACTGCTCAGAATGTTAGGCTGCAAATCGACTATGTAAGTAAAATCGACGTAAGTCGGATTTCGAAAATCTGTTTCGCTGGGGTTTTCTACTCGCATACCCAACTACGGCTTCTGAAAAACAAAATGATTATTTGTGCTTTGATTTATTCCCGCATGCTGAACCTAAAACTGAAACTGAAGGCTTAAATCCGTGATAGCCATCATTGATCTTCTCTGCTTCGATTTTTTCACCCTCCCTTCCTGCGAAAAAAGTAATCATTCTGGCTCTCCGGAAGAACTTGGTCACGTGCATCTCACGATGACAAGACCCACAGCTCATAGTCGACATCGGCGGTGTCATCCTCTGCCCCTCGCTCCCCCGTCAGAACGCCTGCGGCGTTTGACAAACCGCCCAGGGCGCTAGCAGAGGTCACGATCCTGTGCGAGGTCAGGCAAAGGTCATTTCACCTCATGAGTCGAGGCGGTCGTGTGATGTGTGTAACAGGGTAACAGGAAGGAAGCGCCAAGGATCTATTAACGAGGCTTACTTACGAACGTCATTATATTTGTCAATAGGATCGTAGTGTCACGTTCTTGTTATTGGTGAGGGGGGGTTAGGGGTGGGGAGATATTGAAAACAGATACCCAACTTGAACCTCTTTTACGTTATACATGCTCTTCCTTTGGAAAGGTTTTAGAATAGCCGATGTTTCATAATGCAATGTAGCATGCTAATGTGCACCAAAAGCAGATGGAGACGATGGAATGATGCAGATACAATCGCGGTATCGGTCCGCCGCGCTGCAGCGGAGAAAATGTTTCGTTTTTAGATGGTTTGCTCTGCAAACTGTCGTCTTGTAATGGCCAGGGCAGTGCATTGACCTCTGCCTATACATAGGTACCACAAATCATTATGCAACACATGCATGCCTCCGCTTTGATGCATTGGATGAATCCTTGCTGCATGCTTATCGTATGTGTGATTAATATAAACCTGCTAGTTGCCTGGTATGCATTGAATGGACCGATGTATGGCTACCCATCTACGCTGGAGTACGAAAAACATCATCTCACAAGACCATTCATTAATTATGCTGGTGACATCAAATATGTTGTTGTCGCTGGAAGCCACGGAGCTCAGGACTCGTGCAGCAAACGCCGCTCTCTCAATATGGGTTCTGAAATTGGATATACAGTGTTCAAGAAATCCAAATGATCTTTATAGTCGATAAATAAGCAGTAAATTGTTTTTTATAAGAGTCGTCAACCACTGTCCCGGAGTTTCTCTGTGAGTCTCGTGAGCCGGTGAGTTTTATACTCGGGATGACGCCGTCAGCATCAGGACCTCGGAGCGTCATCCACTCATGACGGCCTCGCGTGCGTCTGTCCATTTTGTACCCGACGGTACCGTCCTTGCCGGCTTGGGTCTTGTCGTTTTAATAAAGGTGTTGCTATCCTGATAAGTGTATGTCTCCTTCAACTACTTCCATCAAAGCATTCGTTCTCCCAGTTTCTTTCTCTATCTCGTATGAAGTGGCTTGCCCTTTTCCGATTCTAGAAAAAAAAAATAGGCGTGGTAAAAACAGTTCTTTGTGAACTGGTTTGACTTTTTCCGATTCTAAAAGAAATTGGCATTGGAAAAACAGTGTTGATATTGACCCGTTTCTCGTGAGGTCTCTTTCTCCATCCCTGTTTTTTTTTTTACATCTTTCTTCCACCTCTCCCCTCCCTTCCTCCGCCTCTCTCTCTCTCTCTCTCTCTCTCTCTCTCTCTCTCTCTCTCTCTCTCTCTCTCTCTCTCTCTCTCTCTCTCTCTCTCTCTCTCTCTCTCTCTCTCTCTCGCTCCAATAATCACCACGCACGTTACCAGTCCCGAAACTCCTTGTCACTGATCCTTCCGGCAACATCCTGCCTCTTCTTCGTGGCAATCATCGTGACTTGGATCGTGACCGTGATCGTGACAAGACCGTGACACGATCCGTGACGCGGATTCCCACTGAGCATCACGGCCGCCTGCAAGGTCGTGACCGGTCGCCGAGACGCGTCGCGGCGTTAGTGGCGCGACGGTGACGAGAAACGACGCGCCGAGCCGCGTCGCCGCCGTCGTCGTTTGCTGCTCGCCAAAATCGTTGAAGGAGCCAGACGGTTCCATGCTGTCAGCCATGAGTGTAATGACGGCTCGCGAAGGGCGTGGTCACTGCGGGCATTAGTGTAGGAAGGTGCACCAGTACCGGATCTACGCGTCTGGAAAACACTCGCGTAAATTGGCCGAAACTAATGGCACGAGCCCCGAGACGGATTTGAGAAGTGGGCAGAGTTGGAATTACTGGCGCATTCTTTGAGAGGGGCATGGATGGAAACGGTGAGGCTTTTACAGGCATGTAATTTGCCATTTTAAATATCTGACAAGCATTTATGGAACTTCAAGAGGGTAGCTTTTCCGTAAATGTGTTGCGATCATAGGATCAGCTTGGGATGGCTTTCCATTTGCTCCAAAATCGTTCGCGCACACAGGTTATTCGTTTGCAAGCCATAAAATATGTCTTGCTTTTCTGCAACACGCCCCTCCGAACCCAAATTGTGTGGCCTTGGCCTTCGCCGCACTAGTCCTGTAATTCCTACCGTAGGAGCCGGTGCCGACTGCATCTGATTTAACTCTTGTTTGTGCGCTGATAAGTCAGCCGTGGCCTCGCTTCCTTGTATTCAAGTCGTTTTCCGTGCAGGGGTCGCGTGAATTGATGTTACGCGTGCCGCACAACCAAGAAAAGACACGAATGAAAGCGATTTTGAGATCGTGCCTTCGTGTCGTTGTGCGACACCGTCCTCTCGATGTTATGGTTTGGTGGTTGAGTGTTGTGGTGAAAATGCAAAATAAGACACGCATATTTTCCGCACATGTTTTCATCGGTATGCCTCGCCGGTAGTGTGCAGGGTTAGAGAGGAAATATGATACGGTAGGGTGTATGAGTATTAAAGTATTCTTGGGGTGTATTCTGATTTGAATATACGGTGTTTGTCTTAGTTTTTTTTTCGGTAGTCGGTACTCGATTTCAGAACGTGTCCACTGTTCACTGTTCAATCACCGGCAAAAAAATATTTGGCGCCATAAAATACAGATGCGAGATCGTGTTGTGATTTTGTGGCAGGCAATAAGTCTATTGTTAATGGCTTGTGAGGTATTTGTTCATTTGGACTTAAGATTACCATTGTGAGAACGGTTCCAACTGCTGTAGATGTGTTCATTGACGACTTGCTGGTACAATAATCGCTACGCATTTGATCTGAATTCTGGATGTTGATTGCATGATAATTATGTTATCTGTTTCCACTCAAACCCTCGTTTGTTTCGCGACGCATGTATTTATCTCTATGGGACGTGAGTACGAATGACAGCGATGAATGACACTAATGCTATTTTCTAGGAACATACACTTACACACTACACTAATGAGCAATGCCGAGACGCAGCAGAGTTACGCGTCTGTCTCCTTCTCTTCGTCTTCATCTTCCATCGCCTCTGCGGCTTCTCCACTGCCCTGCTGTTCATCCTCCGCTTCTGTCGTCGCCTCCGTAGCGAGCAGTTCCGCAAGTTCAACTCCCGGGGCTTCTTCTCCTTGGTCTTCTCCTTCCCCAGCCGCGGCCTGTGCCAGTGCTTCCTCCAGTTCCACTTCAATGGCATTCTCCGTGTCGAGGAGACCCTCCGATGGAAGGAAGTTGTCCTCGGGATCTGTCAGCTGGCCCGGTTCCTCCCCATTCTCCCTGTCCTCACGCTCATCGTCGGCTTCGTCCTCATCTCGCGCCGTGCGGACGCACTCTCCATCAACAAGATCATACCCAGGTCGACTGCAGATCACGCTACGACAGCGTCGCGAGAATGGGTCGCGAATCTCCGTCTCACCGCAACGCTCGTCTTCGCCGGGGGCGATGGTGAGACGCATCCTGAGTCCGCCGATATCCGCAGGCCGCTGGAGTGACGCGCAAGGCGCACTGCAGGTCACCTGGGCGGGTCGTGCACCAGCACACTGCGCGCAGTAGACGTTACGGAATGGTTGACCAGCCACGTAGACCACGGCGGTGTGGTTGCCGCAAGCCTCGTGGAGCGGTGAAGAGCGTGAGCAGTGGTTGCGCAGAGCGCGACAGGGACGCGCGCGGACGGTGGTTGGAGGCCGGGCGATCAGCTCGCAATGTTGTCTGCGTCCAGAGTCGAGCTCGAGACCCCAGCCGGTACGAGTGCGTCGGAGACGATCCAGGAGCTGTCGCTGGGTGGGTTCATTCGCCTTGATGTCAGGACATCGCAGCGCCAGCTGCCAGAAGGCGATGTCGGCGGTGTCGTTGTGGCACATGGCGCAGTAGAGACTGCTGTAGGTCGTGTTGGACGTCACGCTGGTGACGGGAAGCGCCGAAAGAGGGTCTTCGGAAGCGCTGGATGGTACCTCACAGCGCACCTTGTTGTCGTAGCGGTCAAACTCTCGCGGACATGCCGACATCATGTACCAGTTCTCTTCGTCGGCAGATGTGGAACCGAGCGACGACAGGGTTGGCGCTGAACGGCACTCGAGTTCTTCCTTCTCTTCTTCCTGTTCCTTGCCCTCTTCTGTGTCTTCGCCGACCGCTGTCAACCTCAGCGGCGTCTCTGTTCCAACTTCTTCGTTTTCTCCATCCGTGTCCTCTCCTTCTTCCTCTTCATCTTTGAGCGCATCAGCATCCCGACAGCAGTCTCCATATCTTCTGCATTCGGCGTCACAGAAGCAGCCTCGATCGGACCAGGAGAGGCTCTGGCGTGTGTCACGGCGATCCCACACTTCGTCAGAGCAGGAGTGGTGGTCCGGGCAGATAAAGGCGTCTGTTGGGGGCGACAGAGGTCGCTGGGGACGTTCCGGACGGTCCGGACGTTCCGGACGGTCTGGACGTTCCGGACGGTCCGGGAACCCCGGACGTCCCGGACGGAACGGCCGGTCATGGCCTCCGGGACGGTCATGGTGCCCGGGTCGGTCGTGAATCTCAGGACGGTCAGGTCTTGCCTGCGGATCGGGCAGAAGTCCAGGACGGTTTGGTCTTCCTTCGACTCCCGGCACTTCATCTCCTTCCAGGTACAGCACAGTCGGCTTGTGCGCTCCCTCCGGGCGGAACTCCGTGCCCGATCCTCCGGCCGCTCCGTGATCCTCCGGCCAGCGACTCGGCTTGTAGAAGTGTCCTCCTGCTCCTCCCGCTCCTCCTACTCCTGTTCCTCCTCCCGCGGCTCCGCCGTCCTCTGCGCCACTGTGATGATCATGAGGCGAGTACGGATACCACTGGAACGGCACCATGGGGCGAGGGCGATGGGCCAACGAGTTTAGGAACTGGTGGTAGTCGGCGCCACGGTCTCCGGAATCTGCGTCCTCTACTCCGAGAATGATGTCAAGACCGACTGAAGCTGATGGGACGCCAGGACCGTGCTCATAGCCAGTGTAGTGAGCGGCTGGGTTCGCGGCAGGGGTGTGGAAGGATGCCAGGAGTGGAAGGATGTAGCAGCAGAGTAGCAGCATGATGTCTGGAAACGAGCACCCGATGGCCCAGGACGGTGATAGCTTGTGGCTCGTTTAGCTTGTGATCTTGGCTTGACTAGGGCGATGGTAGATGTAGAAGTTAACCTGCGTTGACGTTCTATATGCTAATTTTGCCTTTATAGAAGGTGTTGGAAGATTATTTTATCACGGAACACGATGATTCACAGTTGGGTACGCTGATGACACGATGATGACGCACTTGGACTGATAGATGGTGAACTTCGACGAATACAAAATTACTTCCGAATCTTCCTGATCTTCTACCGATGCTCTTCTATGGCTTGCCGATCCCTTCCGACGTTTCCACTGAATTGCGCCACGAATCGCAGAAGGGATGCCACTCAGTACTTAGTTCACTACAGCAGACTTCACCGTCTGCAGTCTAGCCGAAGAGTGGCCGCCCGCAGCCAGCTATGAGTTGAACCTAAAGTGCCGGTGGCGGAGCGGCCGATCTCACCTCCCTTTCGGCCGGCGTCTGGGGCCAGACTGGCTTCTCTGCCGCCGTCGTCGCTGTCGCCGCTCCACAGATCACGTGACCCGTGCCGCTGCCGCTCGGCTGCTCACGTGACCCTTGCGGCCACCGCGGCAGTCGCGCTACCTTGATCTTGAACTTGCTCGGAGCGCTGACCCTTCCACCCCTCCCCGCTGCGGTCTTCGCTACCCTCTGGTGATCACAAACGAAGACAAAACGCTGACCGGTCCCTCAGTTGCGCTTGTAAAGCTTTGTCCCCACCTGCCCGTCGAGTAGGGGTGGTCATGGGTCTGACTACTGTGGTGGGAGTGTTGGTAGCTGGGGTGGGAGTGATGGGAAGGGGAGGGAGGGTAGGAAATGACTGCATTCTTCCAGGGGACTCACAAAGAGGTCGTTTGTGGACGCCGGTCAGCACCTGTTTAGGTTATCCTTTGTGTGTGGACTGTGAGTTGTGGGCAAGGGTGAGGGCAGTGGCGGCGGTAAACCACCGATTAGAAGTGGACTTGTATGAATCAGGCAGCGGCGTAACCGAAGTTGAAAGTGCTACCATGTTCGTCTTACGCTCGTATACCAGTATTTTGTATTTAGTAAATGCGTATCTCTGATTCCTACTTAAAGTTCATGTATATTTATCAGTCAAAATTGCGGAAACTAATATGAATTACTGACACATTTATCTTTTTGATGACCATGTTACGTGGAAGAGGCGCTTTGTTTAAATGGATTGAATGGTCAATATATAAACAAAGGAAGCCGCAGGGCTTATCCTTGAACAGAGGAGGCATTCTCTTCGTCCAAATGCTGATAAAATCATCGTATTTTACCATACTTTTTCCGTTTGAATTAAAAACATTGTTCATGAATATGCAAAGCTGCCTCATCGGATAAGATTGTTTGTTTCTCGTCAGTTGCCGCATCAAACTGAGAACAACGACGCTGAAGGAGATTCAACCGGATAACATGGCCTGTTCTGAATGACATTCTTCGTTTTTATGGTGCTGCAATCCCCACTTTATCATTCTGTCTCGTTTGAACAGTGCGCTATCTTTAATTGGCTACGTCACAGTGGTATGTGCATTGTAGTTTGTTCTTGGAGCCCATTTGCCAGCGTAGCTGAATTCATACGAGACCTGTAACCACAGTCGTCACAATCATCATTATACGACTGAACACTCACAGTCACAAAGGCACGAAGTCACACTCCGGCGCGTTATGCACACGGCACAGGGCATCGTTCGGGACTAATTTCCCATATCCTGTCCTCCCCCAGTGATCAGACTGATGACTCAGTGACTTGGGGTTCTACTCGGTGACTCAGTCAAACAAAGGTGTCGGTATGAACCGGTCACCCTCGGCTGGACAGGGGTCAGTAACTGAGGGGCAGGGACCGTGGGTTATTGAGCTTATCAACGGGGCCACGTTCCTTGTTAGTGCCGCCGGTGCCAGTCGCATCTGTTGAGCTTCTGAGGTGTCATCATGGAATATGTGCCTTCAGCTTGTTCAGTAAGGCATCACCATAGTTCACATATTCTTGAAACGGATGTTGTTTTACAACGAATGTCCGCCATTATTTAAGCATTCTCATCGCCACCACCTAGCGCAATCAATTTGTTCGGCTTTTACCGGCGCTCATAAATCCGCAGCTGATCTGACCTTTTCTCTCTACCTCGTTTTCACCACACCCGTCCATCATGAGCTCTCCGTGTCTGGGTCAGAGAATTCAACACCGCCCGACCCGAATCGTCCATCCGACTTCCTATCTCGGCTTTCTAGGGTCGAAGGTGCACCCGAATGCCGCGCTTTGGTTGGAGCAAGCGGATGCGTGTTTATTCCAGCATTCCAGCAGGCAACCGCAGAAGGGCTGCGCTACATAAGCTAGGATATGAATATCATGGCTAGGAGTCACGCCTGTGGCACGCCTCCCTCTTTTCTTCTCAGGTCTCTCCTTCCTTTTTCTTTATCTCTTTCTCTTTCTCTCTCTCTCTCTCTCTCTCTCTCTCTCTCTCTCTCTCTCTCTCTCTCTCTCTCTCTCTCTCTCTCTCTCTCTCTCTCTCTCTCTCTCTCTCTCTCTCTCTCTCTCTCTTCCCCGCTCCCCTTTCCTTTGCCGTATTTAATCCCCTTCCTCCTCTCCTCTTTCTTTTGTTCTCCGTCTTTCTGCCTTCCCCCTTTCCTCTCATTTCCTTACCAACCTGACCCACCCTTCCCCCTTTTTCCCCTCTTCCACTCTTTATCCACCAACCACCCACCTATGTGACCCTTCCCACACAAGACGGCCCAGCAGTCTCCTTTTCACACACCAGCCTACCTGGTTTGTCTGGTCTAGTCTAGTTTAGCTGACCGGTTGAACCTGTGGCTCCACCCGTCATACAATTCCCACCGGGGAAATGGAGCGGTTATTCGCCTTTGAGAGTGCCGCTGCGTTAATAAGTGAGAAACGCCGTGTGAATAGGAAGTCCTGGTGACACCCCAGCATTTAGTGTGGGTGGTGCGGGCGTGGTAAGTATGTGAGGAGCTGCAGGAGACAAAGGAGTAGCCGGGCCGTGCTAAAATGACCCAGTGTTGAGATGTAAATGCCAAAGAAAATGGGTCACATGTGGCAGAGAAGTTCGCTGCTTAACCATTGGAAAGCATTTGTTTTAGACATTTCTACCTAATACGAGTCAATTGCAACTTTCCCAGCTATTTATATTGATTTGTTCATGCCAAACCTGGTTGGTACTTGGTTGTCTTATGTGGCTTCCCACCTCTGACTATTTCCTGTCTAGCCTGGGCGTACCCCACGTGTCATTATGCCGATTTCTCGGCCACACAAACGTTTCAATTCATCCGTAACCGGTTCTGCTATACGGTGTGGCACGCGCTTTAACGCCAGTTCACCGACCGAAACAGTGCATTGGAGCGTAACGTAGACTTAGTACACGTCACACCGACTAACTAGGCGAACAAAGGTGGCGTAAACGGTCTGCACGCGCCCTGACCTGGCGGGGACCCCTGGGAAGAAGCGTGAGTGACATATTGGTCAATGAATTGTCATAGATTTCGCCGTGAAGGACGCGTGTTGGTTTTGTAAGTGGCGGTCGGGTCAGTGCGTGCCTGCGAGCGACTTTGGTCTGGTTGAGATATATGGTACGACTGTAGCTCTAAGTTACATGTGAAGGAAAAACATAGATTCAGTGAGGATAGAAATTCAGTTTGAATGGGATTCTTGTATTCTTGTATTGCATAATATCACCAACAGGCATGATCCCTATGATAGGTGAAGTCAAAAGATAAAATACGAAAAAAAACATGCACAATAAACTATCATAATAAAAACAGTATTCTCATGTACATTGCCCTAGAGTCTCACGAATCCGGTATAGAGGACGAGGCGCCTCTTGATGCTTCCAACAGGATCACATAACACATCAGTTTGAGGCTGGGCTTCCAGAAATTTGTTGGTGGCACGAGGACAGCGCGTAAACAGGCCGTTTGCAATGCAGTTCACTCGCCCACGCGGCACATGGAACAATGTCGACACAGCGCTGCGTGTCGCTCTGAGCGGAGCGTGTAACGAGAACGACCGTAGAAGATGAGAGGATGACACCGAACCTTTGAATACCTTGCACAAAAATATAATGTCACTCTCAATGCGCCTGGCATGTAGCGATCTCACGTCGAACAGCTTCAGCAGGTAATGATATTCAATCGAGTCATGGTGAACGTTCGTCATGTTTGCCAGCCAAATCAAAAACTTGTGCTGGACACGTTCCAAACGCACGAGATGACACTTGGAAGCACCGGCCCAAACTACAGAACAGTACTCTAGGATGGCCCTAACATTTGCATTGAATGCCGCGAACACTGCTCTCCTGTCCAGTTTGCACCGCGGAGAGGTCGCCTGGAGGCTCCGCATGAGTAGCCCTAGTGCCCGATTGGCCTTTGAAACAATCACATTTGTATGGTCTGCAAAAGTAAGTTTTCGGTCAAGTACCACACCCAAATCACGAATCGAAGTCACTTCCTGCAGAGTGCTACCACTGATTTGATACACAGATGGATATATGTCTCTTTTGAGCGTGATTTTAAAAGTTTTACACTTCGAGGGATTCAGCTTGAGCCCCCAGACCGCCGCCCATTCCGTTACAGCATCAATATCGTTCTGGAGCTTTTGTACATCATCGTGATTTCTAACTTTCTGAAAAATCTTCAAATCATCGGCAAACATCAAGCAATCTGTCTTGACGACAGATGGCAGGTCGTTCACAAGGAGCGAAAAAAGCATCGGACTGAGCAAACCGCCCTCCGGCGTTCCTGAGACGACTGGGGCCCACTCTGACACCTTGCCGTTTAAAACAACTCGTTGCTTCCGCCTTCCTAAATATGACGACAGCCACTTCAGAGCCAACCCTCTCACACCATACATGTGTTCCAGTTTGTACAGTAAAAGACGATGGTTAACGCTCTGGAATGCACTTGAAAAATCTGTGTATACCGCATCAAGTTGGACACCCTCAGATAATCGATACCAATTAGCATATTGATATCCCCATAATCTTGGTTTATGATATTTTGTTTTTCATTCTATCTTGTGATTCGTCTAGTGTTAGCTATTTCTCTTTATTGCAAAGTTATCAGCAATGTCGCATATTTTCACACCGATGACTTTATTGGGCATCCTCAGTTGCCAACAATTATAACAGGCGTCCATGGGTGTAATTAATACAGGCCACTTTCCTTGAAACACGCCATAAAACTGAAAATTTGCAGTCACTACGTCTTGCGGTCCCGCCGACAATACACCTTGCTTCCAATTTGCGCCTTCCTGTAGCGGTAGTTAGACACAGTGGCTGGGTTGGCCTTCGCAAGGTAGTCATTTTTCACGGCTTCCTTAATTCTGCAGCGGCAGCCCGGCACGGCGGGAGCCGCTGATGGATTTGAGTGGGGGGAGCTGGAGCTGGAGCTCTTTGGGAAGAGGTGGGTCCACTTGAGGTACTGCGTAGTGTTTATAGTGTCCACTCAGGCACCAGGCCTCCGTAGAAAAAAAAAACTATGGGGATCTCGATAATATAATTTACATCCAGGCTCCTAAACGGAGAATTAGTTTTTCCGAAGCCATTTATTTAGAAAAGTAAAGCTGTGACAACTCAACCCAGCCCAGCGTAACCAGACTACTCAGCCGGGAGCGGTCCAGCTGCTCTCAGCTCAGCATAGCCGGACTCAGCTCAACTCAGACACTGCAGGGCCGTCGCTGACCTCTGTCGCGCGAGCTGCGCGCGGCCAGTCGGCACTGATGACTTCCTTCTGACACCGACCGGCCGTATCAAACGAGCCCTGCTCTGCCGAGACAAATGAGCCCAACTCAGCTGTCTTAAACGAGCCCTGCTGTGTGGTGGCAAACGACCCCTGCTCGGCCGGTGAGGAATGAGCTCTCTCAGCATGGAGTCGCCGCATTCCACACGGTGGTGGTGAGGTCCTGTCAGTAGCACCTGCGTGATGACAATGACAGGGCGTGAAATGATGGAGGGGAGGGTGGAGGGATGATAGACGAAACGTGTTGTTTGAAGGAAGAGTCTTGGGGGAGGAGGAGCGTGATGGATTCATGAAGGCAACGAGCCTAGACAGGCTGTTGCGGGGGATCTATGACGAGTTCAAGGAGATTCACAATGATGCAATAAATCGTCGTAATCACCCACCATCGCATAAAAGCACCTTAGGTAGACAACAAACTGCTTCATTGGCAGTAAAATTCGTCACCAACATCTGCCTCGCCATTTTTATCCACCGTACACACCAACACCAGTGGTGTTACCGTCCTCTGGTGCCGACCCACGCTCGGGTGCGGCTCTGTGACCACCGGAAGTCGGGCACTTCCGGTCCCTTGGCGAGACTGGCGGAGACTAGCACCGGAGAATTCACCCACTCGTATCATGCCCTGAAGTCTCGAAGGGTTATTTGCGAGTTTATTGAGTTTGATTTTAGCTGGGCTCACCATTTTGGCCGAAGAAGAGTGCTATTTCAGGTTCAGTTTTGTAGAATGATGAAAAACAGCCTTATGTTTTGTGTTCTGAACACTCCTCCATTTATGCTTCGCCTCCCTTCCGAACAATAACAAAACTCCACCGCCCTGACCTCCCTGACCTTTACCAAATCCGCACCGTCTAAATCCAAATCTCTTTGAATCTCTCCGCTCCAGCGATCGCGGCGTCCACTTATCAACCTCAAGCCGGAACATTTGCGCTCGGAAATTAGCGTGAGACATTTACAGCTGTTTTTGTTGCCGTGTCTTTTGTGATTTAGTGCTAATTGGATCCAGATATGACGGTGGGGAGGGTGGAGGGCGAAGGGAGGAGGGAGGGTTGAGGTGCTCCTTCAGTGGTTAGGTCACTGTCCGGAGGCCGATTGTATTGTGCTGTACTGTGCTGTGCTGTTTTGTGATATGATGTGATATGTGATGTCAGTGGGCAGTTGGAAGGTCATTGGCCCAGCGTGAACTGAGCTGTGCGACGCAGTGTTTCTTTTACTATGAAAGACCTCCACGAAAGATGTTCTGTTATGATCTGCATACCGGGCTCCATATACTTTGTTATGCTTTATTGCAGTCTCCAAGCTGCGGATACCCTCTTTTGGTTCGTTGCAGTCTCCAAGCAAATGGGACATATCTGCGCTGTTTCTGGCGATCTGTTAGACATCCTGTGGACGCTATGTTTCGGTAGAGGACCAATAATCATTTTATCCCTTAGCTTCTCCTTCTTCCCCCCTCTCTCTCTCTCTCTCTCTCTCTCTCTCTCTCTCTCTCTCTCTCTCTCTCTCTCTTTCTCTCTCTCCCTCTCTCTCTCTCTCTCTCTCTCTCTCTCTCTCTCTCTCTCTCTCTCTCTCTCTCCTGCCCTGTCTCCCTCCCTCCTGCCCTGTCTCCCTCCCTCTCCCTCCCTCCCTCCCTCCCTCCCTCTTTCCCTCCATCCATCTCTCTCTCCCTCTCTTACACTCTCCTCCGACCACACCAAATGCTGCCTAGACTTAACGCATGTTCTTGAGTCCTGTGTTGATTAGTCGTAGAGCCTGCATTCACCACGGAAGGCACTGCATGTCGTGACCGTTTAGTCCCACATCTCCCGCCATTGTCTGTGAGATAAAATGAAAGAAATTGAGGTCCACCGGTGTTATTTCCGGATAACCTCTCCTCGCCTCCCACTCCGCATGCAAACAACTCCCACGGAACTAACGTGAGACACGTAAACACGCGTTCTGTTATCAGTGTAGTTAATATGAGCACGTGTTACACATGCTGCTTATTCTTGCCCTTTGCTTTACCGCATTTCCTTTCTCTCGCTCATCCTTATTTGTCTATCTCTCTAGGGCCTCTCGTTTACCTTTCCAGCCCCGTCTGCATCGTCTTCATCTCTTTCTCTCTTGCCTTCTCTAGTTCCCTTCCTCTATTCTTCTCTCTAAACTTTACCTGCTCTTCCCTCTAGATTTCCATCGTTACCCTCCTCATTTTTTCCTCTCTCTCCCTCTCTCCATTTCTCACACTAACACCTCTTCTCTCCCTCCCTACAGGCCGGCGGCTGTTGCCACACCTACATCGAGAAGGGTTACGAGTTCGACGTTGGTATCCACTACATCGGAAACCTGAACACACAAACGCCCTCCAAAACCCTGCTGGACCAACTCACCAACGGCCAACTGCAGTGGGCGCCACTCGGTGAGTTTCAGTGAGTGAGTGAATGAGTGAGTGGGTGAATGAGTGAGTGAGTGAGTGAATGAGTGAGTGACAGTGAGTGAGTGAGTGAGTGAGTGAGTGAGTGAGTGAGTGAGTGAGCGAGCGAGCGAGTGAGTGAGTGAGTGAGTGAGTTGAGTGAGTTGAGTGAGTTGAGTGAGTGAGTGAGTTGAGTGAGTGAGTGAGTGAATGGGTGAGTGAATGGGTGAGTGAGTGGGTGAGTGAGTGAGTGGGCAGATGGCGATTTAATGAATGCATTAGAGTGAGTGAGTGAGTTGGTGATGAATGATTTAATGAATGAATGAATGAATGAATGAGTGAATGAATGAATGAATGAATGAATGAATGAATGAATGAATGAATGAATGAATGAATGAGAAGAGTCAGACGAACGAGACGAATTCCAACGCTTGATTGTCATAAAGAACTTTGACACACTCACTGACGATTCTGACATCTTCGCTCTCAGATGATGAGTTTGACACTGCCGTGTTCGGAGACAACCGCTACTCGGTGCTCGGTGGGGGCCGCAAACGCTGGATTGAGAACATCAAGAAGCAGTTCCCCGACAACATTGATGATGTCGACAGGTTAGTATACGATGTGGAATACGATGTGAAAATCTCAGTTGACTGACGATCTGGTGAAATGAACTGGTGATATTGAATTATATGTTTTGATGTGGACTAACAAAGCTGTTGACGAGTCGGTTTCCTGCCTTCTTGCAGTTAATTCCCCCACACTCAACGAAATATAAACGCATAAGACTTGTCTCGTTTCGGATAAATGCGGTGCTTGTTACTATGAGAAGATGTCGGGACCTGAATCTGAACCCAGTCTAAGAAGTCCGTCTCCCCTCTTGCAGCCATTGTATTCCTCCTTGAGGGAGCTCCCCCTCCCGATGGACTTACCTTGCTCACACCGCCCCAGGCTGTGTGACGCCGTGATCCGCTGCAAGAAGAGCAACTTCTACATGGCCGTGGTGAAGCTCCTGCCGGTGTGGCTCAGCCAGCTGCTCGTACAGACGGGTCTGTTCAGTCTCATCTCAGACATTTTCAAATGGAACGACCGCACCGTGCTCGACGTCGTCTCGGTAGGTAATGATGGAAATGTTTTTTTAAGGACGTGTTCTCCTAGACTAGACGTGTTCTCGTAGACTAGGTTGGTTGAGGGAAGATTTTTACTATTTCGTTATCCTCTCTCAAAAATAACTTCGTTGCCCTAGATTTACATGGTTACATAATGTAGTCATCAAATAACTATGGTTATTTAACTATTTATTTGTTTATTTAGTCTTGAGTTGCTGGTTTCGCTGTACTTTGTTGACGTATTATGGGTGAAATTACCAGTAGAAGACAAAACCGCGTGTCTCGGCTGTTTCGTCATGCCCAGTTTTCATTCTTAGCATTTAAAAAAAACTCGATTTTTTCAGTCTGAGACGAAGAACAAGGACCTTCAGGCGTACTTTATGTACTGTTTCGGCGACTACGGTACAGCCCCGGACAAGGCCGGCTTTCCCATGCAGGCCACCCTACTGGGACATTTCTGGAACGGTAAGCCGCCGGTGCTGACATCTACTGAATCCCTGAGTAGTCTGTACCACGTTAGTGATGAGGTAGACATGTTAGAAAGGTGGTAAAAACTTGCGAAGATCATTGACATACCAAATGATAGTCTTGGTATCTACATAATATGTCAGATGAATTAATAGGCTTGTGTTCCAGACTGTAGGCTGTAGCTGTATATTTGTCCTCTACTTAGTCTTATTGTATCGTTACCTGAGGTTTCTATTCACTGTGCCGCCCTGTGTCGTCCAGGCGGCCTTCCCTTATGTTCCTTTGCTGTCCTTTGTGTCCAGATTGATCACCTGTGCCGCCCTCTGCCGTCCAGACGGTCTTCCTTTATGTTCCTTTTTCACCTTTGCTGTCCTTTCTGTCCAGTCTTTTCACCCGGACCGCCCCCTCTGTGTCGTCCTGGCGGCGCTCCCTTATGTCCCTGTGCTGTCCTTTGTGTCCAGTCTCTGATCACCCGTGCCGCCCCCTCTGTGTCGTCCTGGCGGCGTTCCCTTATGTCCCTTTGCTGTCCTTTGTGTCTACTTTGTTTACCAGTTTTGTGTCGTACAGGCGGCGCGTACCCGATTGGCGGTGGCTCTGAGATTGCCTTCCACATGATCCCAGTGATTGAGGAGGCCGGAGGACGCGTCCTGGTCAGGGCGGAGGTAAGAGATTAGACCATGCTCACTCAGGCACTCACTCGCTCATAGTCAGTCTTCCTGTCACTTACCTATCACTCACTCACTCACTCACTCACTCACTCACTCACTCACTCACTCACTCACTTACTCACTCAACTCACTCACTCACTCGCTCAATGAACGTCTATTGATGTTATTTGAATACTGACTGACTCACTCACTCGCCTAGTCACCCAATCACCAAACGTCAATCGGTATCTTTAGGATATTCGTTTGGTCGCAAATTATCTCATTTCAATGCACATTCGACATTTATGCCTCGTTAATGTGCCGTGTATCTGACATCATATGATGTGTATCTGACGTCAGGCTTCTGAGCTGCTGCCTGCTGATGGATGAGCTCCGCAGCACGGTGGTCGTTGTGACGTCATATGATGTGTATATAACGTGTATATCACATATGAGTATGACGTATCTCTGACGTCAGGTTTCTGAGCTGCTGATGGACGAGCTCCGCAGCGCAGTGATCGGTGTCAAGGTGAAGAAGGCTAGCGGAGCGGTGGTGGATGTCAGGGCCCCGATGGTCATCTCCAACGCAGGTCAGAGTCGGGTAGGAGTCCGAGCCAGGATGGGGCGGGAGTCAGGATCTGAAGGAGTTGGGGTCGGTTCTGGATGTAGTATGAGCCAGAGTCCGAGGGAGTTTGAGTCGGTTCGGGGTCGTCAGGTCATGATCAGAAAGGTATCAAGGCCAGGGTCAGAGTCATAGAAGGGCACGATGTGTCTCAGTTTAAGTGTAGTATAGCTCGTTACAGTCATTGTTAAGAGCAAATCGACACGAAACGTCTGTATCAAGTGAAGACTTCCCTGGTGGCAGCGATCTAAAATGCACCATATGGTCTCGACTAGAGGTGGCAAAAGATGAAAATTTTGGGAACCAGACTCGAACCAGACCCGGCTGGACATTTCTGGAACCAGTCGGACCCGGTCTTAGTTGGAACCGGAACCAGTCGGACCCGTTCCCCAAAAGTCAATTAATACAAACTACTTGAAGGAATCATTAGTTGCATCATGTAAAACAGCCTATTTCCCACTGGGAATACTCATGAGATACTGTGTGCAAAGAAACATTCACTTCATATTTTGCAATTATGTGTAGTGTGCAAGATGTATAGTTTATGGTAGGACCCGGTTGGACCCGTCAGGAAATATCCAGGAACCGGTCTGGACCCATATGGGTCCAGACTGGTTCTTTGGACCGGGTCCTCGGGTCCACGTTTTGCCACCTCTAGTCTCGACAGCCTGAAATCCGTCATCTCTACTCGGCTGACCTGTGACCGGTCGCGCCCGCAGGCATTTACAACACGATGCAGCGCCTGGTGCCGCGGCCGGTGGCCGAGACATCACGTCTGTGGCCGGTGACCAAGCTGCCCCACTCTCTGCCTGGCTTCTCGGTGTTTGTTGGAATCAACGCGCCGCTGGAGAAAATCCGCGGAGAGGGAGACAGCCGGATCTCGGCACGGAACTGGTGGGTCTTCACCAGCAACGACCTGACCAAGGTGAGAGGTGACTGATAGATCACAGCGTTAACAACAGTGATGTGACGTTATAATTAAGTGGTGTTAATTTGTGATATTATTTGTATGTGCTGCAATAAAATGGTAAGTACATGCTGTTTTTTTTTTTTTTTACTGAATTAATGGCCGCACGAGTTTATCAATGTCCTATGAAGAAACTGATCGGTTTTTGTGATCCGGATATGTCAGAGCATCGCAACGACATTGTTAGCGCCATGTTACGACATTAAACACCATTTTGAACAACTTGGTAACTGTACCATTAACGTCATTGTGTCGTTGCCGGCAGTGCTGTGACGACTACATGTCGCTCTCGGTGGAAGAGGCTCTGGATAGCGACGTACCGCTGCTCTTCATATCGTTCCCTTCCACCAAGGATCCCGAGTGGGAGAAACGCTACCCAGGTAATTTGAAAGGAACTTTGGAGAAATGCTAATGACTGCACCAGGCGGCCGCCCGTAGTCACAGTGACAGGTGAATTATTCGGTGTGGATATTGAGAGAGCGTCACGCCTTCCTGTATTCATACTGCTTTCCTTACTTCTGCGTAATGCCACTTTGGAGGCGAATCGCCTATCAAAGTGTTATTATAGAGAATTTGATCATGTCCGTTATAGGGAATTTACCATGTACACATCGCTCATATCGACCACATGGTCGTTGGTCATGCCCACGTGACATGACTAGATGGCCAACGTTGTAATGCACGTGATCATCACATGACCTCAGCTAACCGATGTTTATTCTATCACGTCCACGTGACCAGGCAAGACCACGATGGCGATCGTCTCCCTGGCCAACTACGACTGGTTCAAGCAGTGGGAGAACGAGCGATGTAAGAAGCGCGGGGCCGACTACGAGGGAGTCAAGAACACCATCGGAGACCGCATGGTGGCACAGGCGACCAGGCTCTTCCCGCAGATCAAGGTACTGGGGACATGTGGTGAGGTTCGTGGGGAGGGTTAGTTGGGATTTATGGGATTCGCGTGTTTAAGGGCGAGATGGGGAACCGATATTGGCCAGTCGAAGGAGTGTTGAGGATTGGAAAGTGGTGTGGCGGCTATCCGATGCAAAAAGATGTAAAGTAACTGAGGCCCACGAAATCATATGGCAAGGACTGGGACATTAGAAGTCACTTATGAATCGAGATAAGAGGATGGAAACGGATCTATTCCCAGGTATTGGAACGGGAGAGCGGAGTGCTTCTGAATATCGGGCAAGAGCAATTATGTTTTCCAAATCGTATGATTATGGGACATTGCTTCCGAAAGATTGAAGTCTTTAAGTGCCATTATGAACACAAATGGATTGTTGAGAAACGTGAATTGTTTTACACAATATTTGTTCTGTAGTCACTACCTTCACACCATTTACACTTCGGTGCCATATCTTTCTTTCACCTGCCTCCCCGTCTTTCCTTACAGGACCACATCGACTACGTGAGCTGCGGCAGCCCGCTGAGTAACAACTTCTACCTGGCGGCGCCGCGGGGGGAGATGTACGGGCTGGATCACAGTCAGCAGCGGTTCAGCGCAGAAAACCAGATCCTCCTCCGACCCGATACCGACATACCCGGTTAGTTCGGCTTGGGAAGGAGAGAAGGGGAAGAGGAGATAGAAAGGGGGAACGGGAGAAGCAGATTCTGCTGCGGCCAGATACAGATGTACCTGGTTTGTTGGGAGAAGAAAGGGAGAAAGAAGTAGTAAGGAAGGAAGGACAGATAGAAAGGGAGAAGAGAGAACCGAAACCTGTTCCGATCGGATAATGGTATACGCAGCCATTGGGGTAGAGAATGAAGGACAGAAGGGAAGAAATAAGTGCTGCTGTGAACGGATGCAGATTATACCCGGTCGATAGGGAGCAAGGGGTAGGAAGGAGACGCTGCTGCCAATATACATTGGGTGGGGGAGGAAGCGGATAAAGGGAGCATTGGGATACCCGAGACGAATGGAGAGAAACTTAGAGAGAAGTTTGGAGATGAGTAGGTAATTGATTACTCCGGAACTTCTGGACGACTTTTGTCTGATTTATCGCACGGTTTTGCGTTAATAAATGTACTGTGTATTAGGAACAGATGGGTCCTGATATCTTTTTAAATTTTGTCATCGTAATTAATTTCAAAAATAGTTTTACATGAACCTTGACCACACAAGGTCGAAGTGTCCTTCCAAAGTATCTCACGTATGTGATCTACATCCAGAACAATGGTAATCAATGAAATAATTGGAAAGGTCGTCGATCCTACGCCCCATTCCATTAAACCCACTCTCCCGGAGATATGACTAACGCGTCACACATTTCATCAGAACCTCTGCATCAAAACACCCTAGCCTATACAGCCGGTTACCACGTGCCTTAGGCCCATTAAACGGTCTGGTGTTTCCTGTCCTGGCGGCGCCGCGGCGGCCGACGGCGTCAAAGGTCCCGCCCCTGACGCCAGTGGAGTCGAACGGGCGCTATTGGACACCTCTCGGCCCGGGCACAGGCAGAGCAGAGTCCGGGTGCACTAGGGTAGACCGGGACTGGTGCGTAGGTAGGGCAAAGTCGAGAGGAGGTGATACTGAGGTCGGTTGAGTGCCCGGCGAGATTGGAAACTGAGTAGTTGAGGTTTCGGGCCTACGTGGCTGCCATCTTTCTTTGAGAACTCCCCTCGGCGATGACTTTCCTATATCTGATGCCTCTCCTTTTTCGTTTATTTCGGCCTCCGGGCTACAGGTGATTTTGAACCCCCCAGCACTGAGGAATATATGTTAGAAGTGGGCGCGGTCTAGCTGCTTGGCGTGCGCACACTGCATATTGTAGCACGATACGGTCATGTTCCGTCATAGTTCTTGAAGTTTTATTTGTTTGTTTGCTCGGTTGGCTGTAGTTTATATGCGACTGGTGGCGAGGGTTGAAGGGCGAAGGCTCAAGTGTCGAGACCTGTTGAGTGTTTTAGCGGCATGCCACGTTTGCCCTTCGTGGCTCACGCCAAAGTCTGGCTTATAGGTCATTGACTTGACCTTTGAGGTCTCCGGCGTTGGTGATTTAATTTTCTTCAGACCTTGGCCTCGTTCACCTTAGCTGCAAATCCGACGTATTTTCATGCAATCAAATCAAATTCTCATAGCACGTGTTGCTTTTATTTTTCTTTGTTCATTTGTCCACGATTAATCCATTTGTCTTTAAAAATTTCATTTGTGGAGGCGCCCGTCGAAAATGTTGTGCGTGACATGCATCAGCAGCTCTTGAATGTTTTTAAACTACTGAATTAGTTCGATTTGTGTGCATATAAAGCGCATTGCGTATTTTCTTCGAAGTTGTTATTTTCCATTATTTCGTGCGTTAGAACGTCAGTGAATATCAATAACAGCTAATATTTAATGGTGTCGCAATGCAATCAGTGCTGCTATGATTCGCACGCGGTCGTTAAAGTTGCGTCATTTTTAATGCCTCGGGAAGTATCGTGCTATGAAACACACCAAGCTTGTGGGCGTTTTCTGATTAATCAGCCGTGGCAATCGACGTCTCACTGAGGGGTCGATGGTCGCTGTTTGCTGGCCGCGTACAGTTTGATCGATACCGGAAGTCTGCGTGTTCGGCGAGCTATCAGCAGCGCCCGGTCCGCCGCTAGTGTCGGCTTTGGGTAGAGCGGCTGCGTAGTGTCTTCCCACGATGTCCACCACACCCCAGCAGGCTTCACGGCACACATCTGAGCCTCGCGAGCCCCCCAGCCAACTCATAGACCGGTTCGCGGACGCTCCGCCGCAGTGGCGTAAGTTGGAGGCGATCCTGGCGATGCGCAGCTCTGCGGGCGAGCCGGTGCCGCCGGGGCTGACAAGCCGCGTGCAGGCGGTGACTGGTGGCCCCCAGTTCTGCAGTGTGCCCGCGCGACAGCCGGGGAAGCCGGACTCCCCCGCCGGAGCAGCGGGTGTATACGCGCCCAAGCCGTTCCAGCAGCCGGCGCGCTGTTCGGCGGATCCGCGAGCCATCAGTGTGGTCGGGAGTGGTGTATCGCAGACTCCCCCGCGCCGGCCGCTGCCCCTGCCGGCCTCACCGGCTGTCTGTACACCTCAGGGCGAGTCAGGACATCGGCCGGTCGTATCACAGCACCAGCAGGGGACGCAGCTGCCGCAGCTGCCGGCGCCGCAGAGACGAGCGCAGAATTCGTCCAGCTCACATCTGATTGAGAGTATCTCACAGCTGGTGAATCAGTCGCAACAGCAGCAGCAGGCGCAACATCAGCATGCTCAACGTCAACATGCTCAACATCAACAGGCGCAACAGCAACAAGCGCAATATCAGCAGACACAGCAACATCAGCAGGCGCAGCAGCGACGAAGCCCACCTGGCAGAGACACGACAAATGCTCGGGATGTCGGCAGTGGCACTGGCCGTGGTGCAAACAACGGTGGTGATAATGAAGAGAATCGTGGTGGAGCCCGTGTCAGAAATCATGGAGGAAGTCAAAGTGCAGCGTATAATAATCGACAGGGATGTGACATGGAGAATCGTGTCGAAAATCGTCATGGATATTATGCTGGAAGCATGACAGACTGTGCAAAGGTCCGGGAGAATCACACCGATCGGGCTGTAGGAAGGGATATCGGCAATGGCGTCGTTGGAATCGGCGAATCCCCGCCCGGCTGGCCATACAACGAGCGAGATGAACACACCCCATCACGATCTCACCCTCCGCCCCTGCCTCCTCCTCCGGGGCGTCCAGCACTGCCGGCCTCTGATCAAGACGATCTCCGTCGGCTGCACGAACTCATGGAGATTACCCGAGCCGAGAGTGAGATTTGTCAGATGGAGCGAGTGATGCAGAACCAAGAGATGGAGGCGACCGAGCAGCGTCGACTGGCCAGAGAGCGGGCTTATAGACAATCTCGACCGGTGGCTAGTCCTCCGCCTAGTCCTGGAGGTCCTGAGGACGCGGGTGTCACGCTGGATCGACTGCGAAAGTCGAACAAGTACTGGTCGACCGGTTTAGTGTCAGGTGGACCGTCAGACCGTGAGTTGGTGACGCTTCTGCTGACTCGAGTCACACAGCTGGAGTCACAGCTGAATCGTAGTAAGGATCAGCTGGCCGAGAGAGATAAGGAGGTGGAGAAACTGAGGGCGCTTTGTGAAGGCGCCGGTTCTAGCGGCGGAAGCCCACCCAGCGCCATGAGGAAGGCAGGCAGGAAGTCTCTCTGCGAGACAGCTGCATCAGACGGCGAGACGGATCACCTGCGCCGTGAATGTCGCCGTCTTCAGAAGCATGTGAGAGACATGGAAAAGTTCCTAGCTGATTACGGTCTCGAATGGGTCGGATCTGGGGCGAGTAGCGACGATCTAACGACGGCGCGTTCTCACGGGGATGCTGACCGAGATGCTGAAGCGGACGGTGACACTAACGAAGGTGGTGGCGAAGGAGACAAACCGGACCGCTCACCGGCGATCTCACAGCGTGACCAGCCGTTCGCGGTCGACTTTGACCTGGTGACTACTCGTGTGGCGGAGTTGAACCTCTTGGCTGGTGGAGGTCAGCCGCAGCTGTGTCGAACACCTCGAGGTGCTCGATTTCAGGCGGTGTCTCCTCTCCCCCTGGCTCTCTACAGCAACGGTCTACTCCTGGAGAGCGGCCCGTTCCGTCCTTATTCCGACCCTCTGGCACAGCTGTTGGTAGTGGATCTACAGGACGGTTATTTCCCCACCGAGCTGAAGGAACGCTTTCCTGATGGTGTACCTCTGGAGCTGCGCGATCATCGTCATGAGGTATACCGACCACCACAACCTGCACGGGTGTTCTCTGGGCCCGGTTACCGTCTAGGCGGCCGCAGACGTAGCTCCCGACTAGTGGCTGAGCACTACAACCGCCAGCAGCGCGAACGGGAGCTGCAGAAGGAGAGAGAACAGCGCAGACAGCGACCGGCCACGCCCTGCGAGCGTCCCGCGTCAGGTGGAAGGAAGACGGGATCGGCCACCAGCCGGAGAACACCCAGCAGCTCGGGGTATCTGTCAGCGGGCAGTAGTGGGTGTGACCGCAGCACGTCTCCCCTGCCTCCCAGACAGCCGGCAGAGGTGCGACAGCAGACACAGAAGCAGGCGCAGAAGACGAAGGCGAAGGTGGGAGCCGAGCCTGCGCGGGAGACGTCGCCACCGGCGCCTGTGCGTCACAGTGCTTCAGCAGCAGATCTGAGTCTCGGTGGAGGTAACGGGAGGTCGTCCCAGCTACCACCTCCCTCTCAGGCGGTCTCTCGCTTCTTAGCGCGGCTTCCGAAGACGGTGGTGCGGAATGGACGCCTGATTGAGATCCGACGCTCCGTCGAAGAGCTGCTGACCGGTCGCGTGTCGCCGCCACCGAAGGCAGATGACGAAGAGAGTGCTACCGTCGCACGACCAACTCCTACTCAACCTCCCCCGCCACCGCCCCCGCCGCCGCCTCCACCGCCGCCCCAGCCGACCACAATCCGCGTCCGAACACCAAAGGACGCCTGTCTGACGCTCAAGCTAGACGCCAGCTGTACGATCTCCGAGCTCCGCCGAAAGATTGAGTCGGGAGGGAGCCGACCCACGGAGCCGTATGGTCTGATGACGGCCTACCCGAGGAGAATGTTGTGGGATGGCTCCCTGACGCTGAGGGAGTGCGGCCTGGTGCCGAATGGTGTCGTGGTGATGACAAGGCAGAGCAGCATGTGAACTGGCTGGTGCGGTGGGAGGAGAGGAGGGTGAAAACGTGGTGGGAAAGCGCTGATAAAAGGGAAGGGCGAAAAAGTCTTTCGGAGGGAGGACGGCGAAAGGGATTGAGGACGTTGGTGAGGACTGATGGGATGGCATGTGAGCGTTTGATCGTGTTGATAATCGTTGAAAAGGGTAGCTGATTTTGTTAGTGTGGCCTGAAAACGAAGCTTGAGCGCCTTGGTGTACAAAAGAAAAAACACATACACAAGCATGTTCTTTTTGAATAGGGGAGTTAATGGCCTCATTCAACTTTCTGATAGATTGCTGCGAAACCTATTGAAACGGCCGGTTGGTGCAATATTAGTGTTGTGTTATCGGATGATGTGTTTGTTTTCGTTGCTCGTGTTGACGTGTTCCGCCCTTCCTGAATAAAGCAAACACGGCTATGCCTATTTTTTTGGTTCATTAATGGATAAAAGAAAACGTGAAAATAATTTGAATGCAAGTTGTCAAAGATCAGATCTGACATTTCTATCTCCAGATTTATATGACCGAGGCCGACCTGACCCGCCGCAGCCTTTCTTGCTCTTAGGTGTGTATTTCACCTGACCTGACTTCTTAACAACTCTAACTGACCAGACCTGACCTGACTTTATGGTATAGACCTCTCTCCTCCAGCTGTATCGGACCCAAGCTGCCCTGACCTGACGTCTACTTTTCTTTTCCCCAGGACAGGTATGTATTTGATCTGACTTGAAAACTTATTTTCAAGTCTAATTTACCTGGCCTGACCTGATCTGACGTGACCTTTACCCCAGGTGTACCTGACCTGACCTCTCGCTCTCCCAGGTCTGTACCTGACCCGACCTGACCTCTCTGACCCCCAGGTCTATACCTGACCTGACCTCTGTCCCCCAGGTCTGTACCTGACGGGCCAGGACATTCTGAGCGGAGGCGTCACGGGAGCTCTGTACGCCGGAGTTCTCTCCGCCGGAGTCATCCTCGGCAGAAACTGTCTGAATGACGTCGACGAACTCCACAAGCGACTGGAAAAGGCGAAGTAGAGAGCGGCAGTGGAGGAGAATTGGAGAAGGGGGTAGTTCGGAGGTATGTCTACTCTTTGAGGGTTTGTAAGGGAAAATTAGTTGAAAAAGAGCATTGAGAGACAGACGAGGTTTTGATTTTCCACTCTGTTTGACTCAGTGAATGGTAGCGTTTAGAAGAGAGTGGGAGAAAAAAAGAAAATGAGAGAGCTGGGTAGAGAGGTTGGGTACGCCGGAAACGAAACTGAAAGTGTGTGTGGCAGAATGACGAGGATGGGCAGTTAGGCAGCGTTTGTGCTAGTTTCTCTTTTGGGAGTATTTTGGTATGTTTGTATCGCGGCTTTTTAACACTGTACGTCTATTTTCGTAGATGTGTTGCAAATAATAACAGTGAGCTGATGCTTCGCTATATAATACTGCCCCGAGAGACAAATGTTACGGCGGAAAGCTGTGCGTACTGCGTATGTGTTTTGACTTGTGATTTGGAATCAGGACGCTGGAATTTAGATGTGATATTCCGAGCGATACTGCCCGAAATATTTTATCTTTGGCCAGTATCGCCAATGCAGCTGATGTACGAGTATGTATGCATAATTATATAATATGATCCCTTTCGGGTTTTGGTGCGATGATGGTGGCTAGTGCATGTGGTTATATATCACTGACTAGAAGAGTACTGCCGGTGCGACTTTGCACGCAAATTGAGCCAGGAAGCTAATCGATGAGCTGGTGTTGTTGGGAGGATGTGTCTGACTTGAATATGCTTACTTGGAATAAACGATGCACTGGAAACTTCGACGGTTATTTGGAACATGGCGGATTGCAGCAGAGTTTTTTCGTTTTATGTCGGTAAAGTTTACAAAGAAATTTAGAGCAATGTCATTTTCGTCGCGCCCCCGGTGTCGCTTTGTTGGAACTGGAAGGGTGACAAAATCACAACTGCACTTTACCGAAGTGCTGAACATTTTTGAATAGTTACTTCCGTACCACTCCGTGCAGTTTTGCGGACATTCAACTTCCCCATTCCTTGCTGGGTATTCACAGATCACACACGAGACCTACTGCCTCTCCTCACTGCCTCTCCGGGAAAACAAGTTTACCTGGACACAACCACATTCACACACGTCACACACGTACCCTTTCCCCTCTTCTCCCCTACCCTTCCCTCCAAAAAAGCACGTTTAACCTATCCGACTTCGTCTAACCATTTCAGAACGGCACGTCTCGTCGCTCCCGGCGGCACCTGCCTGGCACGACTTTTCATGACGTGCCCCGAAACACGACCCCTTATGACCGTATTGTTCCTCGAAGCGGCGCGGGGCGGCCGGAGCTCGTCTGAAGCTATCCAGTAGGAGGTGAACGGTGGCCGCTGGCGGCTGGACCGGGGCGGTGTGCCAGGTAGGTCCCAACTCCTAACTCATGAGTCTGTAAGGGCGGGCGGTAGGTGACTGGCCTTATGAGATCCTGTGGTTGTGTCTGTGTGCGTGTAGGACTGTAGATATATTTCTTGTGATTGTGGTTGCCGTTTAGTGTAAGAAAGTAAGCGTTTTAACGTTTGTGTATCGCTGTGCCTGGCTTGTATTCTTTTGACGCTCATTTTCTTTCGACCTCGAGTTTTGACTTTTTAGCTTGTGGTGTTAGACGGCTGATGGGCTGCCCACAAAAACTGACCGTTTGACCTCTAGCATCGAACTTCATCGACGATGGAACTCTAACGACCGAACTCTAGTGTGACCTGTGCGTTGATCTGTATCATTCTACCTGACTTCCACTGAGCGTCGAGCTAATCTCCACGTCTCCCTCAGGCGGTCAGCATGGCGGCACCGCTGACCTCGCTGGTGCTGATTCTGCTGATGCTGACCTCGACGCTCGGCTTCCTTGGCCATCGTGAGTGTGTTCCGTCTGAACGGGTCTTTGGGGCCTGGCGGTCTTCTCAGTTCTCGGGTGTAGTTTTAGGGATTTTTCCCATCTGCCTCGTGGTCAATGTCAGGATCGGAAGTGCGCTGCAAGAAAAACTGGCTACTGAAACCGAGCAATAAAATATGGATGTTCAAGTGGAATATTAGGATATAGTTAGATTATTGAAAGCATTAATTGATTTCCTGTAAAAGCAACGACGAAGCAGTTTTCTTTTCAAGTTTCTAGTTTCTACCTTGCTATACCAATAACCGCGCCGCTCGCCCTTCCAGATAAGAAGGTTCTGGCTGGCGATGAGGAGAAAGGTCGCATCGTCAGCTCTCACTACTGGGACAAGTTCAGAGACTTCATGGACGAGGTGGCCGCCGCTGACTTCTTTGTTCGAACCGATATGTTGGTAAGATACCAGACTGGAAAGATTTGTGTAGTAGATAAGACGAGATTCGATGAGGCCGTAAGTCGGGGAGTCGGATAAGATGAGTTTAACGTGTGCCATTTTTTGTTCCTACTGTGCACTTTCCAGCTTATACCTAAGTTATAATGATCCTGAATATCACGCCCGGTTTGATAATGGATGGACATATGATAAATGCATGTAAAATAGATCGTTCTAGCGTGAACGCTATGTTCCTTACTATTGCCATGATTATTGCTTATGTTTCTTCACTCTCCCCTTCTCCCCCCTCTTTTTCTCCCTCTCTCTCCCCCAGACCAAGCCCGACTCTGCCGAGGCGCTGGCACCGAGCCAACTTCTGGACGCCATCGCCGCTCGCCTCGACGACTCAGAGTGGCTGGATGAGCTGGACGCCGAGTATCAAAAGTACGGCGAACACAACATGACTGTGCTGATCAACACGTTCCGAAAACTAGGACGGGTCGCCAAGAAACATAAGGTGAGAGGGGGTGAGTGTGGGTGGGATGGGGAATGGAAAAGGATGAGGGGAGGAAGAAAGGGTAGATGAGGGTTGATGAAGGAGGATGGGTGGGTTAGTTCGAGGTTGGGCTGAACGGTGAATGCTGGGTTATGGTGCAAGGAAGGATTTTAAAATTCAATATGGGAACGTTGGACGGAAAAATATAGACGTATCTCATACCGGCCACATCAGCCACACTCATCCAGGAAATCAGCTTTTCACATCTCCCAATCATCTAACCTGTCCTGTTTATCGACGAATGTTCGAAACACCAGATACTTTTTATGTTAAGGTAGCTTTCGAAAGCACTGCGACTTTCTTCCTCAGCCTGACACATTCTACCTCTCACTGCCCCCCCCCCCCCCCCGGCAGGAGAAGATACCGGTCGACGTGCTCCGTCAGCTCATGTGGCGCGGCGTGGTGCGTCCCGAGCGGCAACACGACCTCGAGAAGCGTCTCTCGGCCGCGCTGCAGCTGTTCTTTGACACCGACCTGGCGCTGCGGCTCCAGCGTGTTGCTCCGGACGTGTTCGAGGAGTACCTGATCGGGGTGTTCGAGTTCGACTGGATGCCGCTGGAGGAAATTCTGGAGGTGAGTTGGAGTCCATCTCGTTGGAGGACATTTTGAAAGTAGGATGGAAATTTGGCTCTGTGATGGTAAACGATGGACATTTGATGAACGTTACCACTTCCTGCCAATTTAAGCAGTCCCTCGCTTAAAATTGATTCGGTTTTATTATATCTGAGCGAGTCAACTACCGCAGACGATAACTGTACCAACAAATGCCAAAGTTTACCAAATAGGGCGTGGTATTACGAGTCACGAGATGGCTTACATTGCTGTGACAGTCAAGAGTCCGTGACATATCTCGTTTTCGGTTCAATAAGGTGTACTGCGACAGTCTGTTTAACCGAGATGCAGGTTCAGGTAGCTCCATCCATCAAATGGACAGGTTTTACATTCACTTTCGGGCCAGGTGTTCGTTTTATTACCGTTGTTTGTCTTGTGATACCAAACAAAACACCGCCTCCTGTTCTAAGAGACGCTAAGCTCGAGTGTCAGCGTGACTGAACTGGATCTATCGAGTCTCCGTTCGTTCATGTAACTACACCATGGTATGATCGTTGTCTATCAGTCTGCCTTTTTGTTTGTCTATCTGTCTATGTTTGCCTGTCTCAGTGTCACTACATATTCGTCTGTACATTCCGTCTGCATGTCTGTCTTTCTGCCGCTCTCTTCACAACCCCTTCCCCGCCTCTCCCACCCCTTGAACCCCTCTGACCCCACCTTCTATCTACCCTCAGGACACGCTGTCACACCACGAACTCAAGACCCAACTGGCGGACGAAATCGGCGGCACAACCGAGCACGACTCAGTCCGTCCCTACTCCACCCACCATCGGCCTCCCGGCGCTCAGAACAGCAAAGGCAGGTCTCCGCATCCTCACGAAACATTCCACACGGAAGCAACGCCTACTGTAGAAGGCTCAGGACATGCTGATGATCATTCCGTTCACAATCGCGTTCATGAAGTACAGGTGGAAACGGTACATGGGGATATTCCCGATGGCGAATGGCATGGCGGGGGATTTGTCTGGCACGAAGAGCATGATGATTTCATCGAGGATGTCTTTGTTAGTGACGAGGACGAAGGTTCTGGAAAGGGGATCATTCGTGAGGCACATCCTCACAAAGGACGTCACCGGAAGCCTCACAAGCATCCTCATGATCGTCCGCATCACCACCGGCACCAGCAGCCTGCCGAGGATGATATTGAAGACAACCTGATTCCTGTGACGACAGAGAGGAGTCACGGGTACGAACAGAGTTCTGAGGAGGAGTTAGAGGACCAGGCGCATGTCGAAGGATCAGCTGAGGGAGACGCTTCACATGGAGGGAGTTCTAGCGAGGAGGAACATGAACAGAGTAAGTCTGACGGGTCGTCGCATCCTGGGAAACATGTAGGACGTGAAGACCATCCAGGTCGACACAGGGGCAGAGAGAAGGGAGATCGCGACAGTTCGAAGCGGGGACGCGGAAAGCACGACGAGCAGCACGAGGAAGAGGAAAAGAGCGGCCAAAGCGCAGACGGAAAGGAGAGAAACGCACGTAAGGTCAGCGCCTCACTGGTGTCCAACGAAGGTCCTCGCCGTGTCGACAACAAACACGTCACAGGTGAACATCCCGGCAAGAAACCCAACAGTGGTGACGAGAAACAGCCCGTGCAGGAAGAGGACCCTCCTCAGGATGCTGACGATGCCTCTGGCGCTGAAGAGGAGGAGGGAGGAGCTGAGTGGATCCAGGGAGTCCCGCCAGGTACGCCCGATTGGTCGGAAGGGGAGGGTGTAGGCCACAAGCATCCGCGCTCGAGCTCCATCACTGATCGAGTCGAAGATCCCAACTCGTGTGTCACCTGCCAGACGATGGTTACAGAGAAACGGTGTGGCAGGATCTGTGACTACATCTGCCGCATGTGCAAGGGCGTGTACTAGAGGCTAATTTGGTTTGTCGGGACGTACCTTGATGTGCTGATGGTTCGCACCAGGGTATTGTTTAGCAGGCATCAGCGAAGAAATCACCTAAGCTGACGAGGCTCATTGGGAAGCAGTTTAGTTCTCTGCGGGAGAATTGATTCGGTGAAACGGGCTGGTAGAAGAGTGGAGTAGAGGGTTTTGTAGAGCTGTTCTCAACAGCAATGCAATGTAGTCGTCAGATCTAGAGGGATTGTAGATTAAAAATATGGTCGTTTAGCGTCTCCAGACTCCAATAGTCATAACTGGGATTTTGTTAATGCAATGCGTTGCGGCGTGTAGTCTCGAAACGTACCCTAATCATTATTGCAGCTTTGCATATTCAGCATTTGTTTGTGTTGTACCTAACACTTTGAGATACTATACGTATCAATTATCATGTCCTTGTTCTTGCATGTGTTTAGGTGTTTGTCCAACAGCAGCATATGTTATCAGCTGGGTTGTTCATTACGGTATAAATAGTCAGCATTTAGCCAAGATCTTCCCTTATGCCAACATGTCTTCAATGTTCTCTGTTAATCGTTCATGTGCATCAATTGCGGCATTTAGCCGCAATTTGTGTATTGTCCCTGTGTATTGATTGTCACGTGTCGTCCTTTTTACGTGTAATGCCTCCTGTAGTAATGCTCCATACAGTATACCGTTCTTGTAACCACCATTCAATGTTTACGTACGGACTATAGCTCGCTTGCCAAGCACAAATACCAGACGTATTCACAACGCCAAAGTTTTGCTATTGTTAATAGGTTTATTTCACAACAAACTTAATGATATGCCTACGTTTTTCTCGTTAACAAGACCTTCCGTGTGCTTGCTCGCACCTTGTAGTAAACTTGCAGATTTTTGAGTAGCCGTATGATAACGTAGCTTGGAGTGGTCCTTTTCTCAACGGGCCCGCCTTATCAGTTTACACATTCCGTCCGTTTACTTTTATTTAATCATCAAGAGCTACAATATATGTCAGATGTGCGTGTATTATGTACGTACGGTTCTCCAGTAAAAGTCTTGTTGGTTTTTCTTTTTCGGACATATCTGGTCCTATATAATGTTCAAATGCATAAGTATCAACCCGAATTATGTGTATGCACATTTACCACGAGACTGTGAAATTGCATCGTTGTATGCCAAATACTTTCCGAGATATTCACCAAAAACCTCATTTTCTGCCGTTTGGGGTATTCTGGCCGCAATCTTCCTGGGATCGCCTATGGCATCAGTAGAGCCATCTAACGAGAGGAACGAGGAAACACAGAATCATGAATGAATCGAGCGCGTAGTAAACGGCGTATGAAAGGGAGACTCGGCAGAGGCTATCCGGGTGGCCGGCGCGCGGCGCGCCCTTAGGCATCGGCCGACCCTTCGGACTGCGTGGGGTCAGAGGTCGCGCTCGGGAAGTCTCGGCTCTGGGTTTTAGCGCTGTGCAGTCATGAAGGGAGGATAGGATAGCGCTAGCCCGACTGACTAGTATCTCGGCTGATTCGTGTGGGGTGGAAGGGAACACAGAACGGGATGGCGGTTAGTGGTGGATGGTAGGATGGTGGTTAGGTTAGTGCGTACTGCGTAGAACGTAGCTGAACATGCATCGTTTTTTCATGGCAAACAACATGCAGCATAATGTGCGGGATTATGCCAGAACTCATACAAAAAGGAAATAATAATTCGGCCGAGGGAGTGGATGAGTGCCGTGACAAAGCATGACGATGCTGCCAAAATCAGGATGAAAAATCAGGATTTTTGCCCCCCATTTTTTTCACCCCTAACATGCAGCGCTTGATCCGAACTTAGAGGTCCACGACTGAGATTAGACCTTAAAATCGCACTCGTCCGGTGCGCCACCTTTTCTTCAGGGGCGCTCTTCTTGGCTGTATCTGTTCTTACCAATAACTGAAGCAAATCGAATGTATAACAAAAAGGCATACCTCAAACACAGTTTTATTCACATCCGCTCGTGTGCATACTTGTTTTGACCTATAACTTCTCGCATCATAATATATCACTTCAGTGCTTAACCCTCAACGGAATTTTGGGTTTTCTGTATATACCCCGGCCGAGGGGGGGGGGGGCGATTACGACCCCTCTCCGTCTTTTTGTCCCTAATTGAGCTAGAGCCTTGAGGATAAAACTGAGCGCGTGCGTCGTATGAGATGCAGCAACTGGTACCCGAGTTGAATGTCTCAGGTCAACTGATAAAGTCTGAGGTCAGTATAAGTGCTCCAAGTCGCGGGATCGGTTTTTGGTAAACAACTTTACCATAAGTGGTTACAGAACTAAGATAATGGCACCATCGAGTTTTGCATGCTCAAGCGCGTCGAATAGTATACGCTTTGTTTTTGTTGAGGTCAATTTAAGGCGTTCATCTCAGGTCATGTCAGGGCAGAGCCACTCAGGCCACGAGGCTGGCTCAAGGAGGTCATATCGCTTATTCGATTCGGTAGGTCCTCACAAGTCCACTGTGGCTTCCCGACTCGCCAGCTCAATTTGATCGGGACTTTTTGGTGGAAACTCCTGTGACCTTAGTGACGTCATAAATGAAGTCGCCTAACTTTAATAATGGAAAAGTTAATGCTGGGGCTTGCAAAGATTGTATAAAATCGCGAAGTAATGCGCTTGAGACAGCTTTAGATGGCTCTCGGCGCCAAAATAACAGCTTTTATATTTCCCAATTGATTAATCATCGTGAGGTTGCGTGACCGACCTGACTTCAGGTGACTCTTAAGAAAAATACGAGATAGCTACATACAATTTGTGAGGCCTCTGGAAGATTGTACTAGATCATATAAGCTTCATTCCCCGTTGAACAGTCCCCTGGCACGAAGGACGCCGCGACGTCGCGACATTTTGGGACCTTACAGAGGTTCACTTTTGACGTCATTGGTTAACGGCCTGACCTTAACCTTCGCACTAACGATGTTCGACACTAGGAGGGTGTCGAACAGACCTCCTACCCTCAGTTTTTCGCAAATAACTCTCGCAAAAAGTGGCTGATTACGACGAAACCTTCAGTATCCTCGAGTTAATCAATATTTCGCCTAACCTTAAAATTTTTATGACCCTGAACCAAAAGACCTTTGACTTGTGACCTGTTTTCCGAGGGTTTGGCCGGAATCGCGATTTAGCGTATTTCGGCTCACATCATGAGCGCGTTTATTGTCTTTTTTGTGGCTTTAAGCGATCAAACATGTGAAAGGATGTTGATCCCATGGATTCTAGTGGGTGTCAAGGTCACGTGAAGGTCAGTCAGGTCACTGACCTTTGTTGACCTTAGTTCACTGCTTCGAGTTCTACATGTTTCAAGATTTTGGAGTTGATTTCGCATTTAGAAACCGTTTGAACATTTACGAAGTAGTTTTGGTTCCCTCGTAACACGTGACCTGACCTGACCTGACCTGACCTGGACTAAATGCACGAAAACATTATCTGTGATAAAAGTTAACTTGAAATTCGTGATTAGCACCCCCCGCAAAACCTTACAACAGCCTCACTTTAAGAAGCTCTAACAGGTCCCGATTTTCCCGACTTTTGAGTATATATTGACCTATCAACAAATGACCTAGGACCTTAAAATTGGGTATCAACGGCCCCCTCTCGTCACGGGCAACACGCTCTTTTTCCGCGAAGCTCTAGCTCGATCAGGGGCTGAACGGCAAGGGGTTTTACGCTAGACGCTGGCAAAACACTAATATGAGCGAGGGTTAAAATACAGCTGCTGTCATACAAATTCGGCTGGAATCAAAGGTCAGGTTTACAAAATTTCAGCTATCGCAGTAAATAGACATGTGGAGGCGGCACCCGTCTCCCCGCCCCCCTCTTCTCCTCTCGGCTACTACCAACGAGGTTTTAAACGTATCATACACATTACAAAGCATCATATCAGATGGCGCACCCGAGCAGCCATATGCACTCAACAAAAGCTTATTACCCACCCTAGTCTATCGGCACCATAGCACATGGTCGAGACTGTCGTCAGCCACGGACGCATACTCGACCAACCCTCCGAGCCCGTTGACTGCGGGTGACCTTGACATGTCAAGCCTGATCGGCGGCCGGCCGCTGTCGTGCGGTCGTTACACACGGAGGGGAGGGAGACACAAAGCTCTACGTTATAGCTGACCTCTGACCTTTCCCTGTGCCCTGGTCACTGACCCCGCTCCATGTCGCTGGGCGGTGGCATGGCGGTGGCAACCGGTTCTAGCCTCTACACATGCCACCATTCTAACCCTCCCCTCCCCACGCTACTACGCGGCGTGGAGTACGCTCGTGCGTAACTGGGCGGAGCAAGGGGTCACGCGATACAGGGGCGGAACTGGTTGCCCTCCCGCTCGCCGAGCGACCAACGACTAATACCCTGGAGAACCGTACTTAGCCTCGCTCGCAATATTCTGATTTGCTGAGTTCTGTGGTGTCTTTCGTTCATTGTAGCCGATGGAATGGAGAGGATTTATATGGATTATGATTCTGACGTAATAACTTGGGAAGAGGTCACGGAACTTTTATCGGTCCCATATGCTGCAATGTTTGTATGACCCGGCGTGTTATTCATGTCAACAAATATTTTGAATATATTAAAATATAGCAGCGTGTCTTTGTAGAAAGGTGAAACAATAAATATAGCGGGATTTGGCATCTGCCAACGGGCCGAAAACCAATGGTTAACGACATTCACAGTAACTAGACATTTTGTGAGCAGCAATGATTTGAACCGGTTTCAAGGAAAACGACTTAAAATTAAAACGATTGAATGTTACGAATGAGAGGGGACGAAACATAAATTGATATTGCTCCACTTCGGATTTTCCAGAGATATTCCGTTATGGTGCAGAGGAGCATCTGGCGTGTCCCTCTCTAGTGTTAAACGGCTGTGTGGTAAATCTTCCTACGGATGATCCGCCGAAAATTCGCCTTTCCGGGAGCATTCCCTTGCTTTGGTAAATAGACTGACCAGTAGTGACTAGTGAGTCTGACCACACAATTGTTCATCCGAAAAAGTCGGCGACTCGCAACACGCACCAGTCACCAAACGCTGAATCAGTTCCCATTCACGATATATTCTACACATAATCGTCTATCATCAGCTGTTATCAGCGCGCCACCCCAGCACAGACTGTCTCTCGCCACCGACGCGTGTGACGCCACCGTATATGACGCCGCCCGGCCGGCAAATAACGTCAGTGGGCGACAAATGACGTCACTGGGTCGTCTCAGTGGGCGGCCGGCTCGTCGGGCTGCTGGGCCTCGGGAGTGTGCGGCCAGAAGGTCGGCCGGTTGACCGGGTCCAGGGCCTGGCGACGGGGGAGAGGGGCGTGAGAACACAGGGGGAAAGACGAGAAACCATGCGCCGTTCTCACTGCTCGGGAGACAGGTTGTTCGATGTCAGCTTATTTTCGCCATGCTGCTGGTTTTCTCATATATGGAAGCTCCTAACTGGTATTTCTTGGCCTCTCATTGGTAAACCGCACGGACTAAGACCATGGTGAATTCGACCTATGAGAAACCGAAAAAACGCCAGCAAGCTGGCAACTTTCTTAATATAAAAACGGTGAGCGAACACTGCGCCCGGGTTACTGACAGGCGAAAAATACCTAACCGCTCATATGACGGTAGGCATATGACCTCTAGCGTGTAAAATTACATACCTACGCCGTAATTCTTGCTGATAAAAATGGTCAGTTTTGGTCCAAAGTGGATTTTATATCGATAAAGCATCGGGGAACCCAGGTTCGATTTTCACAGCCGACTGCCTTCTCTAGCTGTCCAAGAAATCTCTTAGACGAAACCATATCAACTAACGTTCCCACTCAGTACTCACCAGGTCGGGGAAGTGGTCGCGGAACTCCTCCATGGTCATCTGGTCGAAGGCCGGCACCACCTCCCACTTGGCCAGCTCAGCCTCGTAGCCGGCGATGCGTGCCTTGGACTCGCTGACAAACTGTGTCACCTTCTTCTCCTGTGGGGTCATATAGGGGATTATGAGAAATGCAGGGACTCTGAAATACTTGGAAGGGTAAAATTATAAAATTGGTTGTCAACCTAATTTAAAGTTAAATCAATTTCATTTCCATAACTAGGCATCATGTGTGATCATAACAAAATCTCACAAAAACATTATTATCCAAAGCCATTTGAATTTTTCAAACCCTCACCGATACCAACAATGTCTAGAAAAAGGTCTACAACTAAGTAAGACACCAAAACTGAACTGAAACAGTCACAACTCACCTTTCTGCTTCTACATCTTATGAGAGTGACAACACCCAACATCCTGCATGACTTCCCCTCCCTCCCTCCCTTCACCAGCACTTACCGCCTCCTTGGCCTGGGCATCAATCTGGCTGGAGACACCCTTATCCTCGGGGTAGGGGATGCTCAGGGCCGCCAGCTGCTTCTTGAACTGATCGACCATGCCGGGTGCGGAGACCCGCGAGGAGTAGTAGGCCCAGTCCAGGGCAGGCATAGACTCTGGCTGAGCCAGCACCCTGGCGACAGAGCAGGGGAGGCAGGGTCGGATCAAATGCTTTTTTAAATCTGATTTAGGATGAATCACGCTGACATCACATAGCGACTACTGTTATTATGCCCTTGCATTTAGTTGACCTGTGATGAGGTGCTTGAACCTTAAGATAATCAGGTCACAATTAACCTTTATTAGCTCTTCTTTGGGGGTTCATTCTACAAAATAATGCATTTGAAAGCCAGATTTCAGCCATGCTTTGAAGCCAACCCAATCATTGTGGTATTCTGCGGAGTCTTATTCATCGAATTAAATGCAACCGTAATGATGATAGGACATCAAGAAAAATAACACATGTAATTAAATCCAAGCTTAAGCATTGAAAGCACATGAAGTATTTTTAAAAGAAGAATAAACACTCATAAGTTTTCCATAACATCTACTCACCGGCGAAGGTATCCGTCTGACTTTGCCTTAAATTGCAGGTACATAGGTTTCTGATTTTCCGGCACCCTTTTGGCAAAGGCAGCCCAGTCGATAGCGGACTTGGAAATCCTCTTGGCAGCCATTTTTGAAAGTAAAATAAATTAAACCGACCCAAGCACCAAGGGGAAGGCGGGGCGAAGAAGGACGAGAAAAGTGAGCGCCTGTTTCGTCGCAAATTATTTTTGATACTGAAACGGCGCAGCAGCTGATTTGTGCAAATAGTGATGAATTTGGAAAATATCTTTAAGATTTCAATGGGTATTATTACCTAACATTAAAAATTACCAGTGTAAAAAATGACCGGAATTTTTAATCAAACTAAGTCGCGCCCTGGAAATGCAGTGTTACTAGTAAATGTAGAACGCATACCATACTGTAGACTGTAGAGCGTAGAGCAGCATTTTAGAGCCGCAACATTTTTGACAGTTTTTTACAGAGGTGCCAGATTATAAGCATCCTAAAATTGCTAGCTTCTGTTTATCACTTGCAACTTATTGGCTGGTTGCGTGAATGAATTCGGTGCCCACTGCCCACATTGCCGAGCATTGTCTGTCCCATTCTCTGACTTCTAATCTAATGGCTGCTCAGACACGGTTCCGTCACCCACCGTAGACGATTGATGCCCGTTCGGACTCTCATAAATCCGTAATCACCGCAGGATCTATCACAAGGGTGTTAACTGAGCTAGGGCCCACGCAGGCCTCAAGCGCCCCAACTCTGACACACCGGCGCTCAAGCTCGTAGGTCAAGTGAAACGCACTGTCCACAGATTTAGAGTAAAAACGCGTGTATTTTCAAATTCATTTCTATAACGATATGCTACTGCCTACCGGACAGAGTTGAATGCCGTGGTCATTGGTGATATCACGCTCTGCCGATACTTACGATTATGCGATATCTTATTCACAAAATAACGTTTGATTGCAAATATTACGGGTGATATATGCCCGACTCGCGAGGCCAATTCAAACGTATTGGCTTTGACTAATACATGGCTAAGTTACCCAGCACCGGCACCAATTCAAACAAAACACAAAGCACCACAAACGCCATGTCTCCAGTCGAGGCTGAAGAGCCACGCTTTCCTGAAAACCATGGAAGCCTTACAAAACAAATGGACGCGCAAACTTTATGCAATGCAATTAAATCGATATCATACGCATATAGTAAGTGAGACACTTACTGGCAAGTACTTATACTGAGGACTGAAAACTAAGCAATGACGAGTTTATAAACATCGATGAGGAACCATGCTTATGAAGCACAAAATCCGTAGTTGGTAATGTACCGTAAGCATAACTGGAAAAGGATTAACGTCGCAATGCGACTAACGACAAGTCGAAGATGCCACCAAAAACAAAATCAAAGCAAAACATGCGGCATCGACATCTTATCGAAGGTTGATCGTGGATAATAAGGCTTGCACAGGAGGCATTCACAGCACTCGTCAAAAAATCGATGGCGGCTCTGGCTAAGGAATATGCGCCATGGAACACACACAAGTTACTCCAAGTTCCAAGATCACCGCAATCACACGCATATTACAAAGCTGCGATCAGTCGCGCTGAATGCCCTGAAGCAACTGGCAACTCCATGACACGACCCACAGCCTTCGAAACGTCCTCTGAAATCGCAGCAACTCCACACCAAGGGAACCGAATCAAATGGTGCGCACGTGATTCGCACGCGATGGCCTGGTCAGAGCGCAAGGTCTAGCCTCTTTTACACCTGTCTGGCTTCAAGTGCACTGAAAACCTCAGACAGAATGACTTGACGACGTTCAAAAATGAACTCACGAATCTTCGCCTTTGTCACATCTAGGACTGTGTTCCCAGAGGTTTCTCCCCCTTCATACATTTGCAGTTTGCACTCTCGAGCTTCAACCACAGCCTCTGCGATGTCACTCAACACAGCTTTCACTCAGCGCGTTTTGGACGCCACCGCCATCGTCTAGTATATCTCCGCGTCTGCCGAGTCAGCAGCAGACATCAGACTCGCTTCGGCACCGTCCGAGGAAGCGGTATAGCCAGGCGGCTCCCGCTTCACCCAGCAGAGGATATTAATCCAGAGGAACGAGCAGACCCCGACGAATGCCACGCGCACAGAAGGCGGCAGGAAGAGAAAGTTGATCAGCTGGGCCGGCACCCAGAAGTAAACTTGTTTCTGAAATGGGATGATGGGTTTTGGTTAAAAATCGGCTAGAGTAATTGGACAAATAAAAACAAGTTACAGATTCGTGATGACATTTTTTGGACAACATATATTCCACTAACTGATTGTCCTGTGTTCCATCAATCTATTCTGATAATAGTTGCCAGTGCGTGAAATAAATGTTTACCTGTCACGCATATAGTTCGGAAACTGTGGATTCTGCCGTAGTGTTTTACTAAAACCCGGTAAAACAGCACGGTTGTGTTTGAAATTCGTTCTTACCAGAACAGTCGGGATGTATTTTTCTCGAATTTCCTCCATCTTGTCCTCCCTTTGTTCCATAACTGCCATGCCTAATGGAGAGAAAATTAAATCAGCTCAGCCACAATCACAAAATCATCTGTCACAGTCAGAACAACTAACTTTCGAGTTTCGTAGGTACAGGTTCCGCGTTATTTGATGACTATGATGATCATGACCATGAAAATCGTGACAATGCTATGTCGTGCATTGGTGACGCCGGCTTCGAAAATATTGACCGCACGGCGCAAAGTAAATACTAAATCCTACCGTGATTGTTGCTAATCTCACACACTGTCACTTACTGTAGAAGAAGATAAAGACGTCGACGGGCCCGGCCACGGCGACATCCAGAAACACTTTCTTTGAGACGACTCGCATGGTGACACCCATAAACCGACTGTCCAGCCATTTGTACCTGCCGAAATCACACAGAATGATTGGCTTGCCTTGTCTTAAAGTCCACTAATTATAGCAAAACGTCGGCTTTCCCGTCAGTGAGATTGATAGGTTGGACCCAGCAACGGAATATGATGATATAAACCTGCATTTCTTTATAATAAATTGTTTTAATCTCGCCCCTGCTACCAGAAGTCAAACAAACTACATCAAAAATGCATGAAGCTGCCTGCACAGTTGCCTCACCATGGCCAAAAGAGTTGACTTACCATGCATACAGGAGGGGTGGCGCTATGGCATAGCCCAACACACAGTAGCGTGCAACGGAGGCAGAATCCAAGGGCTCTGGCTTCTTCTTCTCATTCTTTACCTGAGGGGAAACAACAACAAGGAAAATAGTGGAAGGTAGGCACTTGCCAGTATGACAATATTGACAAGATATCTTGGCGTGCTTCTCGTAGCGATGGGATCTAGCTTTAAATTTCGAATCAATTGGCGTTTGTGCTGTGTCGATCGGACGTCTAGAGGCTGAGATATTCGCAACAAAACTACCGAGAGGGATACTACGCTAAGCAGAGCTTGTTGCGCAGCCCGACGCGTACCGTCTGAGCAGGCAACTTTGGGTGATGTAAGAATCAGGACGCCAAAGTTTAGCGAGCCCATCACAACCAATTGCCCATCGAGACGATATGTCTGTCCTTCTCAAATGACTTCAGCTGCTCTAGCAAACCGTAAACCGTTACCATCATCGAGTGCCGGAGCGATTAGAAACTGCGCTCTGCCACCATCGATGCAACAAAGTACCAAGCTATGAATGGGACATTCAAAAGTACAGTGATAACATCAGCCCATGGTCACTTCATGTCTGCAGTTGTATCCTGAGCGTGAGTCAATTTTGCCATCTACTTACCTCGGCTCGTCTCAGAAGTGCCTGTTGTCCGACTTCGGCACCAACAAACATGGTGCCATAGATAGCCGCATTACTGAGCAGAGGGTGCCTCTTCAGGAGTCGGCGGAAAATTGACATGACTTGAGAGTTGAGAAAACTGTCAGACCTGAATCAGGGTATGCATATTGCAACATGTCAACCTGTATTACATTTTGTATTTTGCTGACCTGGGTCTTGGCCGTTGCAGACATCGATAGACGAAATATCAATAGTAGCTAGCAGACACTTCACACTACACTCAGCAAATTTAAGGGAATATTCTTCCCAACATATAATCTTTTATTAATAAACTTATATCAAGTTGTGGTCTGCATCTGTGCTTATGAACAAACTTAACTAAAACTTAACTTAATAATATGAGCCTGCTAAACTGTGTTCCACCAAACCTCAAACATGTATGAATCCTGGATTGCTTTGCTTTATTGCTTTGGCTAGGGCGACTTGGCAGCAGGCCATACAAGCTTCTGAATCACATTATTGTCAATGTTATCTACAAAACTGCTATGTCAGCCCAAAACTCCTTGGGTATGTTCCAGTGGCAAATAAAAAAATCTTATAGGTGGTTGGATGGGCTTTAAGGAGAGCCATTCTACACCTTTTTAGGCACAATTTCAAAAATTTAAAGACCAAATTCAAAAAGTTTACATTCAAAATGCACGTGAACGTTTTGAATTTGGTCTTTAACTTTTTGAAATTGCGCCTAAAATGCTGTAGAGGAGCCATGGGAAAACTTTTGCAAATAAATCAGCTGTTTGTGGATTTGCAGCCTGGAATGGTCAGCAATTTATGGTGTTAAAACATAAATTTAGAGACAATACTAGTATTATTTCTAGTATTATTTCTAGTAAAGAAACCAAAAACATCGAAAATTAATTGCTTAATTGCTCAAAATTTAACGCATTAAATAACTCAATAAATAAGGATCAACGTATGTATGTATGTATGTATGTATGTATGTATGTATTGACACCAAAAGCCTTCCACATATGGCGTGGCGATTACGGCGATTACGGCAACAAGCCAGTTAGTGATTTATTTTTCAAATAGCCTTTTCATTTTTAATAATTTTGATCTTTAAGGGACTTAAAGGGACCCTCCCACCTTAACATTAGATTTGAGTTGAGATAGCCAAAATGGGGTCCCTGGCTCACAATTACCGGTTTCGAAACTCACAACATCGAGAAATGCCTTAAATCGGAAATATTGAATTTCAAAATTGCAGCAGTTTGATTTAGAGGGGCTAATGCATAGGAATACCCCTCTGAATGTGTGACGTCAGCGCAGATATCTAACGATTTTTAAATGTTTGACTGAAACGTTTTGTAGCACGCGGTGGTATATGCTGCTTTGCGCGCAACAAATGCCGCACTTTCAAATAAAGTCGCTGGGAACAGCGGAGATCCCAAAAAGTAAACAAAAGTAAAAGTCTAATATCTTGAAAACCGGTGAATATTTTTCGATGAAATTTGGTAGATATTTGTTTTTGCTCTTTCTGAACCGAGCGACATCACTTTCATGCCAATTCATAAACTTTTTTGAAGGTGGGAGGGTCCCTTTAAATGGTTCTATTGAAATAAAATTAGTTTGTAGATGCTTGAGAAAATATGAGAGCCCTATCCTATCAGATAGGGGAGGGGCCGAGGGGTTGTCCCGTAGCACAAGGCTTAGCCGCTGAGAGCCAGGCAGGAAAAGGGTTGAATTACAATTGTCAATAGGTACGGTGCCTATCTTAAACTTACCGTCTATACAAGCAAACTCATTCGGATTTCTTCTTAGATAATGATATATTGGAAACAAAATAACAACGCCCTATCAAAACATTTGCACGTGAGAATCTGTGCGCCGAAAATGTAAGCAGTGCGTCAAAAATTTCTAAAGGCCAGTGCTCGGGTAATTTTGTTTGTGCTAGGATATTTTTTAACCAATTAAAATTCAAAGAAATTGTTCAAAATTTTGATGTGCCCTAATCACAACTTAACACTGAAATTATTTCAGTCATTATTTGAAGCTTGGAATGTTTCAGACATGACGCAACAGTTTCGAGATATTTGTGAAGAGTTTGTTCAATCGCAGCATAAATGAGGGTTTGCCTGTGCTCCCTGAAGGAGTGACGCCTTTTTCACTGTGCAGCGAATGGGGGAGACAGTACCATGGTTGCCTAGCAGCCATGAAAAGCAGGGTAAGTTCTCAATATTAAACACAATAGTATGATATTTATCAGAAAACTACACTGGAATCTCAACAGTGATCCAGTCAGGCGATCCAGTGCAATGCGAGATTCGGTGGGGGTGGGGATGTCGGTGCATGGGGTCGTTGCCTGCCGTCTTCCTAGCGGATAAGAATATGCTGCATTAGACTCCATGGGGTATCACTTGACCAGTCGGCTAGCTGTTGACTCCAGTCTTCCGTTGTACCTACTTGTATCAGCTCATTTTGTGATTTGATATTTATTTGTATCCCGATTCGGCATCGGGCATCTTCATCTCAAGCCTTCAGAGAGTGATCCTGACTCCAGAAGGTCAGTGTGCATATACCTAGAATTAGAATGATTAACCCTCGCCGGACCTATTGGTTTTCTACATACGCGCCGGCCGAGGGGGGGGGGGGGGGCGGGTACGACCCCCCTCGCCGTTTCGCCCCTGGTGGAGCTAGCGCGTCGCGGAAAAAACGAGCGTGTGCGCCGTTACGAGACGCAGAGATTGGTACCCGATTTTAAGGTCCTAGGTCAACCGGTGACCTCTGAGGTCAGGTCAAGTGCCCCAAGGTACAGTTCAGTTTTTGGTAAATAACTTCGCAAAAAACGGCTGCAGAGCCGCGATTTTGGCAGCATCGTGTTCGCCTTGCTCAGGCGCATCGAATAATATACTTTTTGTTTGGGTCAGGTCAACTTAGGGTGTTGACCTCAGGTCAAGGTCAGGTCAGCACCCCCAGGTCACAAAGTTGGTCGAAAGAGGCCATGTCGCATATCATTCGATTCGGCAGGTCTTCCTGAGTCCATTGGTGGCTTTCCTGACTCGCTAGCTCAATTTGATAAAGAGTTATTGACGAAAAACTAATATGACCTTGATGACGTCATAAATGACGTCACGAAAGGTCAACATTGCAAAAGTGACGCATCTAACCTTGCAAGGAGTGCATCAAATCACGATTCTGTGTGCTTGAGATAGTTGGAGAATGGAGATCGTTCCCGGCGCCAGAATAGCAGTTTTCATTTTTCCCCATTGACTTATAATGGTGAGGTCACGAAAATGACCTGACCTCATATGACCTTTAGGAAAAATCCGAGATATACAAGCTGTGAGACTCATAATGGATACTAGATCCTGCAAGTTTCATTTCCCTGTGACATCTCCTCTGGCAGTGAGGGCGTTGCGAAGTTGCGACATCTGAAGACCGTGCAGAGGTTCACTTATGACGTCATAGCCTCATAGGTCAGTGACCTGACCTGACCCAATAATGCGGTTGGTGTCACAAGATCCGGCTTGAATCAAAGGTCAGGTATGCCAAGTTTCAGCTCTCTATCTCCAGCGTGTTCGGAGCTATCGCGAAAAAAAAACTATGGGGGGCGGCACCCGTCCCCCCCCTCGGCCGGCGAGGGTTAAATAATTCTGCCATCTACAGCATTGTGATGTGTTGCATTTAGTTACTGACCATTGGTAGACAACTCTTTACGGCCTACGGACTTAGCTATGCTGCCATAACACGTAGATACGGGCATTGTGAAGCAGTGGTCTCGTACCTATGCATAACGGTGTTATGACGTTGATGGACACACGTCACGATTTTTTCCTTTTATAAGCGTTTCGGACGTCAAAAGAGTGCTAATGACATGCCTGGGTCCCGTCGTCATTGAACGAACCTGCATGCGTCCTTGCCCCTTTATCGGCATTCAGTTATATTGAAAAGGCACTAGGCAGTGAATGTTGATAAAATGCCTGATCTAAATCTAATCATCGTAAAAACTCACGGAAACCATACAAGTATTTCGTTGTCACTCATGTACGATCGCCAGGTCAGATCCGTACCTCGACGCCTGGTATGTACGTCGCATTGACCCGTATCTAACACCACTGGTAAAGTCTAACATGGCCTTTTCAATATAACGGGAAAATCTCAGTATGAGCGGCCCGGCCCGGCCTGTAACGCTTTTGAGAGGCTTATATCTCAGCAACCGCTGGACCGATTGGCCTGCGGTCTTTTTTGCTGGGTAGCCTCATCCCTTCTACCCCGTAATTGACTACTTTTGATACATCTCAGTGACCGTCGTGGCACGTGCCACGTGAAAAGTCATGGTGTTCAGGCTGTTTTGCAAAAGTAGTGATTTTGAGAGGCTTATATCTCAGCAGCCGCTTGGGCGATTGACTCCAAATCAAAATGCGTTTATTGGCTAAATTAGCGTATTTATTTGGATGCGGGTTATACGTTGAACTAACTCTCTTCTCCCAAGCCCTGACTCGACAGATCGGTTTCCGGTCAACAGCTGTTAGCCTGCGGCCATGAGCTACCTAGCCTCCCCGAAAAGAAAAATAACGACAACAACAACTAAATCGCACGGCTCGTTCCGCCACTGATTTCTCGAACTCAATGGACCAATTAGATGGAAACCTGGAGTGGCTCATGTCGACCTAAGCGGATTCCATTTCCAGAGGTGCCCGAGGTTTCAGTGGTAATCTGAGAGACCTCCACGCCGGCTCTAGACGACACTCGACGGTCATATTTCATATTGTTGCCGCTGATTCGAGAGCGTTCCCAATAACCCTGCAGCGCTGGCAGCTCTTCGTGAAAACTCCCGCCGAAATGAGGCGACCCTCGCCTCTGCGGCCTGAGGTGATGCTGATAAGGGATTTAGAAGGCGCGGTGCGCACAACCACAAGCCATGTTAGACTTTACCAGTGGTGGTAGATACGGGTCAACGCGACGTACCAGGCGTCGATGTACGGATCTGACCTGGCGATCGTACATGAGTGACAACGAAATACTTGTATGGTTTCCGGGAGTTTTTACGATGATTAGATTTATCAGGCATTTTATCAACATTCATTCAGTTGTTGAAAATATATTAGCCGAACCTTCAAAAGTTTCATGTCATGTAGTTTGCCCATGTATAGGTAGTACCTAATTGCCGCCTATGTCCTACTTAAATAGGTACTGAAAAGTTCATTACAATTCGGTTTTTGTTGTGCGTCTCTCACCTAACACTTCGTCGGATGCTGATTTGGCATGGCTTTAAAATTGTCGACGCCGGTGTGTCACGCATTCACGAAAGTTGCGTTGTAGATGTTTCCATTGAAACCGAAGGGGTAGTACCAGGGAGCAGCGGGTCGTGGGATGGCGTAGGACAGAGCGGTTTGCCGTACCCGCCGCATATAAATAGATCTGTGAGCTCGCCTCCTGCTCTGCCTTCGTCTCCTCCCCCCGCGTATCCGCCGCCGCCGAATCCGCCTCCGAGTCCGCCTCTGAATCCTCCGTCTCCGCCCGAGTATCCGCCGCCGATTCCGCCTCCGAATCCGCCTCTCGCTCCGCCTCCGTACCCGCCTCCGTAGCCGCCTCCGATTCTGTCTTCGACTCCGCCTTCGACTCCGCCGCCTATTCCGCGCTCATGGGAGCCACCGTTGTCAGAAATGCGGAATCCGCGGCGATTGACACCGGCGTCGGTCACTGCGAGTGTGGCGCAGAGAACACCGAGAAGCATCTGAAAATGGAGCATAACGTTACGACTTATTTCATTTTTGGTAAGATGTTTTTCGAGGTTTTTAATAAGTGTTTGATTGAACAATTAGGGAAATGCCGACAATGCATTGTGTGATAGGTAAGCAATGTTAAGCATATGCTAATGTCACTACGTCACTAGGGAAACAAAGTCAAGCCAGCAGCCATCAACGGCTAAAAATGATGATTTATTATCATACTTAATGTTCATTTCAGCACGATGGCTCACCCGAAGGCCGAAGCAGTGTATTTCTAATCTGGTCCGTCCTATAAGGTGCGGCTCAAAATGAATTCTGATTTCCCATTTTTGAATTTACGTGCTGCTGAAGCTCTAAACTGATCAAACGTTTAACAAACTCCTTTACCTCAAACTAATAGGCGTCGAAAGTCACCTATCACCTGACAAAATGTTTTACCACTTACCAATGTGTAGCTCAATGTTGTCTTCATGTCGCCCAGTTGAAATGAAATGTTCGACAATGATTCATGAGCCTTGATATCAGCTGTATTTATACCGGATCACAACAGCTGACTGCCCGTGCCGCCCCGCCCCGGCCCAGTGTGCTCTTGCCCCCTCCCCTCCCCCGTATACCCCGACACCCCTCCCTCCCTTCACTGTCCTGTTTACGCGATATGATTAATTTTACTGTCATTATGAAATATGACACGTCAGGCTTCCATTATACCACCCTGCTCGGTGTAAAAAGTAACTCGGTTTCGTATCATAAAAAATAAACTGCATTATTACTTGCGATTATTTGAGATTCTATGCTTGACCATCATGCAGAGGATCTATGCGACACCAGTAGTTTGCAGTGCAATTTAATTTGGTTTGTTGGGACAGAGGCACATGTTTTGCGACCGATATAGCTAGTTTGAACGCCTTAGCGGCTATCACTTCGAACACTTTATTCATTCATGAGCATAATCACTCGGTAATTGTATAAACTAAAATACAATGAAGCATGGTGATTTGTTTCGTTAGTCAGTATCTAACAGCTATATTTATTACAAATTCAGGTGTTGAGTTGATGGCGACAAACTTGTTTTGCTGTATATCTGACGGCTAGACTAATTGACCTAGTCATTTCAGCCGGCGCCGAAAACCCAGCCTCGGCAAAAGGCCCAAGTGGTGGCTATCACCGCCGACACCTGTTTACGTGAAAACATGTTTATCTCGTACGTTTAGCTGATTTATTATCTGTCAGTAGAACAGGGAAATGGATGGGCTGATAGGCTTCAGGGCCCTGGAGCATCAAAGGGTAGGAATTGTATAGAAATTTCATAGAATAACTATGACGACAATTTAGCTTTATTCGTGAATGTGATCTTTTCCCGACATTTACTCATCCGTACCGTAAATAAGAAGAAAAAAGGCACGATTGAGTTCTCAGCCTGAAATTACCTTTCATGCACCAAAACATTAGCATCCATACCGCCTCATTTTCAGACGACCCCGCTGAATAAACCAACTCAGCCTCATTTCGCAGTGATCCACAGCGGTCACCATCTGGCGGAAATCCCCGGTCATTTCGCCGTCGGTAAAACACATAAAAGACCGGCATCGGCTCATATGGGAGGCTGTTCTTCCATCATAAAGCTGACCAAGAATACTCGCCTGACAGCGACCCATGACATTCTCCCTCGTCCCCGCAGGCTGACACTGTCTGTCCTGCCCTATAGCCCTGCCAAGTGGGGCGGCCGTGGTGACATACCGTCGACTGACATTGAGGTTATTGTTAGACATGCGCCTCCGCTGGAGCGGACAGCAGTCATGACGAGAATGCAAACCGCGGCGGCTGGGAGAGATCTTGGCTAGGGGTGGGATTTTTAATGTGAGTTGTGGCTTGTAATGGCCAGGGGATGGGGCGCGATGCCCAATGACCATGTTTGGAGGAGAGAAAATGGTGTACCTTTCCTATGCATGAGAATTGTTGATGCAAATGCATTGCTAATGATATTGCATGCAATCACACTTGATTACATTGAATTACCATCTTAAATTGAAGATTTCTCATTCCAGCATGCTCTCTTGTCATGTAAAGCGAAACATCTTCTGCTTGGGATGTTTGCCAATTAGATAAATTGCTACCTTCTGGATCTGTTAGAACGCGGCAGACTTGTCAGCAGTTACAGCATTGTTGTTTACAGGTCGTGATTTCCTGTCATTCTCTTTTTTCTCATTTCTATTCATGGTCCCGATGGTTGAACGAACAACAATGAATGCTGCTCCTGTAGGTGGTTGAAGTTATCCGAAATTTTAGCCATTGCATCTCTGATGTCCTACTCTGGCTCCAACTCCAATCGAAAGCGGAGCCTTTTAGTTCGCCGCTAGCCGTAGTCCAATAAACCTTACCGGCTTGAAATCGAGTGTTTACCTGTGGTGATCATAGAGTCGGCTTTGTTCAACTTTCAAGTAATGTTTATGTATGAGCATATTTTTAAACCGGATATTATATGTCCTGCTTCATCTTAACTCTTAAGCCCATGAAGCGGCTGCTGCTCACCAATTGAAAGATACCTAGGATCATGAAACTTCGAGATCAAGAGAACTAATTCAAGTGCTTGCGCCCTTACAGTGTCTGCATTTGATGTCGATCTTATCATTGTTTGCCGAGAGTCAATTTTACTGCCTTCAATCGCGCGCAGCTTACAATCCCTCTCGATAGCACGGCGGCTGTGGGAAGTGGCATCACGAGTCTTACGATTAGCTTTTTTACGACTTTGTATCTGTGCTTCTCAATTGGTGCCAGTTTGAATTGCTCCCGTGTAGTTTTCCTGTTCATCTGTTCGAATGTTCCGTGCACCTTGCTGTTAGAATGACTTCAGCACAACGCCGTCCCCTGAATCATACACAATCTAACATCGACCTACATCACTGAATTCATTCCTACTGCCTTGTCTTGGTCAAACCAGCAAAAAGGCCTTCGTGGAATTGTTGAAAGATCTATTGCAGAATTGAGGCGCATTTCTTGGATAGGAGCGACAGGCTTGGTTCAGAATATCCCTGTCTGTTTACAGGCCGCGCTAAAAATAAATTGCCGACATTATTGGACATTTATGGACCGTTTAAAAACCCTATCAGTTGCTGTTGAAAAATGAGATGCCGCCAACTGTAAACATTAGGCCATGAACTGAAGTTTATGCCAACCCTGTAGCCATCGTGCTGGTTTAAGCCGCCATCTGCGATGGTCACCCCTGGGACCCCGTAAAATAGGCTGCCATTAAAGTCGCCAGCGTGAGAATGGTTCTCATGATACCATCTCGCATCTCATCAACATATTGGGCCTCATCTGGTAAAATATTGCCATCGTGTCTTCTAAGAACTATCAACACATTTTTCTCATTGCTTTCCAGACGTACAATTTTTCCACGTGTACATGCTATTTCATCGTCATTTGTAACAAATATCGCAGTAATGTCAGTGGGGCTTTCTCTCTGTAACAGGGCACTCTGGACAGCCCAGACCCCAAAGCTCCGTTAGACCGAACATGGACGCTTCACATGTCAATACTGGCGATGGTGATATCTCATAGAGCCTCATTAGGGATCGTCTGGGATGCCAATATGACCTAATTAGACGTAATCCGTTCGGCTATTTGAGGGTCATTTATGAAAGACTGTCGGCCAGAAGGGACGACCAGTGGAGGGCGGGGCAGGGTTACATACATGGTTATTGGTCTCTCTCTCTCTCTCTCTCTCTCTCTCTCTCTCTCTCTCTCTCTCCTCTCTCTCTCTCTCTCTCTCTCTCTCTCTCTCTCTCTCTCTCTCTCTCTCTCTCTCTCTCTCTCTTTCTCTCTCTCTCCCTCCCTCTCTCTACCGACAGATATTCTGCACTTATCCCGTTTGTTTCATTGCGACTAAGCGCGTAATATGATATCTTCAGATGCAAAAGCTCACGGCCAGGTCAAGTGCAAGATATATGCACATTATGCAGTGCGCATATTTTACCTTACCTTACCTTACCTTGAAGGTCATCGGGATAGAAATGGCCACTTGGCCTGTAGGTCCCGTTCTCACCGAGCTACTTTGCAGACATTCAGACATCTCGCTTATTTGTTACGTTATAGGAATTAATGGTCAAACAGCGAACATAAATACCTCAAAATTCAGCGTGTATGTGCTCAGGCAAAGAAGCGAGAGGTTACTAGGTGACGCTATAAGCAACACAGTGCATCCAATATCACGTCATCCACGGCTGTTGCCTCTAAGTTATGGGAGGGAACGAGTGATTTACGAGACATTGCCACTTTAAATTCAAACATTTTGCTATGTTCAAGTCACTGATAAAGCTGAAGTCATGGCCAAATGGCACATATCAAAGCACATACTTCGTTTGAATTAAAACTGCATCTGCCTCATTAATCTGAATGTCTGAATGTCGGACATTTGTTACATGCGATCCATTTTCTCAGCCCTGAGTTGAAGCTGCAGGCCATTGCTCATGGCCAGTATTCTGATTTGGTAAACGAACTCCGGGACGACTCTACTGAGAAACCGCCTTTTCTAAGCGTAGCCTGTGACTAAGCTTGAGGACACAACATCTGGTTGCTTTGATAGGCTGAGAACCTGAGATGTGGCCGTCTTTGAGGATATAACCAAGAGTTTTTATCTCACTTAGATTCTTGGTAGCGCTTCATAACTTCCGGGGAAACCCGTCATCGTGCTTGATAAATGCGAGTCGTTTCATTCACTGCGGCAGTGTTATTCTGAAAAATGCTGTAGGGGATTTAACAATTCCCGCATCCCATCCATCATTTTCAAAAATCAGTGATCCTGTCATCGAGGTTCCGCACCAAATGCTCTATCTCATCTTACAAAAGTGTCACCGTTTCATCACCGACTCTGACATGACATTACCCATTCCAACACCTATCCCGAGCCAGCCTCACTAGCATAACAGCGCACCAATCGCCGCGTCAGCACTCTGCTCCGCCGAGTCGGCAGCTCACTTTCTGTTAGCGCGGCGCCCTCCCGCTGGTTAGGGCTTTCTCTTAGCCGGCGGCTCGTGCGGTGTTTATTGATCTCGTAGCGGGGCGGGCAGGGTCCAACCGTTGACGCGGCGGGTGCCACCGTGATGTTGACTCTGCACTGAATGATGGTGGGTAGGGAGATGGGTGTTTATCACCGTTTTTATCACAGGGAGCTCCTCAAATGGGCGAGAGAGCGCCTGGGAATGCGTGGATGGGCGCTGGGTTATTTTTATTGGGTAGCCGGTTGAGGGTTGGAACTTTTGATGTATTTTGGATGATGGATAGTCTTTTTTGAAATGCTGGTCGGTCGAGATAAGTACGAAGTTAATTGCAAGCCGGCACTCAGCAGATACATGCATAGTGCATGCGGCATAATGTAGGCAAATAAACGAGCAGTAAATGTAACCGTCTACCTTCCAGCTTTATTCATCACATCACCCGCTTTCACCCCCACTTCCCGTCTCTCCTCTTTCCCTCCAGCCCCCCTCCCCCTCCCCCCGTCCAGCTGACGTGGAAGTGACGTATCGACCCCCCCCCCCCCACACGCACACGTCCACCCGGCCTTACCTATCGATTTGTCTCGTCAGCTCTATGGGTGGTCCTTCACTGCTGGAATGGCCAGGAGGGAATAGTCGGTGGTGTGCCTTCGTCCAGAGCATATGATTGGTGCAGTGATTTGACGGTCTCTCATAGATTCTCTTCGAGTCCTGGCATACCTACATATTCGAATTCTTCGAGTCTAGTGGGTTTTCTTCTGGTACGTATTTGTTCTTTTCATTCCGGTTACTCACTTATTTAGAGTGTCTTGCTATTTGATTATGGCGCCAAGGATAAGGTCGCTGCGCCCCCGGTTAGACTGCCTGGGCGCGCCCGTGCGCCGCCCGGGGCGCTGCTCGGAGTCTGAGTCGGTCGCTCGGCCCATCTCAGTGACCTGAGAGGCGGTGCGGAGTGAGGGTGGTGCGCTTCAGGAGTGAGCTGTGCTGAGCGATCACGGAGTCTGAGAGGGAGTGACGAGTTACGTAATCGTGACGGACGAGCGGAGGACGAATCGTGTGACCCGCGTGGTAAGCCGCAGACGATTACGTGTTTCTTCAACAAACTGCTTTTATAATGCTATTCTTTTCAAGTAAATCCAATTATTCGCGAATCGATGGATTCAGAGTTTTTCGAAGTGACTGACTTCCTATCCAGATTCGTATCTGATCTCCGTTCTATTTATTTACCGCCCGTGTCCCTATGGCCATAGTTCTCCATTTTCTCATCTGATTGCTGTCAATAGCAGCCCGATTGCGTTCAGCTGCTCTATTGACCTTGCCAATAGCCTGTGGTAAAAATACCCCTATCGAACACCCTCAGAGATGAGCTCGGGTGGTGACCGGTCTTGCCCCTCGAGACAGGCTATTTGCTGTAAGTTGCCGGAGTCTGGGCCGCGCCCGGCGGTGTGCAAACGGAGATTGTGGATGGCGGCGGCTGAGCTGGTGGATGGCAAAGGTTTTATGAGGGACTCGATATTGGGTTTCGATTGGGTCAGGCACGAGACATTGATGATGGGCAGGGAGGAAGCCAACAAGGAGGGGCATGAACTTCTCTGTCTGTGGGCATCCGGAGGGCTTTATATTTGTTTGTTTGTTTGTTTGTCTTGTTGGGTTAGGCTCTTTCGGTCAATTGTTACCGTTGCAGAGTCGGAAGGTTGGCAGGAATTAGAGGAAGACATTAGTCTGGGCAGGCACCCTATAGTGAGTCATGACTGGGCTGAGCCCATCCAAATGGAAAGGCCAGTCACCCAGCCCACTGATACTTTCTGCACCCGGCTACGGGCGTGCTCCTATGAGAGCTTTCCGCATGGAATGATAATGTTAGTTCGGTCCTGAACAGGGGGTTGAGGGATGGAGGAGAAAGATTCGATTGTCCTGAGGATGGAAACGACGGAACGGTCGAACCTGCTTTAGATTTCCTTATTTCTTCTTTATCCTCCCTGTAATGTTTCCCTCTTTCGTAATTCGGTATCTCAACCATCGTTATCGGCATTATCGGCAGTAGCAACAAAACAACAGCAACAACATTTAGCAAATAGCAACACCATTGTCATTACCATATTCCCTCTTTGCAGGCACTCCACAATGGCCGACCAATTACTACGAAAACAGGAGAGTTCCACAAGCCTCCACGGTGATCGTTCTCTCATTCTCGGAGTAGACATCGGCACAACGTCCGTCAAAGTCTGCATAATCGATTCGGCCGCTCAGAAATGCATCAAGCAGCTCTCTAAGGATACTCAGGTGAGTGGACTATGGTCAGACCGCCGCGCGATAGCCTTGTGGTAGACGGAGCATTGTGTTCAGTGAAGGATCTGACGGGGGATCTTTATGCAGGGTCGTTGACCTGAGAGGAACGGGAGAGTGCGCTGGATAATGAAAATCGGGACGTTGTATGCTGATAGGTAGCTTAATTGCCTTTGCAGCTTAGTGAGGTTGTACATTTCCACGATATTCCGAGGATGCCCGAGATGTGGTGGTGTGGCTGCTTGGTGGATGTCTTGGTGTTACTTCTGAGTTCTGACAGTGGTGGACAGGGCTAGTGTTACTTTAGAGTTTAGACGCAGGGGTCGGTGTCTGCGTTAATTAAGACACAGGTAACCGCGGGTTGGTTGAAAGTTAGACAAACGCTATTCGTTAGCATTGTGTTTTTCTATTCAAATAATGAGCAAGGCTATGGTATTGTCTTAGACAATGGTGGGCGGTGCGTCTCGGTGTTGCTTCAGGCAGTGGTGGGCGGGCCTGGTGCTCTTCTAACGACCCTGCAGGGTGACAGGAGACGAGCTGCAGCTGCCAGCTGCTGTCAGACAGAGTATAGCTCACAGCAGACAGTTGATGGCCTGCCAACCCGACGGTAATCAGATACACGGAGCGTGGGTTAGCTACGCAGCTACATATGCTACACTTCGCGGTTAGGCAGTCGCAGCTTAGCACAGTGACTAGCCGAGCTATAGCCCTCGCTCTATACAGTATAGTCATCCATATGGTATTAGGAAGCTCAACAGATACGGCTAGACTGTTTAAGTTTAACCATCGCGATCCCATATTTCTTCTGTTGAAATGCACCAGCTGTCTCGACCGTCGAATGCAGATTTGTCTCCAAGCATCGGACGGCTGAGCCTGAAGCTGCCCGTTTGATCCGATCGATGCTGCACAATCTGAAATTTCCATCCGATTTGTCTGTGTTCAGCCGTCGGAACCGACCTCTATCTCCGTCGGTATTTAGTGGCCGTGTCCTACGGGAATTCTCGGAGTGTTCGGATGGATATTGGTTGTGCCGTAACAGTTTATCGCTGACTGCCCAACCTCGACTGACCGCCGGTCGGGGTTACATGAACATGGGTTCGACTCACTGGTATATTTTGTCACTGGTTTGCCAGCTGTTGACGTTATCTTGTAACTGCTGTCTGTTGGTGACTGTAATCTACTGTTTACGTTGCCAACCCTTTTGATACGAGGGCTGATAATAGGCCTATCTGATGCATACTGAATACTGATGATTGTTTTGTTTCGTTTGGTCTGGTGTCACCAAATGTTTATGGGGATTCCCGCGGTGACTTACCGATCAATGCCGGTAGTTACCATTTACCATTTAATTTACCGTCTCCATAACCCATTTCAGGCCAACGTGCCCAGCGAACTGGGCAGTGAGGGCAACAAACAGCACGTACCGAAAATAATCAGTGCCCTTCACGGATGTATCTCCAGGCTGCCTCGCGAAGCACTCAGGTCAGGTTGCGCCTGGGGTCAGTTGTTTAACCTTGCTAAGCCGCAAGTGAAATGTTCACAAAGGGAGGTGTTTGGCATTCATTGTCTTTTGGGTATTCTAGCCGAGGGAATGTTCATCGTGTCATGTGTGCATGGTCAGTGGGGTGGGGTGGGTGCTTTCCGTTAACGAGTTAGCTGCCCCGGACAATTGTTGTATTTATTGTATGTTTTTATTATATCATTTATACCTATTTGCCTAAGTTTCTTTGGAAATACTTGTATCCTTCTCCAGAGCGGCACCATTTTCGTCTCCAAGGAAACGATCAATGCGAGGTCTAGGCCCTCCCCTAATTTACAAGCAAGGCAAAACCCTGTTAAAAAAGCTTTAGGAAGTTACATATGGCTTACAGATTTGAGCCAAATGTCCGGATATATCGTTGCACAACTGGCGAATATCATGGTCGCATTCTGGGCTGAAGTTTTATCGCTCTAGCCCAGACATATTCTCGCTATGTCGCGGTCCATCCTGTTGTTGATCGAAGCGATACATTTTCGATGACCTTGACTTTGCGTGGTAAAGCTGAACGTGATGTTAAAGCAAACTGATCCACCGGACCAAGGATATCGCACTGGGGCGTGGTTATTGGACGGAGCGGCGGGCCGGGGTCGGGCTTCCAATTATTCATCGGGTGTTGATAGCACGCAGGGCTGAGTCCAGATTGGCGGCGGGCGGTGTGTGAAAACTTAAATGCTGTGTTTTGTCGAAATTGTAATGATCCTTCTCGACAGGGCAATTATTGGACCTGTCGGAAATCTACAGATTTAGAATCAATGGATGAAGATTTGCGAGGTGCAGGACTTAATGTTGGGTTGCAGTGTTTCCTCTATGGTGACACCAGTATTGCAATCGAGCGTTGTGTGCTCTGTCTGAATTCGCGTAGTATTTTCAAAAGCAACGTATTTTAGGTTACACGTTACGATACATTGAAACTTATCACCTAATTTAACACGTTTTCCATCATACCTCTCAGTCTCGCTCTTCACTCCTATTTCACATTCATCTTGGAGGTCTTCTTACTCCCTACACCGTCCGCCAATTTACACCGTTCTCCGATTCCAGACGGTAGAAAAGGTCCCCTGATTGCAGACGGATAGAAAAGGTCCGCTGATTACACCGTCCCCTGATTCCAGACGGGTAGAAAAGGTGGGAATCTGTGGCCAGATGCACGGTTGTGTCCTATGGAAGAGCGGCCGGGCCTGGAGCAGGAAACCCGACACGAACACGTACGATATCGATGAGGTTTCTCACCTATATACGTGGCAGGTGAGACCTCCGGGGAATGGGAAGGAGGGACGGGAAAAAGAGATGGTGAGAAAGACATCCTTTGGTCGGTAGCTGTTCATTTTTTTTTTGCTTTTAGGTGTTTGGTTTACAAGTGAAATGTTAGTCAATGAAAGTCTATTTTATATCGCGCCAATTTGTTGCTGTTTTACGTATAACGAGAGATATATATTCTTCCACTTGAAACATGTTGCTTTTAGGTCCGTTTTAGGCCTATGTAACACGAAAAGAATGTTGATAGAGTCTATGGTGGTATTCATTCATATTGGTTGGCTGCATAACTGCATGTAATAATTGAGCCACTCTGAGTAGACTTCAAGCTCATCAACATGCCTACCGATCCTGTTCTCTATTGACTCGTCTAGCGGTGAGAATGTCTTGCCAACCGTCGCACATCTAACTCTTCTGACCATCTGACCCCCCCCCCCACCCCCTCCCTCTCCACAGGACACACGATGCACCCCGGAGTTTCTCTCGTCACTACCGGCTCCTGACAGCCATCTGGGAGTTCATTCTGGGTACGGAGTGGCCACTCTGCTCTGGTTCCTGCGACACAAGCCGCAAAAACTGCAGCTCTACGATAGGTCAGGTGCGTTACGGGCTGCCGGACCCGAAAACTGTGGGTCTGTGAGGTGAGCAGGCTCGGTACAGCAAAAAACTGCTTGCTTTTGACAGGCTCGTTTTGCTGGCAAGTCCTCAGACTATGTAAAATCTACTCAGATTACAGCTTATGGCGTGCATGTATCTCATTCAGAAGTCTGTCCGTCTCACAAGACCCATTCATGGCTTGGCCCTTCAATCTCCAACCGTGAATTTACAGCTGCCTTCACCATGGTCCATCCCTCATGAACGACCCGGATCCTCGGTATTACCCCAGAGCGACCCTTGATACCCCATTTCTGTTCCTCAGGAACGATTCAGGACCTGGTGGTGGCGATGTTGTGTGACCTGGACACGCCCGTGATGTCCGTACAGAACGCCGCCAGCTGGGGCTACTTCAACACGCAGACGGCCCAGTGGAACACCGAACTGCTGAAAGGAGCCGGTCAGTCATTTTACACTTCACAACCAACACACAGACTGCCCAGTGGAACGCCGAACTGCTGAAAAAGGCCAGTCAATGAGTAGGTCTACTAAATACAGTCATTCAGTCACTAAGTCAGGCACCAAGGCGTGAACTGACTCACTCTGTAGCCGATTGTAACACCGAAGTTACTGCACAGAGCTGTTCTGTAACTCAATGCAAACAGCCCTAACGCCTCGACCTTTTCCTTCATTTAAATCCGTTCAGTCGGCTGGTCTATCAATACTCAATAGGACCGATTATTTCAGCTAGGCATTCAGCCCATCAATGGCCTATTTAATATGTAATTATCGCGTATTTCAATGATAATTGTTCATTAGAACTTCTCATGAAAGGGTTCGAAATATTTAAGTATGTTTTAAAATCCAGTCTTTATGCAGTTACTGTCAGTTGTCACCGATGAATAGATGGAATACATACTTCCCAACTTAGGTAGTTGTTACCGTTACTTGGTAATTACTTAGAATTTTAGTATTTAATTGGGAATTTCCATTGCTGAAATTGTTTCCGTCTTACCTGATTGGTTAGCAACCAGTTGTGTTCGTTTTTTTCCTTCGAATGTAAATGGCCCACACCATAATTATTTGATAGGTTTTGCACTATCATTTTGCGGGCATGTCACAGAGAGTGACGTTAAGTACCGCATACAGCGTGTGTTGGTTTGACTGGTCATATTTTACACTTCCATTATCAAAGTAACTGTTTTCCATTGCTGTTGATTAACCCACGGGATGCTATTTCTGTGTTGAAATGTATCGCGCACGAAAAGCGGAATACGTGCTGGAATGAGATGTGGGGCGATGTAATAACGTAATGGTACGGGCACATTTGTACGGATGGCTGAGAGGGAACGCTCTTAATGTAATAGCATTACTGCGGTGAGAAATAGCGTCAGTTTGTTGCCGTGTTGCAATGTCTGGCAGTCGTAAAAACGGCATGCGTTGTTCGGCATGGCCATTGCCGTTGTTGCCATAGTTCCGATGATTGATAATGGAGAGCACAAATATGTAGAAGTATGCAGTTCGGTAATTTTTAGTGATGAACTAACTAAGCCAAATATGAGAGAAACCTCAAAAGCTGAGACGTTTGTCTTGCGTTATCTACGCCTGAAAAAGAACTAATTCCGTTCGTTTCTAAAAGAACTTGTAAGTATTCCGCTGGTTATTTTTTTTTCAGACGTCAAATGGCAAATGAAGAATATGTACAAATAAGTCGAACGTCGCGGAAACCAGACAGGTAGCTGAAAATCCACGATTTTTTGCATTTGATGGAATGCTCTGGCCGCTTTCTGCTAAGTGCTACGTGATTTTACGGAAGTCCTCCAAAACTCATCTGCTTTGACTCTTAGCGCAGTAAACTTACCGCTGGCTAATAAATCTTTAACTTATAATTCAGCTGCTTGTTGTTTATCGATGTTCTTTTTTCCACTTGGTAAGAACTCAGAATGCAAGCGATCTTACAACTGCAGCGAAGAATTGGATGTGGCGTGTCATTTTTACAACTGTATGCAGTGTATGTTTTGCTTAACATCTTGTCATTATGTGTGCTTATGAAAGTTTTACTCTGTCATTTCTGATCTTATGATATCTGTTTTGACATTTTTCTTGGTGTAACGCTTACGGCTTACTTAACATTTCTTTTTCTGAATTCTTGAAAAGTTGTCCGTTCCGTGTTTGCTACGATGTACCACCAGTTGACGGGCTTTCCGATATCTGAGAATGTCCTCTTTCAGCTCGCTCTTTTCTGTCAGAACTCTCCCCGACATTTGTCACAAAGTTTGGTGTTCGATTTGAGTTCGGCCATCCATCTGCGGTCTCTAGTAAATGTCTTTCCGTGACCGCGAAGTTCTTTATCTCCGGCCCTCTACCCGTCCCTCAATCCCTCTACCTACCGGCCCGACTTCCCTCTGTCCCCGCCCCTCTGCTCTCATTTCCTAGAAAATCAAAGATAGCCACCGGTTAGTCTCTTCTATCCTCTTTCCATCCTTTCCCAAACTTCTACCATGGTCCATGATGGTCTCTGGTCTCTCCATGGTCTCTCCTTCCTCTCTGGTCTCTGATGATCTTTCCCTCCCTCTCTGATCTCTGATGATCTTCCCCCCTCTCCTTCTCTCTCTCTCACTCTCCATCCCTCCCTCCCTCCCTCCTCTCCTCTCCTCTCCTCTCCTCTCCTCTCCTCTCCTCTCCTCTCCTCTCCTCTCCTCTCCTCTCCTCTCCTCTCCTCTCTCTCTCTCTCTCTCTCTCTCTCTCTCTCTCTCTCTCTCTCTCTCTCTCTCTCTCTCCCTCTCCCTCCCCTCTCTCTCTCCTCTCTCTCTCTCTCTCTCTCTCTCTCTCTCTCTCTCTCTCTCTCTCTCACTCACTCTCTCCCTTCCTCCCCTCCCCCACAGGTCTACCTCTGAGTCTCCTCCCGTCAGTCGTCGGCTCGGGTCAGGCGGCCGGCCGTCTCCACTCGTCCTGGTTGGGTCTACCGGCCGGTACGCCAGTGATGGCTGCCCTGGGGGATCTCCAGTGTTCCGTTCTGCCGCTGCTCACCTGTAATGCCACAGCGGCGCTGAATGTGTCGACATCGGCGCAGCTGGCGCTGCTGCTGCCAGATGTAAGGAAAAGGGGAAAGGGAAAGAGAGAGGATGAAGAAAAATGAAGGGAACGGGAGAGTGAAGTGATTGTAAGGGATGGGAATATCAGTTACTGCAGTTATAAAAGCTAACGATTCATTCAACAATGTAGTCTTTTTTGTGCAGGCCAGTGGCATGGCCCGGTGCAACTGCTCAAAGTAAGACGAATCGTAACTTATCGGGAAGGTTGAAACAGCACCCATTTAATGACAAGAAAAGAAACAAGATTATCGCTTAATCAATCACATATCGCCATGGAATACGCTACCTGGTGGTCTTCAGCCCTCATCATCTACAAGGCCCCGTCCAAGATATCTCATTCGCCCGCTCCTCCCCGCCCGTCCACAGGGTTTCCAGCCGCCGACAGCGGCCGCCGAGACTGGCTGTATCAGCTACCTGCCGTTCCTGGACGGACGGTACCTGGCCGTGGCGGCCGCCCTGACCGGCGGCAACGCCATGGCGGCGTTTGTACAGATGCTGCAGAGGTGGACACAGGAACTGGGGTTCAATGTGCCGCAGTGTGAGTGATGGGCGGGGATGGAGGAAGAGAGACTGGGAATTAAGGGATGGTTCAGTGGGAAATGGGCATTATGAGTAACGGGTAGGATGCTGGGTTTAGAATTCGCACGATGGGAGTTGGACTTAACACAATCCCCGCATTGTTTTTGGTTAACCCATTTTAGGAACCATAGATGTCGTGTAAGGTCACTCGCTTCACGATCTTGATATACCTAAAAGCTTCTTACCACAAAATTCCTGAAGCTTCTTATCATAAAGACTCCAGATCTATGCAATCACATACCTCGATGCGCAAGCCAATCGATAGGCCTAAGTCTCTGTGCGGTGCCGTCTCACCAACACCATCTCCTCCCTCCCTCTTTCTCTCTTCCAGCGGTGGTATGGACCAAGATTCTCTCCCTGGCCGACTCCGCCGCCGCCTCACCGACCACCACCAGCACCGAGCTCCATATCGTACCAACCGTGAGGGGCGAGCGTCACGCGCCACACCAGAGGGCCACCGTGACGGGCGTGACGGTGGATAACACCGGGCTGGGTCACGTCACGGATGCCATCTGTAGAGGCATCGCTGCTAACCTGGACAGGTGAGGAGGGGAGAGAGAGAGAGAGAGAGAGAGAGAGAGAGAGAGAGAGAGAGAGAGAGAGAGAGAGAGAGAGAGAGAGAGAGAGAGAGAGAGAGAGAGAGAGAGAGAGAGGGGGGGGAGAGGGAGAGAGAGGGGGGACTGGCAATATCTCAAATGCCCTCATTGCAAATAGACATCACCAAATGCCCGTAAAACAAAAGTACGTATCGTTAATGTCCATAAGGCAAAGAACATAGAAACAAAAAGGCTAGGCTAGGTTAGGTTATGTTTGGTTGGGTTAGGTTATGTTTGATTGGATCAGGTCATTTTAGGTCAGGTCACGTATGCTTATGAACATTTGCGTGCGTACTTTTGTCCTACGTTCTTTTACGATACGAATCTTTGTCCTCAAATCATTGGTTAACCACTGACATCTCCCCCCCTCCCGTTTCCAGTATGATGTCCAGAGAGTGGCTATCCTTACGGGGCGTCACTCGTCTGGTGGGAACAGGCAGTGCTCTGGCCAGAAACGCTGCCCTCCGTCGAGCCTTCCAGAAGACCTACCAGGTGCCGCTTCAGATGGCAGACGAGACTAGCGCCGCCTATGGAGCGGCCCTGGCTGCTGCCCGCTGCCTATAGCGACATCTGCGTCTACGAAGTGGCGAGCGACTGTTCGTATGGGTTGGGATGTAGCCTGAAAACATCCATGGTAGGTAGGATATTGTAATTTTCGATGGTGGTATATTTACTCAGTTGGGACTCACGTGTCACAGATATTGTTCGTAGTTGTTGCAATACTAAAAGGGATGATATTGATATTAGTTATGGCCAGTTGCTATATATTTGATGATATACTGTACAGGTTCCAGACAACGATAAATGCCCTGCCCTGCTATTGCGAATTGCTGAACAGTGGACAACACATGATGAGATGCTTCAGCGCCATATAAAAGATGCGCTGCCGTCAAAAAAGAAGAAGAATGTTCAGCAGCATGTGGGGACATTGGCAGCAAGATTTTCATCGACCGATTATCGTACTTATTTACCCAGTCTGTGCCATTATTGGGCACCGCAGCACTGCCCATAGCCAGTTCAGTTGCTGTGAATGCGGTCTCTGCGAACCGTAAAATGACGTCATTGATTCAGTATGACGTCATTAGTGACCAGCCGCCCACCGCCTGCGCCTTTCAGTACTTCCAGCATTATTAACCAGGGGTAGGGGCGCCAGTTTACAGCGCCGTACGGCGTAGCGATACGTAGCTTTGTAGATTCACGTATATGAAGTAGACCACACAACGATGGATATATGCATATTGATGTAACCTCGGGTAGTTGTTAGGCCAGTATGTTATTGCGTGCATGTCTAGGGGACTAATCGTGAAGCTGTTTGGAGAAATGTATGATTTTAATACCGAGACGGCCACAGCCCACAAGTATCGTAAAATCCACTTGTGAGAAGTACTGGTTGTCCCTTGCCTGAAGTGTGTGCAGCACTGTCTGCTTATGGTGGGTATGATATGTAATGCTTTCGTCTGAGAACACTTCCAGACTACCAGGTATACACTTCAGTAGTGATTTTTTTTCTAGTGACGTGTGACGTTCCTGCTCAGATGTATTTTGTGAATTTTGGTTAGGTTTATGTTGAGAAGAAGCCGGATTTTTTTTGTAGCCACTTAAGTTAACATTTCTGTACTTCCAGCTATAATAAGTACATTGACGAGTGATCTAAAGAATTTCTTGACCTTTGTCATCCTAGCTCGATTTTTGTTTGTGATTTTAGTGCATTTATCGTCTCCGAGATCCGTTTGATTTCCCATTCCAGTGATGTTCATGCGCCCTGTTGTAATTCAAATTTAAGGGTTTAAGTGGTGCTAATTTCACAAATAATAGTGCAATACCTACGCCAGCTAACGTTGTAGCATAGTAAGACTGATGTGTTACTGGAATAATTACGATATATTTGCTCACAACCGTTTGGTAACTGGTAACCATTTTTTTAGTGTAATAAGCACATGCATTGCATATTTGTCACTCAGTTATTGGTATATTCAGGCGGATTGACCGCTTCTTTGAAAGACTATATCGTCCTGTTTCCGTTCGCTCAAAATGAAACACATGCAGGTATGCTTCATCTCAGGCATTGCATGTTTTGAAGAGGCTTTTACAATTTACCCATGGATGTTTCATGGTCTTTTAACAGTTGAAACATATGAATTTGTTAACGGTATATATGACGCTTTGAATATTTTGTAGCATTGTCATTTTCGAACTAATTATGGATAGAAGCAATGCTCATCATTAGGAATAACTACTACTTATAGCTCGGTGTTATGGCGACTTAGCGCTGTTGCATCGTAAGGTTTATTTAATGTCTTTTTTTTTGTTGATGTTAACGGCTTGATATTTTGTCAAGCTGTCGTACTACCTTTACAAAAGGGCAATAGCACTTATCCTCGTATGAAACTACCCTCCTGTATAAGGTACCCAGCCCTATGACTTTAGAGCTATCACCGCCCACACGATTCCCCCAAACCGCACCCCGCGTCTGTGTGTTGTAAGAAGCTGGCTTCCGTACCGTGAGAATCGCTGAAACTTTGTATCCGTCCGTATGAGTGAGAGTTGTGCCTCGAATGCGCTTCGACCCAGGCGAGATTCTCTGTCGAGATTGATGACGTCACTGGTGAATTGATGGCGGCATATCTGTGGACTGATGACGTATGAATGTGACGTTACACACATGGCCTTGTAATGTCTTTACGAGCTAGTGATGTCACAACTGTGGGCTGGCCGCCTTTAGCTGACGTAACGTCACAACATGGGGTTAGTTCTCTCAGGTGATGTCTAACCCTTGTGCTGATGACGTCACACCTAGGTATTAGTGACGTCAGGACTGGTGATTAATGATGGAACTGCCGGATATATCAGTGTTGGAAGTGCTGTTATGAAGGCTACACGGTTGAATGTGATGTACTGGAATAAATGGCGAGAATCGGTTACCTGTTATTTTCCTTCGGGGTTTCGGCTAGCGATGTTCAGTGGTTATTTCTACAAATACAAACATCAGTGTTCGACGTTCGTAATGGATGTACAAGTTGGAGATTACTCACGGAGCTAGACTTTTAGGACGCTTGAATTTATGCATCGCTAACATTTTTAAGCGGTGCTTATGGGCCAAGGCATAGGTAAAGTTGGAAATATGTATTTCAAAACCACACTTACACATTACACAATTCATTTTTGGGGCTTGTTCCACATGATGACCTTAGTCGTTACATACGTTTCAAAGCATATGCAATGATCTTTTTTTCAGAAAACCTTGACTATGGCTGACAGCGTAATTAGCCACTAAGTCAACTATTCCACAATTACCCTGTCATTAAAACCATCTACCGCAAGACAGACGAGTTGTCGCACTAGCGACCGCAGGGGGGAGGGGGCACGAGACTAAGAACCCTAATTGTGACCCAGTTTTTGACATGACATCGATGACAGTGCGTAAAGAACACCCCCCCCCCCCGCCTTGCTCCACTTTCGCGCACGATAGTACTCGTAATTCCCCCGTCGCCGCTGATGGAATACGAACGCTTGGGCAGGGGCGGGGCTCAGGACTCAAGGAGGGGGGGAGGGGCAGGGCCGCAGGTTACGTCGCGTCCACCGGTCTCCGGGCGACCAACAGCACGCCGATGAAGTCAGTCGGCCGGCGGACCCGCCTGGGCAGTGGCGATATCAAATTCGAGACGTGTGGGCCGTGCCGCGCCGTGATAGGGCGTTTTCCGAGCCGTGCCGAGGCGTTCTCGAGCCGTGTCTGGCCGAAATGAGCTCGGAGACGTGCTTAGGACGTGCTTAGGACGTGCTCTGGACGTGCTGGGACGTGGTCGAGGGATGTAGTGGCGCGGCGGAGCGGCCGTTGTTGACAGCTGCCCTGCCGCCACCGGCCCACACACTCAGACACCATGTTGTAAGTATTGCTGGGTGTGGTTTCGATTCCAAGTGGGGTGTTCGTATAGTCTGTAGCTATGAACTATCTGATGACTGATAGATAAGATATATACTGGAACTTATTCGTAAATATTGGTAATGGCGGTAAGCAGTAGCGGCGGAACACCTTCAATTAAGGGGGGGGGGGGCACTGCCGACTTTTGGTCCCATTCTTTCCATGCGACGCCCATAGGGCTAATGTTAAAATGCCAAAATCAAAGGGAGGCACGGTGCCCCGGTGCCCTCCCCGTTCCGCCGCCTATGGCGGTAAGCATTAGAGCAATGCAACACTGTAACTGATGCCAAAGGAAGAGACGGCTAAGGCTAATCAACTTTTGCTATGCTGTAGCATATCACCCTATAAACTGTGCTTCTACACGCAATCCATTTTGCTTTCCTACAAGTAAAGACACTTTCAGCAGTTGCATTAAGAAACGGAATCATCATTGACAAAAACAAAAAGTTATTTCCCATGCCTGGATCCTGCCGCCCCGCGCCAACGGTCGCTCACAAGTGACATTGTGCCGTGCGGAACAGCCTACCCACTCAGGCGCAGACACCTGCTGCCATCTACCGGGCGGAGCATAAGTCCACTGGGCGGCCGGCCGGCCTGACCAAACGCGTCGTCCAATCAAATGTAGGTAGCTGGTGAGAGTAGGCTGGAAAGTGGAAAAAAAAAACATTGAAGAAATGTGGCATAAGCGTCGTAGGTGGTTGACCGGCATCCTGAACCTGTCCAAACAAATAACTGATAAGGACAAAACGACCTATATTATTAATGGGCTGGGCTGTTGAATTAAAGAGCCGAGAGGGGTAAATGTATCTTCCCGTATTTTACCGCTAATATGAAGCATATAGGTAGAACTCGTTAACCTAAGAAGGGCACTGTATGTACAAGAGAGTGATACCTCCTAACGAGCGTCACCAATCTGGCCGTGTGAACCTATCACGTGACCCGTGTGAATCCATCGTGTGAACGTCATGTGATCGGCATGCGCCGTGTGATCGTCACACAGTGCTTTGTGGCGGTGCGGTACACTCAGTGTGCACCAGCCGTGCCTCCGGACAGTTGCTTTTCGGCTGTCCCTGTGTTTATTCAGAACCTACTCGAGTCAGTCGAATCTGAGTCCACTTGTGCTAGCTCTGGCCGTATCTGTGTTCAACTGGTCATGCAAGTGATTGAGAAATAACCGATTAGAGAAGATGGCTGCGACAGTGTGTGCCTGAAGATTGCTAAAGGGGATAAAGAGCTACCTTCGCGGTCGCACGCTAGACTGGACTCATGAGAAGGTCAGGCGCTGCGTGACAATCGATGGGCGTTTGAGGCTGTGAGAATGAGAGCATGACATAGCGTAATGGAAATGAGGTTGGCTATGGTTGTTCGATAACTCATCTTAAAAAGGATATTATAACGAATGCAAAAATCGAAGGCGACGGAAAATGTCTTCCAGACACGACAACTTCTGTCTTGTAGGTAGCTGTTCAGCATCGCAGTCGCGTTAGGTCCGCGACCGCCCCCTAATTTAGGCACGAAACCGTTCAGAAGATCTAAGAGGCTGAAGCGATTGGCCATGGAGTTTCGTGGGTCAGCTCCAGGGTATATTGAATTAGGGGTCAGCTCCACAAGCTGTCGCAATTCACGTGACAGATTCGATTATAAACTTAGAGCCAAACAACTTATAGTGCCTTGCGAACGGTCTCGGGGGCAGTCGCGATCAATCCGGTGGCAGCCGTTAGATGGCAGCACGTGTTGCGCCTGAGTGGGTAGGCTGTTCCGCACGGCACTAGGCATTCAGTTGAGGCCTGCACGGGCTGTAAGTTGAGCGAGATCAAATATTCGATGTGATTCCCCTAATTTAGGGTCTGGTGTCATCCTTAGAGGTTTTTAGAGTGCTCAAAGCATGTTGGAGATAGGGTTTATATTGCATATGCTCGACCTTTTGCCCGACTTGTCAGCATCCATCTATTGTTATCCGTTAGGTAAGGTCAATGATTTTTGACGGCATCCCATAGTTATGGTAGGTATCTCCTGCTTCTATTCTTTCTCCCCAGTTGCAGTTCCTCTACCTACAGTCTACCATAACTACTTCTCTGTCACCAAGTTACCACCCTCCGTCAATCTCGTTTACTATCATCCCCTACCACAATTTTACCCTCTCCCATCCTCCGTCCCCCCAGCCATCCCCCGGTCACGGTCAGGGTTTTCCTCACCCCACGGCACGTGAGGTCACCGCTCAGAGCCTATCGACCGCCTCGGGCGCCGCCGGTGAGGTCGGTCAGTGTTTGTGTGGTTCCCCGGGTACCTGCCGCCTGTTGGTGGCTACCGGGCACGGCCAAGCGGGCAGTGCCCGGCGGGCACTGATTTGGGGCTTGGTGGCTGGATGGAGAAATGAGGAAAAACTTCAGCAGCGCAGGGCAGGCACTTGTTTGGAGCTCACTGGCTGAACGGAGAAATGGGAAAAAGCCTAGACAGCGTAGGCAGGGTCGGGCAGGCACTGATTTGGGGCTCGCTGGCTGAGCAGATGGAGAAAAGTGAGGATAATCTTGACTATGTTATAGGGGTAGGACAATTCCCAAAACTCTTCACTGAAAGAGATAATACTATTGTCATTTATGCAGAGTTTTATTCATGCCGTTTAGACGGCCTATCAACTAAAAGCTAACTAGCTACAACTAAGAGCTAACTAAACATTACGTGCAAATAAACAAAGGTTGACGTAACAACGGAATGATCATTCACTTCAAAGTTTTGTTAACCCGCGCCCTGCTGGGGGTGTGTGTTTGAACGACCCCCCCCCCCCTTGTGGTTTTTCGCGAATATCTCAAAAACGGCGGCGCGGAGCGCCGCCGTTTTTGGTACACCTTATCATACATCAATTCTACACATGTTGTGAAAATTTCAGACCAAGGTCATTCAAGGTCAGGTCACCAGGTCACTTGAAGTGACCTCACCTCATAAAAAGTTTCAATGTCTGTCATAGCTACACCGAGTGACCGATCGCTTTGAAACTTTCAGCGATTGCTAAGAGCAATAGCATGTACAAAATGTATATCTCAGAATTTTGATATCGATGACCTAAGGTCAGGTCAATTTTGCGACCTCCCCATTATAAGTCGATGGGAGAAAATTGAAATGCGCCTCTTTTGGACGAAAGACATTATAAACACTCCCAAACACTGAATTACAACTTACAAGTGGTTTAGACACACTGAACATGAAAATGGTGTCCGTGACCCCTGTTTATGCCCTGAGGTCATCTTAGGTCACGAATGGTATCTAACAGTTTTTCGCAAATAACTTTTGATAGAGGCATGCTAGAGCGATGAAAACGCCTTAGATGTGTTCAGCTCGACGATACGGATCCACTGATATGCAACATGACCCTTTCCGGTCAGGTCACGACCTTGACCTGAGGTCAAATTTTCAAGTTGACCTTTCAAGGTCAAGTTATAGTTCATTCGATGCGTCTTGACGAGAGGAACACGATGCCGGTAAAAGTAAGCTCGTACAAGGCTTGGGTCAAAAATTATTGCAGGAAAACTGTTTCCGAAAAAATCGGCTATTTTTGTAGCTTTTGCCCCCTGCAGGCAAAACCGTTGACGTTAGGTCAAATCTGATAGAATTACTCAGAAAGGGCGTTAATAGGGCTATCGAATGCGCTTTTCCGCGGCGCTGTAGCTCTATTGGTTCCCGAGTTATGCGTTGGCTTCTTGGAAATTGTCGACATTCGACCTGGAAATCGGCGAAATTTTGCCTTCAATGACCTCTGGTGACCTGACCTTTGACCTGACCAAAAAATTGACCGAAGTGATTTCCTCATTATTTTTGACGCTCTTTCGAACGCCGCCTTCCGCGTATCGCTACGTGGCCCAGGAGCCGAGTTAGAAGGGGGTTGTTCAAACACCCCCCCCCCCCCAGCAGGGCGTGGAAATCCAGGACCCCCAGCCGGGCGCGGGTGAAAGAGAAGGTTGATGCCAAATGTCCAATGAAAAGCTAGTCACCTGGATAAACGGCATTCATGGAAACGATGGTCACAGTAATCCTATAATACCTACGTTAGTTGTTGGATTGATTGTTATCGCCAGCTTTCCGTCCACCTCGTTCTGTTATAATTCTTGCCATTCTCTCCCCATCCTTCAATTCACCTCTCGTCTATGTTTCAGCGTCCGCAAGGGTAACACGATGTTCGGCAATCCGAACTCACTGCCGGGCCTGGGCTCCAACAACAGCGGCCCGCGGTACCAGCAGCGGCAGCAGGCGCCGGCGCCGCCGCCCGTCTTCAGCCAGCCGGCACCTATGCCAATGCCAGACTCCGGTAGCGGTACGTAAGGTTGCATTTTGCATTGCAAATGGTATCATGTGGATGTGAATCATCTTCGCCAAGTGGCAAGATGTCAGCCAATGTTCACGGGCCATGTCAATTCACTGTCTAAATGCCCATCGTCATCGTACGAATCGATACCATTTCGGGACTTCCTAGACCCTAGGTGTCCCTAGAGGCCCGCTTGATAATTACCGGCATAATACCGGCATGCACTGTCCGTAGCGTGTTCATGATTTGTTTATAGATTTGAACAATAACGTTCACCTACCTGTTTATTTGTGAGTTTATTGATACCCGTTTATTGAAAAACATTACATGCGATGTACAGCCCTTCTCTCAGCCTGCTGCGAAACCGCTATCATAATTTCAGTCACCAACAGACAGTCCCTCATTGCCATCCGCTCTTCTGTCATCTGCCTGTCACCTGTCTTGTCACCTATCTGTCACGTCTATTTATCATGCTGGCAGCCCGTCGGATAGACGCCCTGGAGCAGCGTCTGATGGCCGCCGAACAGGCCAACCGGTCTCTGCTCGACGAACTGATGAGGATGCAGCAGGAGACCAAGGTGAGTCCAGGGAAAAGGCGAGGAAAAGGCGAGAGAAAAGGCGAGTGAAATTAGGCAAAGGGTGAGAGTGACAGAAATGAAGGATGGGGGAAGGAAAATTATGATGTAAGCCGTGCCATGGAACAAGGCGAAATAAATCAGGGTTTGTTGTGATCAGAAGACGGCGAAGACGGGAGAGGGAGAGCGCTGGAGTTCTGTCATGCAACCATTATGAAACATGTCTTCAAACCTCGAGTAGCACATATTTATAGCAATCATTGCAGGTTGAATGAAGAATGGAGTTCGTGGTATTTCTCTATTGCAATTCAGCTGATCAGGATCTTTATTTGGATACATATTTGGTTCACTTATTCAATACCGGACCAACGTAAACAAGAGCGAACGGTCATGTGCCCAAACCAAGGTCGCCTCGCCTCTCGACCCTAGCCACATCGCCCATAGTAACCACCAGTGTTTGGCTGCTGTTTCCTTCGCTGCGTGCGGGTCGGGTCAGCAGCACTGAATTATGACGTCATGCTGGCAATCGATTGTCAGCTGACAACCCAGTGCGACTGAGGTATGAGGATTAATCCACTCAGACACCGGCTTAAGTCACGGAATGGCTGCGGTGTGGAGCTTTACTGCCGCTCGTAACCGTGCGGTGGATACACGTTTCAATTAAGCCTGCTAGTATAAAAGTGGATTTAGTATAACAGTGAATTTGTTATAGTAAATTAAACTGACAGTTCGGAATTGAACTGTAGGTCCGAGTCTCGGGACTACGAAGCAAAGCGTAAGTAGCTGTTCATACTCGTATGAACAGAAGAACGCAAGCACGAACAATAGATAATGCGCATAAAATTGTTTGATATGTAGGCACAAAATGAAAATAAAGCTTCCAAAAATACCACTTTTATTTTATATTAGAACTGCGTTTTTTTCCTGGGAAAGCAATACATACTCGTACAATGTCAAAACGAATTACCTGTATGTGTTACAGAGAAAGCGATGGAACACTGAAGCACCGTGAAAAAAATAGCTTAAGCAAAAAAGCAAACTCTCCAATTTCATAAGTACAATGATGAAAGAAAACCGAAGCCTCATAATAATGAATGTATTCTAAATTACGACCGAGAAGAAAGAGATAACAGTTTCGGGCATAGCCCATCATCAGATCTCCTAAAAGATACATTTTGAAAATTGTGATCTCGCCTTTTAACACATCCTGACACATTTAGCGACCATCCTCTTCTTTGAGAGTGTGATACAAAGTTAAATGATTGCGAGTGTATGCAAGTAGCTTGTACCAATATTAACGATGCAAAAGAATTGAAATTATTAATAAGCATATTACTCATATTACTCTCCAATTTCTCTCTATTTACTGACCCCTCCCCCCTTCCCCAACAGGTCAACGTCAAGAAGAACGAGCACAGTCTAACAGAAGAGCGAGACAACCGGGGTCGAATGGAGATGGCTCTGCGCGCCACGCAGGCCAAAATGGCCGAGATCGAGGAGCGCCAGGGCCGCACAGAGTCTGCTCTCAAAGAGAGCAGGAACGCCATTCAGTCGCTGATGATGCACACGAAGAATGTGGAGAGAGCGGTGATGACGAGCAGTGGAGAAACCAGGGAGCGCCGGGACCAGACCATGGCCAGGTGAGGACCAGGGACCAAAGGGGACGAGGGGCCGGGACCAGGGACCATGGCCAGGTGAGGACCGGGGACCATAGGGGACGGGACTAACGAGACCAGGGAGCGCCGGGACCAGACCATGGCCAAGTAAGGACCAGGGACCATGGCCAGGTGAGCACCAGGGACCACACCATACCCAGGTGATGACTAGACCATGGCCAGGTAAGGGCCGGGCCATGTTAGGCGAGGACCAGAGACCAGACCATAAACAGGCGAAGATTGGCCTGTGTGCGATAAGGCCATGGGGAGGCCGGGAACAGGCGGTTAGGAAACGACGGACCAGACTGTCGTGCGAGAGGTGCGAGACTAGACATGCTTAGCTCAGGGATTATGAAGCATTGAAACATAACCTTTCATCTCCTTTCAACCAACCTTTCATCTCTCTTTCCACAGGTTACAGGAGCTTCGACACGAGGTGTCCGGTCTGAACCAGAGTAAGGACTCGCTGGACAGGATGACACACTCGCTAAGGGAAGACGTCAGGGACCTCCACATGAAGGTACGAGCGGATCGGGAAAAAATCGAAGACAATAAAAATGCAGAATAGGATAGATTGTATTTTTTTTTTTGTGTGTGAATAACGACTTGTAAAGTTCGTGTCAGACCCTTGGGTAGGCGCATGTAAATCGACCTTCCGTTTTCTTTTATTATTTGTACCATCAAAAAAGAAAGAAAACACGAACGTCTCAAGACGTTAATATTCTCGTCATAACGCTGACTCATCTTGCTCACGAAGTTGGCGATCCTCCTCATGACGCCGTTTACCTTTCTTCCACAGGTTGAGACGCTGCAAGGAGACGTTCAGGCCGTCGACCACACGATGAAGCTCCAGTCCAGGATGATCGAGGAAGGCTCTCGGAAAAACGTCAGTGCGCTGGATGGTTTCCACTTTACAATTGATTTACATGCTCGTTCAGTGCGCTTAGGGTCTTGGTCCTAGGCAAACTTGTGAAGCTTTCACGTTAACAGCTCAGTTTAACTTTACATTGTCATTTATCAGCGTCAAAACTTAATACTCTCTGGTCACCCTCTTGCCTTCCTATGCATCCTCAAAAACCCTCGGTCCTACCTCCCATTGAGTTATTACTCTCTGACAGGACTCCCACCATTTGTACAGGCGCAGGCGTCAGGAGGTGGAGGCGGAATGAACAACGCCGTGGCCATGGCGCTAGAAGCCAAGTAAGTCGCCGGCGATTGTGGTTGTAAGCGTAGATAAGATCAGGGGTAGACCAGAAACTAAGAATGCAAAAGTGCCGAGTATCTTGACTATGTAGAATATCTGGGTGGATTTAATAATGCTAAAAGAAATAAAATTGACCCTCGTCACATTTCATCAAAGATGTGACATCAAAGACAGTAGTTGAATGAAAAATTAATACAGCATGAGCTCAGTGCTAGCGCATTGGCTTCCTTAACTTCAAATTGAGGAATGCTCATAAATCAGTCCCCATTAAAACAATGCGACTCATTAAAAACTAAAAACTAAAAAGCACATCGAAGTCTAAAAACGTCCTATCGCCATGTATGTTTTACGTACAACTAGCCCTCTGTGAGAACCCGCTAGTTGCTGTTAAATAAGTTATCAACCTACAAGCCAGTGGAGTCATTTTCCTGGGATCTACATAGGTCATCGTCTGCCTTCGCAAAACACGATAAAGTTATATCGGGCTATGCTAAGGCTCGTAGCCAAGGCCTACCCTAAAATCAAGATTACCCCTTAAATGTTCCGGTAAAAATGCGGCACTGGTAATAGAGGTACGGTTGATATACTACAAATCAACGAATGACAACTGCCTCAGGAAAATAAAACCGCAGTACCAAGCGCGACTATTGGACGTCAGAACTGCGTCCATTTCCGCTTTACGCTGACGATGTCGTATCCCTGCAGGGTGGTGAAGTTGCAGCAGAACGTGATGGACGTCAACTCTCGCCTGGTTCACGACTCCAAGAACCGTGACATGGCTGAACAGCAGCAGACGGAGCGGTGAGAAACGGAGGGGGGGGGGGGCGGAGGGAGTCGACGAGAAAGACAATTGGGGCTGTTGGCGTCTTAGAAAATATAAAAACGGAATAATCATCATGACACATTCAGAATCGGGCACAATAAAATGATGGCTCAGCTACAAGTATTCCTTCTGCAGAATTTTCTATAAAAAACAAACATTATCGTTCTGTATGTGACCCTGAATAAGGAAGAGGTTTCATGTAGAATGTCTACGTGTTTCTTCTTATGAAGCTCCGTACGTGTCTGCCTGCAGTAACGTATGCGATCGACGCAATACGTCTAGGCCAGCACCGTCACCGACTTGTTTGAATCCACAACGTCCTTTCCAACCAACGTCATGTTCTTCGGCAGGATCAACGACGTGTGGGCAGAGCTGGGTGAGGTGAAGCGGAAGAGGGAGGACGACCTGCGGGACCTGGAGCTGAAGACCCGGGAGATGTCGTCGATGACAGGATCGGAGAAGAAGCGCCTTCAGATGGCCATCAGCAGTCTGCAGAACGACCTCGAGACCAAACTCAAGGCCAAGTGAGTTATTCGGTATGGGATTTGAGACCAATCTCCAGCACTGAGAATTATTTGGGACTTACGGGAAGTGAGATGTTTGGGGTTCAAGGGCTGAATACCGAGTCACTCAATTTCGACGAGACCGAATAATGTCTCAGCGAGTAACCGCAGGAAAACAAGGCGTCAGTTCATCAGTTTTTTCCTTGATTTCAGGCATCGTGTGTAAGCGACACCATCGCAATATCGTAACCAAATGCAGTAGCACAGGGTGGTTTGTTTGACTTTGGGTATGGGTTACCTCGAACATCCTGGTAGGAAGCCCGGTGGTTTGCACACCTAACAGATGTAAAAATTGTCCCATTGCTAACTAATTTTTCCTTGTCTTGCAGTGAAGCGGGTGGGCGGTAAGTACGATTCAATCCGCGTTCTACTGGTTAGTTTGACCACGGACCGTTTAGGTCATATTTAATTCACGATGTTCCGTAATCATTAAAGATTAGCCGCATAGCGTTAATAACATAACATGAGGAACATCTGAACCTCATATTGGCTCAGGCGGACTGAAATAACTGAGTGACTGCACATGGCAATGCTTGGTGGCCCGTTCATCCTCAAATATTCCTTACATGAAAAAAACAAAATGATACTCATCCATCGCGAAAAAGACTGATCCTCTCCTGCCCCCGTCCCGCCGCACAGAGGTGACAAGATGCAGGGTGAGACTGGCGAGCGGGTGCGGCAGCTGGAGAGGTCGCTGGATGAGGAGGTGAAGGCACGCACCACGCGAGAGAAGGCCCTCCGAGACGAGGTCGAAAAGAAACTGGACGAGATCAAGGTCTACAGCGACGAGGGACTCAACGGCATCAGGAAGATGACTGAGGTGGGTGATAGCGATAGTGATTGGGAACTTAAGGGCTCGTCAAAAGCTGATATTAGTTACTTACACAGGTATCATCGATCTCAGTACGGAACCCTTTGTTTTGGAATAGCATATCGGTCTTCAGTTTCGAAATACCTGATGAATGAGATATAAAACACATATTGGTTCCTCTTCTACAATGCTTTTACTCCTTCTCCTGGTCCATCTTGACCCGTTCCATAGCATTCACCGTCGTCTTCGCAATGCAGCTCTGACTTCGCCATCTTCTCGATGATCTAACTCCGACACATTTCCACAATGATCGGACACCGCCATCCTCTCTCACAGGCTCAGCAGGACCAAACGCGGCAGAGGTTCAAGGAGCTCAGCGACGGCCTGAACCTGCTGGAGGGCAACTTCAACGAGGACAAGTTGGAGACGGAGCAGAAGCTGCACAAGGAGGCCCAGGAGAGAGAGAACCTCGAGAAGGTCGGTGGCAACAACATCGTTTTGTATATATGCAGTCAAATCTGTTGCGAGCAACCATGTTAACCTTGTTTACCGCAAAAAGTTACTTCCAGAACTTCAAAGGAAACGTTTTACGTTATCGATGCCCTCATAGCCTGAATTGTCTAAAAAATAATTCAAACTTATTCCTCGGCGACTTTTTTCTTGCCAATGTCACAATATTCCGGTTTTGTCAATATCGTGGCCCATGGTGTCTCCAACTCGATTTATGTCTTCCTCCACCCCAAAACTTCCGCCTTCCTCACAAGAAGCGCCAACGTTCGTCCACAGGTGATGGACGCCAAGGTGGATGACCTCAGTGACCGTCTGCGGATCGGCATGGCGTCCCTGCAGTCCGCTCTTGGAGAGGCCAACAGCCGCGGCGGTACTGGACACGCCGGTCCCGGCCTCTCCATTGAAGAGGTGGGCGATAGGGTGGCGAATAGAGGATTTAGTGCGGTTGGAAAGGTGCTTTAGTACGTACGTTTGGCTTTCCTCGACGTTTTTCCATATTTTAAGTTTGGTTTGGACCCCTATGAACCTGACATACGACTCAGCGTACGCAAGGATGCATTGTGCCTCCTCGGGCTTGTGCGCTATTCCCTATTACTACTGTTTGGAGTTGAAAGGCTGATCACCGAGTCACTCATTTTAAGAATGCTAACCAAGACTGTTGGTCTGTGTATTTACGGGCCCCATCTAAGCCTAAGCCCCGTGCAGAAGCCTTTTCTAAGCCTTGTGTTTTGTTTCCAACGAATGCTACTGCATCTCCTTCCAATACCGCCTAGTTTTCTTTATCATGTCGTGTTCTTCCAGATCGAGCGACTCCAGAACAGTAACAACGAGGGCGTGCGGGAGCAGATGGCCAAGTCGATCGCCGAGGTGGACACCAAGATCGCCGAGCTGCGCACCAGGGTCGAGCAGCAGGACGAAGTCATCGAGAATAAACTCAAACAGGTGAGGGCGAGGGCGCGGGCGAGAGGAGAATCCACAGGCGATTGGCTCCTGGTGTCAGTTGTATGTCTTTTGGCCTGCATTGGAACTTGCGAAACCTAGGACCCGCAAGGAAAGCGGGCGTTAGAAAGAACCTGTAGGACAATAGGGACCTAATGGGGCACGACGTCTGATAATTACCAGAAAGGGAGTCGGTGCTAAGGACACACTGCTGGTTTCCAAAGCGACGGCGATTGGGGGCATCCCTACCTACGTTACAAGTTACAACCTAAACAACAGTAAATAATTTATGGACACGCGTTACCTACTTCGTTGCCATGGTGCTTTCACAAAGCTGTTTATCAACGATGTCTTTGTGTCTAACTCTTACAGGCGGAGAGGTCGGATGACAACGAGAACAACATGATGGGTGACAAGCTGACGCAGAAGATGGACTCTGTCATGTTCACCCAGGAGCGGCTGAAGAGGCAGGTCGACCAGCTGGAGGACTCGGTGAAGGTGAGAGCGGGGGAGGGAGAGAGGGAGAGAGAGAGTGCGATTTTCGAGGCGAAATGAAATGGAAAAGATATGAGCTGAAGCGAGACTTCTTGTTGTCTTCCCGTGCCAGGCAGACACAACTTTCCTTAGCGAAATACAAGGGATATGAAAAATCGAAATGTTGATGTTGCTTTTGTTGCTTAGCGATAGCGGCGGGTAAAACCTCGCCCCCGACCTCGCAGGAATGTCCACGCGAAATCGCCGAGGTCAAGGAGCAGCTCCAGGAAACCGAGGAGCGCCTCAACAAGAAGCTGGATCAGGAGACCCGAGATCGGACTGAGGACATCGAGGACGTCAGGAGGGACCTGGGGCGGCTGGCTGGACACGAGGAGACGGCGGGAACCACCAGTCTGGTGAGTAACAGGAAGGGGCATGGACGCAAGGAAAGGTGCAATGAGATAGGGGATGGTGATTGCGGGCCCAAGCAGCTTGGTAAATTCCAGAAAGGTGAAGTAGGATGAATTGGAGACGGATGGAGTCATTCTAGTAAGACTCCTAATGAGAACCAAAATGAGTTCCCTCTCAACCCCCCCCCCCTCAAAATTGGGATCCAGGGCAGCGAGGGAAAAAGAAAGAAACTAATCTAAGGGTCGGTTGTTACATGTTGTCGCGAAAACATCAAATAGGGTCAAAGAGCAACTTCTTATTGTTGACCACTAGCCTGTAACTGTTGCGAGCATTCAGTGCTGACCATGTTCTCTTGTCGTCCAGGCTCGAGTGCAGCAGGACGTGGACGACACACAGACGTCTGTCACCAAGCTGGCCGAGGCCATGCAGATCATCAAGGTCACGCTCACGGAGAAGGTTAAGGAGGAGAAGAAGATGGTACGTAGAACCACTGGGTCAAACAGTGTTAACTACCAATTAACAGGAATTAAATACACACCTTCGCTCACTCGAAAGTACCTCAACCTAAAAAAAAAACTCCTACGAATCGTTATTGGTCTCTTCTGAACTTCGTTTGCTGTGGAACTCAAAAGTACGCTCCACATAATTTTGCAGTCCTAGGTGTTCCATCAACGTGGAGACCAAGGTCGGGCTATCATTGCCGTTGAGCACAATGACATCAGCACTGTAGGTTCGTTGCATTGTGCGTGTCACAAAAAGCTGACTCTCTGTTATCCTTCGGGACAGCGAGAACAAGAGACGGAGGTGCTGAAGCGAGACGTGGAGCGGCTTGATGCCAAGACCAGAGACCTCAAAGACCGTATCAAACATCCAAAAGGTAACCACCCACTCCCTACCACTGCACAATCCCTCTGCGCTGCTGCTAACAGCCTGCTCTGTAAATATCTTCTGCTTGCTTTGAATGACTATGGTCGTAAAGTACTGATTATTGACTTTGTTTTGGGAAATCAAGCTCACGGGTATAATAGCGATAATATTGGGATAATTATTCTAGTAATATTAATCTGGATACGTTGAGTCAACTGCTTTTGCTTCGCTTTATTCCTTCTTCTGCCATGGTTCATAGCCTCATTGCATGCTACCTAAAAAAAAAATGATGCAAGCGCTTGTCGATGTTGTACCAAATGTTCCCGCTTATTGCTCAAAACGCAGGCTTTTGTGTGTGTCTACTGAATGTTGCATATAAGTGCTTCTGCGTGTTGCTCGCCTGCTAGCTCCAAATACAATGTCTTCTGTAGTTCTTCTTGCCCATGTATATAACTTAAACGCTGAATTACCGCTTTGTGCAATGCTTTCAATGCTTATCGCTTTCCCGAGAGGCCTTCCCGCACCCACTCGCCACCCAGCTGACATCCTTGCTTCAACCACAGCCCACAGAAAGAAGAAGCAGGGCGACACCGCGGTGCCTGCCGTTGCCGTGGCGAGTCTGGGCGTGGAAGACGCTGCTGGAGCAGTGTCGGAGCTGGACGACATGGGTCTCACTGCTGACGAGACGGAAGATCCAGCTCCTCCGGAGCCGGTGGCCGAGCCCGAGCCTGAACCGGCGGAGGAAGTTAAACCAGAGGAAGAGCAGCCGGAACCGGAGCCAGAACCAGAACCAGAGCAAGAACCTGAGCCGGAGCCGGAGCCAGAGCCGGAGCCAGAGCCGGAAGAGCCGCCACCAGAAGAGGAAGAACCACCGGCTCCTGAGGAGCTGCCGGAAGTGCCCGAACCAGATCAAGCGGAGAAAGAACCAGAAGAAGAGGAGAAACCAGAAGAGGAGGCAGAAGAGGAAAAACCCGAAGAACAGAAGCAGGAGGAACCAGAAGAAGAGGAAGAAAAACCGGAAGAGGAAGAAGAAAAGCCAGAGGAGGAAAAGCCTAAAGAAGAGGAGAAACCGGAGGAAGAGGAAAAACCCGAAGAAGAAAAGCCAGAAGAAAAACCCGAGGAGGCAGAAGAGGAGAAGCCAGATGAAAAACCAGAAGAGGAAGAGCCTGCAAAAGAAGAGGAGGAACCGAAACCACCTGAAGACGAAGACCCCAAACCAGACGAAGAAGAAAAGCCAAAAGACGAGCCCGAACCTGAGAAAGAAGCGGAACCAGAAAACAAAGAAGACGCGCCGGCCGCCGAAGAATCTCCAAAAGATGGAGCGGAGTAGAAGGAGACCCACTCACCCCACTGGAGTCCGAGGGAGATCAGCACACAGAAACGGTACAAGTAGAACCAAAAAACCATGTACTTACAGCATCCTCACTCCTCCGGAACCATAGCACCCGCTGTGGCGAGTTTGCTCAATTCATTGTGCAATGCTTAACGCCAATGTAATAGCATGCCGAGCATGCTGACACCATGGTTCGAAACGTCTGTGTGACATTGTCTGATGCAGTTTTGAGTTCAGAGCCCATACAGAACTGGGAGTGGTTCTTTTAGCCTTGTGTCACCATCGGGCCACTGTGACTGGGTTTTGATTTTCCACTACCTACCACACACATCGCAATATTCTTGGAGATCCACCAAGATCATAGATCCAACACCCAGATCCATGCACATTGCACACGACGTCTGGTCAGAAAGGTCTGTGGTCAGAACCTCAGTCTGACCACAGCCTCAAAACAGTCTTTATGCGATCTCTCAAAAATGAGGGGGCGGGCAGCGATATGTTATGCCGTAAGCATGATTATATTTTGAAATTCAGTGCGCCCGATAACGGTGATCGGTGTCCGGTTGTATGACACGTCCGTATGGTCTGGTGCTGCGGTGCGGTTTCATTGAGATCTCGGTTTGACCTTGGGTGTTCGACAAACGCCAAATTCAGCTATAGAGCCCTTTTAGTGACGGTCTGCTGGTCTAACATTGCCACATTATACCTCCGTAGTAAAACAATCTATTTTTGTGAAGAATTGAGGTAGAATTACAGTAAAAACGACAGGCTGAATCCACTTGGCTGTTGGCTCGTTTTATCTCTCCATTTATTTTTCACAGATTACTCGGGCTCATACTGAGTCAAATGTCTGAAAAAACATCTGCACCAACGTTGGCACCTGGAACAGCGCATCGGCATGGGAATCAAGATCAACGACAACGTCTTCTGGTCTAAAATGCGCCGATAAAAGACACCCAGCCAAGACAGTGGAGGATGACGAGACATTTAATATTGCTGCCCTATCTTGCGCATTGTCCCATATAGTTTGCCGTTTAGAGCGTGTGTGAACTGTGTATGTGTGCAGTTAAGGTACCGTTAAGCACTACGTTACATATGTAGGCTTGAGCATTGCCAGGCTGATTATTTGAATAGGATTGTATGTCAAGAATCTTGAGTGGCAACGATAATTAATATTGTTTTATAACGAATTATTGTCTACCAGGTAGCAACATAGATACGAGTACATGTATGGTAGCAAGATGTGACCGTTGTTTATTTACGGCATTTGTTAGCATTGCGAACGACTTTGACTCTCTGATTGCTATATATACCCCATAGTCACTGTTTTAAGTTCACCGTCAATCCTGCCCTAAAGCGCCCATTCTTCGAGCGACCACTGCTTTGATTTACTTTTGGACGATTAATTTAAATCGTTTAAGATCTTAACCATCCGTGCTAGTGAAGTTATGAGCTGCGAGGGCGGGTGAAGTGAACGAATGTGCGATGCCGATGCATACGTCCGTTATGTGCGAAAGTGTCACCGAGTTCCAGCACTGTACCCCGCACTCTCCTCCCGCCCCCATACACATCCCCGTATTCGCAAAATAAGGTTCACATAAATCGATCTCAAAATCACCTATCGATATATAAAACCCCAATCCGGCACCCTCAACCCATCGCGATTGCCACTGCGTGTACAACTGTACAATGAACTTTGCGCACCAAGCCGTTTAAAGGGACACTCCCACCTTAACATTAGTTTTGAGTTGAGATAGCCAAATTGGTGGCCATGGCCTGCAAATACCGGTTTGGGCACTCACAACATCGAAAAATGCTTTAATTCGAAGATATGGAATTTCAAACTTGCAGTTTTCGGATTCTAAGGGGCTAATGCATTGGAATGCCCCCTTAGAATTTGTGACGTCAGCGGAGATCTAACGATTTTTAAATCTTAGACTAAAACCATCGTTAACACGTGGTGGTATACGCTGCTTTGCGCGCAACGTCTGCCGCACTTTAAGGCTGCCAAATTATTGCTTCCAAATAAAGTCGCTAGTAACAGGGGAGATCCCAAAAAGTAAACAAAAGTAAAAGCCTAATATCTTGAAAACCAGTGAATATTTTTCGGTGAAATTTGGTAGATATTCGTTTTCGCTCTTTCTGAACCAAGGGACATCACTTTCATGCAAATTCATTAACTTTTTTGAAGGTGGGAGGGTCCCTTTAACCCAGGTTGTGTGCACAACACAATTCACAGTCACACTATTCCCCAAGCGTTGAAGCAGCCTGTGATAATGTGTGAAAGGCCCCGCCGGTCGGTTGGCCGAGAATTGTATGGGCCCTGGTAGTTACTTTGTCCCCACTGGGATGGAACAGAGTGTTTTGGTATGTGGTTTGTGTACTAATATCCTATTTTCTTCTACCCAGCGCTAGTCTGTATATTCTAGTCACACAAGCGTGCTTTGGGTGACAGTTGCCAGTGTAAGACACAATTCTGAAGCGCGCCTGCAGAAATGTCAACCAGGCCTTTGCCATCACTAACAACGTACTACGCGATAACATTTGTTCTACTTGAAGTTTACGCGAACCGTCAGAAGTGGGCCTGGAGTCAGAAAATTGACACAGTGAAATGGAAGTTAAAAAACGCAAGAAACGCAACTTGGAACTTAAGTTTCGTTAGCAAAGCAACCATTGCTACCAGTGAAACACTTGTCAATAACACAACTTGAAAAGTATGTATTATGTTAGACTTGCATGCCCACACTATTTTTGTGAACGAATAAAACAGTTAAATTTATGTGGCTCTGCTGACAAAACTGAAAAACGTAAGCACCAAGCGAGAAAGCAAATAAATGAGCGCTATGCATAGGTAAATGAAAGCTTCATTAGCGCTCGATACGAATAAAACACTACCTTAAAACCAAGCTAAAATGACTACTGTCCGGCATTTCTGCAATCACAAGTCAGACCTAAAACGAACCAACTAACACTTAAATTTTACCATGGAATGCGTTATATTGACGTTTTCACACAATCTGTACGACATATGATACGATTACACGCAGCTCACTTCAGTATGACTAATCACGCAGCAATCACACTTCACACAGTACCTATGTTCAACTTTATACTCATACGCAGATAAAAATCACAACATAAAGCAACATACAAAACAACGCATGTCATGAGGTACTGATTGCTATGCAACAAGGCTCATGGCGTGATTTAATACAAATAATTATAACCAATACAATCCCGGCATATTTAGAAATGAGAAAGTACAAAAAGTGGTCACAGCAGAAACGAAATGAAGATAACATATTTATACAGTGAAGGATACTCTTGAAGCATTCAGGGATACGGGCTTAGTAATTGCATCACGTAGTAAAATCCGAATAATTTAAAAGACAAAGATGAAGCTTAGTGGTAAGACGATCCGATTACTTTTAGCAACCGAAGCTACTTAAGACTACTGCAGATTAAACTGAATTGTGAAATACCCATGCTTCCGGTCAAAACATAGGTATGGAGGGGATAGAATGACTATTTCATAGAAAGTTATCCACAACATAAACAAAGGACGTAAAGGCCACTTAGATCACCTGAATACATTTTGAACAAGTGTAACTAAAGCTGCGCATTTAATAATGATGCCCACACGAAGCGAAAACGCCCTAATTTGCGAAAATGTGAGAACATGTAAACGACTGAAGCTTATGTTGTGAACACATTTTTAAAACGTGAACACAACTAAATCAAATTAAGCATTACCATCACGCTCTTGTATCTACAAAATTAAAATCGTCAGTCAAATACCAACAAATTGCCCGAACAAAGCACACGTTTAACATGTGAAACTAAAGCAGCATATTTTACATGCCCGTGGCAGTAAACAAAATATAACATAAGCTCAAATGTCACAGGATAGCTATACCATAGCTATGCCAATGGATTAGCAAGATCAATCATCTACATACTAGCAATCTTGTAACTAGATTGCTAGTTACAACAGCCGAATCTACATACCATCAACAGCTGACACTAACAACTAGATATAGTCGCTTGCAAGTATGAGGGCCACCTAAGGTCCCACCAAAGTTTACGCAACTATTTAGTGTGTATCCTGCATGACTTGATCTGCGTTAGGCTATAAAACCCTGTTTGGTATTCTCCTGACATACATAACCACACGCACTTGACGTGCAACCCGCATTACTGTACAAATACATGTAGTTGGAACTTGGAAGTACACCATTCAATAGAGAAACCTAGCGTAGTGTGGTATGACAGGAGAGCAATTCATTGGAAGTCCATCATTCAATAGAGAAACCTTAGAGCGAAGTGTCGTGTGACAGTCAGGAACTCATGCACTTCAGAAGACCATCTAATACATAGTGTCACGAAACTGGTAACATTTGAAAGTTACATTGTGGCACATTAAATACAGCACAATGCACAAATTGCACACAGCTATACAACTGCCTACATTTGACACGGACGCATCTTGCAGCACAACAGTCTGGCCTATAACGTAGGCAGTGCCTTTCTTACACAGCAGCTCACACTAACACGGTACAACAATGCCTGGACTGTGTTCGTCTCACTAGCACAGAGCAAAGACAAAGCCCGAGACAACTAGCATCCTTGCACATTGACCTCTTGCGGCAGTAGCATTCGCCTGACTCGAATAGGGGTGAGTCGACTGAAACCGACCAGACCTTGACCTGACCTCGAGTGACCCGACTGAAACCGACCTGATCTGGACCTGAACTCGGCTGACCCGACCGACACTAGCCTGACCCGAGCTATCCGACAGAGACAAGTGCAGAACATCCAAGCGAGCGCATACTTTCTGACCGACCCAAAAGCCACGGCTGTCTAGATCGGGCCAGAAATGTCCCTTCCGTTGGCTGACTGCAGGCGGACCCCAGCTCGCTTCCAAACTGACCATAAACTGGCTTCAGGACAAACTCGGGTCATCTGAGTAACCTCTAAGCGATCTCAGGTGACCTACAGGTCACCGATTCACCGATCTGGGCTTGTAAGGTGTACGAACCTGGTCTAGACTGGTCCTTCTATCTGCGTCGCTCCGTGCTTTATTTGGACCGATTTATCTGGGCTGCTACAGGCAGCATGTCTGGTTTAATGTGGTCTGAGATGCCCCGGGCACGCTTGACGCCAGGCTTCAGGGCATGTCAGGTTAAATACAGGTCAGTGTCCGACTAACCTGGAGATCAAACGGTAATATGAATTCTTCGGGTCTAGTCTGACTCGGTTAACGCTGGTGTGGCGATGTGCCTTCGCCTAGCCTGGTCTCATGTGGTTTCAGCAGGTCTGACCTGGTCTGACCAAGAGTGTTCTGTTCTGACTTGACATGAGGCCTTGCCTGGTCTAACCTAGTTACAACACATCCCACGTTTCTGGCGTGTCGTGCTTTCTCAAGCCTAAGCACCCCTGTTCTGACAAACCATCTAGCTTTGTCAGTTCTACGCTTCCCCGTCCTGACTTATATCTCCCTTCCTCAGGCCTACCTACCCTCCCCTCCCTCCCAACCTCACCCAACCATCACAGACCCGCCAAGCTATCTCGCGCCTACCCTCCCCTCCCTCCCAAACCTCACCCCACCGTCACAGACACCCGCCTCACGCCCGGGACATCCGCAGCATTCTCGCCTGGTTATGGTGTGATACCCGAATCACGCACGGTCCCTGCTCCCACGGCTCTCCATCCAGCTGCATCGGCACCTTGGAGCGCAGGGAGATCTGAAAACGGAGAGGACGCGTGTCATAGTAGTAAGGGAAAACAAAGCGGCGACATTGTCTCGGTGCGGAAAATAGGACGTACGTATTTTCTCGGTGAGGGAAAGAAAGGAGAGGCACTGTATTTTTACGGAGCGAGCGAAGCGAGCGTAGTCTTTCCTTAGATTAACGGAAACTTCTGAGTATGAGCGGCCGGCCGGCCGGCCGGCCGTGGTCACGCTTTTGCGAGGCTTATATCTCAGCAACCACTTGACCGATTTACACGCGGTAATTTTTGTAGGGTAGCTTCATTCCTTCTACCAAGTATTGGACTATTCCTGATGCATGTGGGTGACCCCTTATGCACGTGCCACGTGCAAAACGAAGAGGTGTCCGTTTTGTAATTGTTGCAATATCTCGGTAACTACTTGGTCGATTGCGCTGAAAGTTGGCATGTAGGTAAGCATCCACTAGGCACTGCATATCCATGTGCCAGAGTTGGGGCGCTGCTGCACGTGCGCACGTGCAGGGGTCGTTTCCAGATCTCGAGAACGGCTCGACCGATTGCGCTCAAATTTGGTACACAGTTAGGGACCGGTTAGTAGGGTGCCGTGCACAAGTCAGTTGGGACCCATTTTGCACGTGCGCACGTGCAGGGTGCCGATTCCAGATCTCGAGAACGGCTTGGCCGATTGTGCTCAAATTTGGCACATCGCTAGAGACCGGTTAGTAGGGTGCCGTGCACAAGTCAGCTGGAGGTACCCCCTCGAAATTTCGCACGTGCAAGGCTCACCCTCTCGCTCGCTCCGTTAGTCGCCCATAAGGCATTATACTGGTATTAAACGGCAAACATACTTCATAATAAAAAGACTATTCCGAGTGTAGAGTTAATATTAAAAAGAAAAAAGTTTACATGCGCCTTGAATCCACAACATAAAAAGACTCAGGACTCATGACAGCAGCTGAGGTCATTACGCGCCATCCCTCACCCCTCCCCCTACACACACACACACACTCAGTCCCCCCCCCCCCCTGATCGCGCCTAGTCTTATGTTGAAGTCTTATGTCTCTTCCCTATGTTGAAAAGAATAAAGTGATAGAACAAAAGCGTCATGATGGCTGCAATCACTACACGAAGCCTCACCTCGACTGATCGTGCCTGACCGAGTCGCAGTGGCTCGGAGAGGCCGACCTGCATCTGAGCGACGTGGAAAGACGAATAGACGCAGAACACCTCCAGTAGACCATCATCGGGCCGCTGGACTCCGGCCGCCCCGGCGCCTGGGGACGCGGGGGAGGGTAGTTAGACCAGAGGAGGGGAGGCCGGAGGTAGCTTGGAGTCAGGGGAGTATAAGGGGAGCAGGAGGGAGAAAATTCAGGTCGGGCGTCCACTATATTCATTCATAAAATCAATCAATCATTCAAACAAAACTTGACAGCCTAATACTCACTTTAGCCAATGATGAAATCTAGCCTAAAAGTACTCTACCGTTCTCCCATGCTGATGCTCCCCAAATCCAATTAAACTAGAATGATAGCTGACAAGATACCTTACAATATCATTACATGTAACTGGATATAAAAACCGCCGCCTGCACCTACCCTGTCCGAGCTCCCAGGGCCGCACGCCAGCTCCCCAGGTGGCGATATTCTGCACCACCAGCGCCTCGATGTCGGGCAGCTCCACCTCCCTGCCGTCCATCTTCAGCGTCAGCTTCTGCTGCAGGTGCTGACACTCGCGCTCCAGCACGTCCTTGGTGCCGTAACAGAAGTAGATAAGCTGCGGGTGGAGATGGGAGGTTAGCGGGACTAGAAAGGGACGAGAGAGAGAGGAAAAACTGACGAAATTCATTCTGGATTATGAATAGCAGCCGTAACTTTGATGTATTTCACATTACCACAGGGTACATTTCGATGACACACTAGACACTACCACTCATATGCCGTTAGTGCTTTGGTTTTGCACCAAATATTTCGCCCCATGGAACCTCGAAGTCGCTTGGGGCTAGCTTTCTCCCATTCTCGATGAGCTGGCCAAATATGCTGGATTTTGATGAAGAAGCTGGTGGAGCTACTTCTGCGTCTACGGCTGAGTCCGACTCTTCTGCCGGGCCAGACGCGCGTCCTGCGACACACCCAACGTGATGGGGACCAGCTTCAGGAGGGGCTGTGGCGAGGATAGCGGCGGAGTTTCCCCGGATGATTGCTATCGAGACTCTTTGTAGAAGCCAGGACACTTCTCTGGGGTCCTTAGTCGCCGCAGAAATCCGACCGCCGATATCCCGAAGCAGCTTTGACCCTGCTTCTCCGACTACGCCGGTAGTCTCCACTGCTACTGGAGTGAAGATGTAGCGGTCTGCAAGAATGGCGTAGCGCATGCGCTTCAGGTTCTCGGCGGCGGCTGCAGCTGCGCCGGGATCCACCGCACACTTCACCACGTGTGACTCAGCAAACGTGTCAACGCATGTGGCGTCCCATGTGAGGCTTCGACCGGCACTGAAGGGGAACGTTGTCAGTCCGTCGGGGCGCCTTCCATCTCCTCTGTCTAGCCCCACAGGTTCTAAGACAGATGGTACGCCAGCGCTTGCCAGTGCTCGTTTAATGACGTCATTTAGGGCTGCGTGCCGTGGGAAGCGACCGGCGCTCTTCTTGCATGATAGGCCGTGGTGTCCCAGCCTGTCCACAGGGCATCCACATAGCTTGCATTGGTGGGGCTCACAGATGGGCAGGCCTAGTCGGAGGGCTACCGCTATACGAATGGTCTCGTCATCAATGTACAGTCCCAGGCTGGGGATTGGAGGTGCTTGCAGCCAGGCTGCAGTATGCGGCATACAAGCAGCACCGAGACGAGCGCGATGTATCTGATTGGCTCCGGTGATCAGGCGGTTAGCGGTGACAGTTGACGCGATGTCGTCCCAGGTCTTTTGGAGGCTGGCCGCCGGGCGTTCTGGAACAGTCTCGATGCCAGTTGCAGCCATGAACTGCTCCGTGGCTGGTTGCAGTGCCGCTGGCTCAGGGCCCGTGAAGGTTGAAGGGCAGATAGATAACACCAGCGGTGCTGCAGCGGTGAGAGACGACAAGTAGCAGGGCAGAGCGAGAGCGTGCACGGAGCGCACGCCGAGCCCGCCATGCCTCTGGGGCAGTGCAGCCTGCTCCCAGGCCTCGTCTGTCAGTGCCACGTTACCAACTTCCTGGAGCGTGAGACGAACTGTGCTGTCGATTCGGGATAGCTCTGCAGGCTCCCGATAGGCTGGCGATGAACGTAGGAGATATTGCACTCGCGGGGCAGCTACGTACTTCGATAAGAAGAACAGAGCTGTGTGTCGATCGAGGAGGCGGAGTCGACTGCACAGCAGTTTGATAGTGATGCCATGCTAGTATGCATTTTTACTAGTATGCATACTAGTATGCATTTTTTATAGGAGACTGCTCCAAACGAAACGCCCGCTATTCTTACAATAAAAAGAAACACCAAGACGGTAAAGGCACAACGCAAAGAAAAAAATATTGGGTTCCAAAACTCAAGTTAATGCGTAGTCTCGACCATAAAAGTCTACGCCCGCCGTGGCCATCCCTTTTTCACAACTGCGGTCAAATTGTTGTTGCATGGGTTGTCGCGAAGCCCCCTCTTCGCACAACTTTACCAGCCGACCGTTCTTTCTACCTTCCCGTCCATCCGACACACCTTATTGACGAGTCGGCTGCTCCAGAGGTAGTGCGGCGACTCCCTGGTCTTGTGGAAGTTGAGGGTGACCAGCGCGTCCACGCCGAGACTGACGTAGTTGGTCATCCTCACTGTGGAGCCGGGAAGGTGGACGTGCCGCACGGGGTCCAGTTGAACCTGGAGAGGGGGAAGGGAGGGGGCGGTCAAATGCAGAGCGAAGTCAGTTGAGTGGGATGGACTGAGTCCACCGCACGGTTTTGATGAGTAAGTTTGAATTTAGGCACCAATCAACTGAACTCTGAATAGTCAGATCCGACAGCAAGGGTCGAAGGCAGTGCAGAAGATCTTGTTTGGCGCGGGCTCTGACTATATTAACCCGTCCTTTCAAACATAATACTGTGACAGATGTCGCCATCTGTTGGCGAACTTGTGAAGTTGTGCCTTCTTACCATTACCGTTGTCAGACGTTGTTGTCGGTTAATACAGTCAGTTACTGCTGGAACGTCCTGTGTCACTGGTGGCAGCGCCGATCATGCCCACGCCAGGAGAGGGGCACCGCGCCGTGGCGCTGAGCAGGGTCTTCGGCGACGACCTGTCGCCAGGAGCGTGGAGAGGCTTCAAGGACCACTTTCTTCTGGTGAAGCAGGCCAATATCGCACGAGGAGTGACGGTATGGCAGGACGCGGTCTACCGGAGTGTTGAGCTGCGTTTGTGCCTCACCGGGGCCCCAGCAGAATACGTACGGGAGGAGGCCGCCCAAGATTCGAAATGGGTTCAAAACGACGAGCAAATCCTTGAGCATCTGGAGAGACGGTACGTTACGACTGAAGCCATAGGGGTAAGGATTATCAGATTTGAGGAAGCTAAACAAGGGGAAGAGGAAAGCCTTGCTGATTTTCTTACGCGGCTGCAGCGGCTAGCTGGGGATGCGTTCGCCGGCGAGTCGGCCGATATCAGACGGAAACGCGTTGTTTGGCGTTTTTTGGACGGTCTAATCGACAGAGATGTACGGGAACGGCTCATTCGTGAACGCTGGATGAAGGATGACGAAAATGCTAAGGAGTATGACGACATTCTCAAAATCGCAGAGATCGCAAGAACATCGAAGCAGGCGGCGGCTCTCACGGGTCACCGCCATCAGGTTGGTGGGACATGTCTCGCCGCCCAGCCCCAGACGGCCGCTTCCCCTCCCCCTCCCGCTCGCTGGCAGAGGGGGGCGGGCCGCTTCGGGTCGGCGCCCGGTCAGCTGACCGGACCGCCCGCGGCGCGGTCGGGTCGGACGCCGGCTCCGCAGTCTGGCCCGCGCGCTGGGGCGGGGAGGGTCGGTCGGTCAGTGGGCCGGTGCTACTACTGCAACATTCCTCATCAGGGCGGCTGGTACCGGTGCCGTAAGCGTCTCTCTGAGGACCCGCACTGGTCACCGCGTCGGGAGAGTGCAGCTGCGCCCGCCGTGTTCAACGAGCAGCCAGGTGAGCAGCAGGATTTTTACTAAGCAGTCCCCCAGTCGCAAAACCCGGGGAGGGACCGAGCATACCGGGAGCAACGGATGTGCGGTGCTGGTCGCGGCACAAACCTGTCGTACAATTTTCTTTTGCCAGCTGTAGCGCATCGATGCCAGCCATGTCCGATCTGTCCGCTCGCGACTGTTTATCCCGAGCTCTCACAAGCGCCCCATACGTGTCCGTTGAATGGGGTGATGGGGTTAATGGCCGCGCCATGGTAGACACGGGCGCTGATTGGTCATTAGTTGCAGATGAGAACTTGACGGCTCGTGAGCGGCTGGCCATCAGGCCGTCAAATGTTCGTGGTCGGGGCGTCAGCAGCGAGGATATCCCAGTACTCGGTGAGGTATGGCGCACCGTTAAAGTGGGCGGACTGATTGTGCGTGACCAGCGGTTTGTTGTTGTGCGCGGGCTGGTCGTTCCCGCCATATTGGGCATTGACTTCTGGTCCCGCCTTGGCAGTATGAAGCTGGATCTGCGTGCACGCCGGCTGCTGCTGGAGGAGAAGGGCGTGGAGCTCGAGCTGCTCAGCGCTTCCCAACCGCAGGACACGACTTCTGCTCAGCGAGTCGACCTGAAGCTTCGACGTGACGTCACCGTGCCGCCGGCCACCGAGGCACTCGTCCCGGTGAAGCGTGGCGGTCTACGGCCAGGTGGGGAGTACCTGCTGGAGTCAGTAGGAGGTGAGGACTCACCGGTTTGCGCCGCCTCGTGTGTGATAAGGCCTACCACTGATGACACGCTGTGGGTGAGGGTGGCCAATGTCAGTTTAACTGAGGAAGTGTTGAGGAGAAATGAGGTGGTGGCCACTGCTAGCACGGACTTCACGTTGGAAGGAGTGTTGAATCATGATCCTAACGGAAAGGGGGCTGGACAGAGAGCGAACATTGGTGCAGACTTATCAGACGCACAACGTGAGGACATGAATCGTCTGATCTCTGAGTTCAGTGACGTTTTCTACGCAGGTGGCGAGCTGCCGGTCGTCCATGTTGGTGTTGAACACAGAATCAACGTCACTCCTGGCACTCGTCCGGTGGCGTCTCGGCCCAGGCGTCTATCACCCCGTCTGGAGGGTGAAGTGCGGAAGGAGCTGCAGCAGCTGGAAGCCATGGGCGTCATCCGGCAGTCCCACAGCCCGTGGGCCGCGCCGGTGGTATGTGCACGCCGGAAGGACGGTCGACTTCGCTTGGCCATTGACTACCGCCGAGTGAACGCAGTCTCGGCTGCATCAACGCTGCACCCGATACCGCTGATGGAGGACCTGCTGGACAGACTCGGTAATGCCAAATTCTTTTCTGCTCTAGACGCTAAATGTGGGTACCATCAGTTGCCGTTAAACCCTTCCGAGAGCGAGATGACAGCGTTCGTGGTCCCCTGGGGACAGTATGAGTGGGCAGAGAGGACGCCGTTCGGTCTGCATGGGGCAGGATTCTCGTTTCAGAGAATGATGTCCGCTGTTCTAGGAGAATCCAACTTTACAGAGGCCCTGTGCTATTTGGATGATGTGTTGGTTTGGGGAGAGACCTGGGAGCAGCACCAGAGACGGCTACGCTCGGTCCTCGAGAAAGTCCGCAAGGCTGGACTAGCCCTGTCTTTTCAAAAATGTCAGTTCGGCATGAAAACTGTAGAATACCTGGGCGCGATCATCAGTAACGGGCGAATAAGTATGAGTGAAGCGCGAGTTGAGCAGCTCAGAAACCTGCCTCTTCCCCGTGACGTACATGAACTGCGTCGGGCTCTGGGATCCTTTGCTTACGTCCAGAGATGGATCCCAGGGTTAGCTGAGACGGCCCGCCCCCTGTACGACGCTCTTGACAGGGACGGCAGGCAGAAGTTGCTCTGGACCGACGAAATGACGGCCGCCTTCGGTAAGCTGAAGCAGCAGGTGTCCGATGCTGTAGCGTTGTATATACCCGACTTTAGCAAGCCCTTCACCTTGGTGACTGATGCGAGCGATGTGGGCACCGGAGCGATGCTGGCCAACAAGGACGGCGCCCAACTGAAACCAGTCGGATTTTTTCATCATGCATTGTCCAATCATGAGAGGAATTACAGTACAACGGAAAAAGAGCTGCTTGCGGTGGTGCTCGCCGTGAAACGGTTTCGCGTATATTTGTCGAACGCGCCGTTTGAACTTATCACCGACCACAGAGCGCTCCGTTGGCTTAACTCGTTGGACCCGTACGACGAACGGGGCCGGCGTGGGCGCTGGATTGACTTCCTTCAACAGTTCCAGATTCGGCCTGTGCACAGGGCCGGGAAGCACCCTGACATGACCATGGCAGACTATCTCTCCAGAGTCGGCGCAACGGCTGGTTTGGTGGCATCGGTCCAGTCGGAGACTCAAGAGCTGGGACCGGACCTGGTGTCGACTGGCTTCAGCTCTGACCGGATACGAGCGGAACAACAGATGGACCCGGAGATATCCCCAGTTCGCGTCGCTCTGCTCAGCGACGAGAAGCTGCCAAGCAAGTACACAGACTCTGCCCGTATTTTGTATCGGTTTCGCCGTCGTTTAGCAATCAGACATGATGGCATGCTGTGCTACGCGTTCAATGGTGGGAGGAAACTATTGCCGGTGATCCCAAGGTCCTTGAGGGCAGAAGCGTTGCATTTAATTCACGATGCGCCGCTCAGCGGTCACATGGGTCGAGACCGGACATGGCAGAGAGCTCGAGATAATTTCTGGTGGCCTAACATGAAGCAAGACCTATATTTATATGTCACCAGCTGTGAAGTGTGCGGTAGAAACAAGCTGCCCAAGAGCCCGGGGCGCGCGCCAATGCAACACACCGACATTCCCGACAGACCACTCGCTCACCTGCAGGTGGACTTTGCCGGGCCGTTTCCTCGCTCAGACGATCACCCGTTCCGGTATGTGTTGCAGGTCCAGGACGTCTTCAGCCGCTACTTGATGCTGATGCCGGCCGAGGATAACACGGCCGAGACGGCGGCCAGGCTCGTCTACGATCGGTGGATCTGCACGTTCGACGTCCCTCTGGTGATCACGTCGGACAGAGGACCACACTTCGCAGCAGAAACGTTCCGTGCCATGTGTCGTCGGACCGGAGTGCGCCACCGCATGGGTGCACCACAGCACGCACAGAGTCAAGGGCAGGTGGAGCGCCAGAATCAGTTGATCGCTAACTTGCGTTGTGTGTGTTGCAATGATGTGCGGGTCTGGCCCAAGAAAATATTTCAGTTGCAGTTCAGTCACAACACGTCCGTCAACTCCGCCACCGGGTTCTCTCCGTTCGAGTTGCTGTTCGCCAGGCCGGCTCGTCGCCCCGAGTCTGCCGTCAGCGAGGGTGTCCCTGACGGTGAACCGGGACACCTACCGGCGGCCGGCGGCTACAGCGGTGAGGTGGCTGAGCGGCGGCGGCTGCTAGACGAGCTGCACCGTGAGACGCAAGTAAGTGTACGCAATGTACAAAACGCTCGTGTGCAGCAGAGTGTCGCAAGGGCGAGGGGACAACCATTCGAGGTCGGCGATGCAGTTCGATTACGTTTGACCCACGCGGAACGGAGTCGAAAGGGCGGGAAAATGTCACCGGTCCTTTCACAGTTGTATAAGGTGGTCGAGGTACTGAGAGGCGGGTGGACGTACCGTGTGTCGCGACTCTTTGGTACGGGCAAAGGAACCGATATTAAAATCCGCCATTACAACGATCTGGTACGCCCCGCAGCCCAGCCCGACGAGGTCCCTCGGCTGGAGTCCGACGCGTCGTCCGGGCACTCCGAACCTGCTCCAGACGGCACGGAGAGCGACGTAGACGACGGCGACGTGGACGACGGCGACGGCTGCCTCCGCGACGCCACATCCGAAGACCCGGAGAGCGCTTACCGCCGGGATCCGGATGGGAGCGACTCCCGTCCCCGTCGTCAGTGCGGTCCGCCGGCGCGCCTGGTGATCGATCCCAGTCGGAAACGTTACGAGGAAACTTAACGTGGGGAGTGTGACAGATGTCGCCATCTGTTGGCGAACTTGTGAAGTTGTGCCTTCTTACCATTACCGTTGTCAGACGTTGTTGTCGGTTAATACAGTCAGTTACTGCTGGAACGTCCTGTGTCAATACGAGCTAAATGTGTAAGAACAAGGCGAAGAGGCATGGGCGCGTCAAATGCTATGATTATTCTGGCTGCTGGCATCATCACAGTTCCTCGTGACATCCCCCAAGCAGAAAACAATTATGAGGTAACTTCACCCAGGACGAGCGTCGAGCAGTGATACCATATTTCAGCAATATCCTTATGACCTCACAGCAGCCTTAGGGGCGGTTCAGGCTCCACCCCCTCACCAGCCATCTGTCGACATTGATGACCTCGGCTCTCTGCAGCCTCCGCAGCACCTGTTCAGGGTCGACCTCGACATAGGCCTCTCCCGAGCCGAGCACCCTGGAGAGGTCATTGCCGGTCCCCAGAGGCAGGATACCGACCGCCGGGGGCGGCTGAAAAAGGGAGGGGGATTTGTTTGGACGAGACTCGTTTGGACGAGTAAATATGATAATGTAAGAGAGATAACCTTTACTGAGAATGAGCAGGACCAAGAAGTTAAAACTAAACAAGATGAAAGTATTCATTCATCGAATTCGTTGAAGGATTGACTAACTGAATAACTGAATAAATGAATCACCTTCAACAACCTGAATTCTGGAACATCATCCTCACACTCAGTCACCAGCTGATACAACACTACCTTAGGAATCGGCCAGTCGGATGAAGCTAGCCTATCCTCTTCATCCATTCCACCCCTTCTCCCTGTATTCCACCTAAAGGTTCTCACCCGCAGATGAATGTTCTCACCAGCAACTATATGCTCTCACCTGCAGTTTGAGGTTCTCAATGGCATTAAGCACCCAGTCCACGGTGCCGTCACCTCCCGCCACCAGGACCCTGCATCTCTCCGGTCCCACCAGATGGCACCACTCCAGACCGTCTTCTGGCCGCTGGTCGCCCAGGTCCACCACCTGGCGGACGGAACGCGAACTAATCGTTCAAGACTGACGGACAGGTGGTCAGTGGCTGAGCGTAAACAACCAGAAAACCAATTCCTTTACTTGATCGACTATCTCTTTGCAAGTTCCACCACAAATTTCATGTTTTTTCATATGTAAGAAAATATTAGTTTTTATGCCACAAATAAGCGAAAAATAAAAGCTATTTTCAAAACATATCAAATTAAAATTTGCACCGCAGGCTCACTAATTACAACTCCCGTCCTGACTAGCTAACCACGTCTCTCCCCGCGCCCTCCCGAACACACCCCAAAGACTCCCTACCATATCTCCCCCACACTAACCTGGGCCGGGTTCAGGTACCTCCTGAAGGCAGACAGCACCTGCTCTGCGTCCGTGCTGCCAGACTTCCTGTTACCTGTCGGTGAAAACAGGGCACGATACAAATGAGAAAGTCGTAACGATTACGTGAACCACGCTCAATCCACAGGCTGGTGAACCCTGCGTGGAACTCAAGAGTTCAACATCATATATTCCTTACGGGTTACGATACGTGATCAAGAGTCTAAACCGATCCATATTCCGTTTCCGGTTGCATTTACAACCAAGAAACAAGTCCATGCATAAAGTCGCATAAGCCAACATCGCTTTCACATCTCCCTCCTCACTTCCTGCCAGTCTCTATCCCAAACTCCTTCCCGCCTCCACTCCCGCCTTCTTCCTGACTGTATCCCAGCCCAATCACTGTCCCTCATGCTCCCCGCCTCCGCCTCGTCTACCCACCCTCACTCACCGAGCACAATAAGCGGCGTCCAGGGTTTGTCGGCGCCGGCCCCTGTCGAGGTGGCCGGCCGGCTGACCTGAGCCACGGTCAGTCGACGGGGCACGGTGGTCGTGGCGCGTACCTTGACACAGGTGGGTGGGACGATGTACTGGGAAAACTCGCCAAGGTCACACACCTGAGGACAGGGGGCGGGGGGGGGGGCAGTTAGTGCGGGGTAGATTAGACAGATAATACAGCTAGACAGGGGATCGGACAGGAAGGATAGAAAGACACAGTGTAGCTGGGGGTGGCTCAATTAGAAATGGGATGTACTATTGAGCGCAGAATCCGCGCTCATACCGGGACCGAGGCTGGGCCACGGCGGGGCAGGCCTGGTGTATCAGAGAGTGTACCGATTAGTGTGATGCGGCACAGTATCCTTTGAGGGTCACGGAATGACATGACCTGGCTGTTTCTGTTCCGAGTGGGGCGGAAAGCCGGGGAAGGAGAGCCGCAGTATGCGGCCGCAGCCCGCGTGGAGTGTGTGCGGCTAGACGTCAACGTGAGCGTGATGGCACACCTCAGTGACAAGGGCGGGTTCATCTTGCTTTTCGATCAAGGTCACTCTGTCAAGCAGGTGGCAGAGATTCTCGGTGTAGCTCTAACTACTGCCAGACGGTGGAAACACCGTTATGAGCAGGAAGGGGAAAGGGGTTTGAAAGCGCGCTATGATAAGTGTGGAAGAAAACCCTCGCCCGCACATGCCATTTTCCCATCCTAGAACGCACATGGGGGGGGGGGGGTGGTTGCCACCCCCCCCGCGCCATTTCGTTCCTGTTGGAGATAGAGCTTAGCAGTAAAGACCAAAAAGATTCTTTGGGAAGAGACGAATCCAATGATACCCAGTTTTACCTTCTCAGGTCAGTCATTGACCTTCCAGGTCAGGTCAAACTAAAAAATGTTGCTGTTTTGGGTCACCGTTGGATATCAAGTGCGCTGCTTATCAAATACCGATGACGATGCTGTTTTCTGGTGCCAAGCCAGCTAGAACCTCTTTGTCACACTATCCGACCAGAATTTTGCTGCTGAAGTCATTTCAGGTCAAGTTAGGTCAAGGTCAATTATATGTGTTTGTATGTCTGTGTGTGTCTGTGTGTATACTGATGTGTGCACCGATTGTTTTTGGGTCCATATCACATGAAATCATGATCTGAGAAGCTTTTACCAAAAATGCAGTCAAAAAACTTCACAAAAAGTAAATTCAGCTTGCCTAAAACGCAATTATCTTAGATGACCTAGGTTGACCTTGACCCCTGTACATCGTCGAACAACATGTTCCATGATAGGTGGGAGGTAAGACTGGCAAAAAAGGCCGAAATCAGGGTGTCAAAAGCTCACAAGGCCCATGGCAAACGCAAGATGTTGAGAATTGGCCATTTGGGTCATGACATGACCTGAAAAACAAGGTCATATCTCCGAAACCAAAAATCACAGAAACTTGAAATTTTCAGTGGACATCAAGAAAGGATAGAGGAGCAGCTATACGAAAAATCAGCCTTCTAGCTCTAAAAATGTTGAGTGCAGAGCAGAAAGACTGCCTGGGGGGGGTGGCAACCACCCCCCCCCCCCCCCATGTGCGGGCGAGGGTTAATGAGGTTAGTACTTGTACGAGGAACATGTTTATAAATAGTAGAAAATGTAAAAACATGACCTTTTTTCCTCGAAAATTACCAAAACTAATGCTGTACAAATATATACTTTACTTGACGGAATGTAATATTTATTTCGACCACAGGTCTTTTTCAAACATTTTCAAAATAGAAAAGTGTCAAACTATTTACTTCAAGATAGGATTGATAATAATAGCGAATATTTTTTTCGGATCTCGCTTAATGTCGCAAGAGCCACAGCTCAAACATTTTATGTTCATGTTGAATGCTTGTTAAGTTTGTGAGACAAAATCAGAGCACATAAAAAAATCTAACCAACTGAACAATGGTTGGCGGTTTCCTGCCCTCTGGGTGTCTAAGAGACAAAACCTAAGATAAACGTTTTATGGTCTTTGTGTAACAGGTCAAATGCCAGTAAACGTTCGATTGCACAAATCATATCCAGGTAGATATCGTTTTTGCCCAGCAGTCAGCACGCCGTCTTCCCCGCACTCTTGCAAACGATTCCATGTCAATTCCACCAGTGACATTTCAAGCAGGTCAAACCAGTGACAACTACTCAACCAGTGACATTTCAATCAGTGACAACTCAACCAGTGACATCTGAACCAGTGACATCTGAACCAGTGACAACTCAACCATTGACAACTCAACCAGTAACAACTCAACCAGTGACAACTCAACCAGCGACATTTCAACCAGTGACAACCAGTGACAACCAGTGACAACTCAACCAGTGCGCTAAATGCATTGGCTCTATTGTCACAAACCACGTTGGTTAAGTTGTCACTGGTTGAGTTGACGTATACCCTTGTTAACATGTGCATTTTTTCATTGTTGTTAAATATGTCTTCACTACTCCGGCAGGTGTTTTTGCCTTCCGTGGAGGAAATGCGCCCCGACGAGGAGCGACCCTGGACTCTAATGCAAGACAACGCCCCTATCCACACAGTGAGGGCAGTCAAACAGTGGTTCGAAGACCACGCAGACTCAGTAAGTGGCATCATAAACCTATCATGGCTGCTAACTCTAAAGGCTGCCCCACACTGGACCTCGCATGCGGGTTGCGAGTCTTTGGGTTTTCGGGTTTCTTCAAAATCAATTAATACAATCTAGCTTAGCGACCCACACTACTATCTAACAAGCGAGTCTGCATGTTTTTAGCTTCCGAGCTACCTTGCATCGCATTCCAAAAGTTGATTTTGAGTCAACTTCCGATTTTCCTCGCTGCGAGGTCTGCAAGCTCTACGAGGTTTGCGGGTTTTTCGTTGGAGTCGAATTTTGGTTCCTTCATGCTGGTATTGCGACTATATGTAGTTTTCTGAAGGTGTACCGGCTTCACAGCATTCATGAAGTGACCATGAGGGTACGGTCTAATTACTCCTATGAGTTAGTATTATGCCCGCAAACTCAAAACCCGCAAACTCGCAACCCGCATGCGAGGTCCAGTGTGGGGCGGCCTTAAGTTGTGGTATGGTTTAGCTAGGTGACTGGTGACCTGATGGCATTATTTAAAAATATATTGAGATGCTGTTTATTTATTAATCTGTTTATTCATTTTCACCCCAACAGCAATGCATCCCAATTAGAGGAGGCGAGGCCTACGGCTATGTGCGGGAGGCCGCTTTGCCCCTGGTCGCCTCGTCCCCGCCAGTTATAGACTTATTGAGATAACTTAAACAATTATTTAAAGTTCTTAAGATGTCTTACAAAATTGCTCAGTAATGATCAAACACTTTCCAACAGGTGTTATTCGTTGCACCATACAGCTTCATAGTCATGACCGATGTGTCAACCTATATCACGTTACAGTGAGTAACAAACATGGTTTTGTTCGCAGGTTCGTGCCATCCCCTGGCCCTCAATGAGCCCAGACCTGAACCCTATCGAAAATGTGTGGTCTCTAATGGTTCATGAGCTGGAGGAGGAGCTGCGCCAGCCGGCCCGGCAGCTCAACCAGGACGAGCTCTGGGCCGCCGTCTTGGCGAAATGAGAGGAGCTCCGCCGCCGCCCCGGCTACTTCCGGAGCCTGGTGGCCTCGATGAGGCAGCGGCTGGAGCAGTGCTCCGAGGCAGCGGGCGGCCACACCTCCTACTAAACCGTTCTGTTTGTTTGTCATCTTATGTTAAAGAACAGTGTTTTGTTTATAAATTTTATGTTACCTACATGTGATAAGTGTGCAAGATGTATATTAGTACAAATGTGACTCAGTGACAAGAGGCTGATGCCTGATTTTTTTTTCGTGATGTGATATTCAGGGGGCTTGAAACGTCTCAACTATTAGTGCGAGCTAGGAGTGCTATGATCAGCAGCACTTGTATATAGCATCGCTGGATTATGTGCAGTGAGAATAGACTTGATTACTCAACCTTTTTCCGACAAATCCCAGGACTTCACTTGAAGAAATATATAGCTGACACTCCTGGGATGTCTTTTTTATTATTTGAAAAACTGTTAAGCTTCGTTTTTAGATGTAACTGCTACTAGCATGCAGTCATTCCTCTATTGGAGTCATTTCCTCTAACAATGAATTAGTCAACTCTAATTCATTGACAGCGAGAGTTTTATCAGCACCCAGGGCTTCGACAAATTTTGAATGACTCCGACTACTAATAAAACTGTTCACTCCGACCGACTACGGTTCCGGCTTCGACATCTTTTGCATTGAGGATTCCTAAAACGGTTGTGCAAAAGATGAAAAGGAAGATTGGTGCACTATGTGATATTTATTTTAATTGTCGCCCGAAGAAAGGGCCGCACTCTCCTGAGGTTTTTCACGAATAGCGAAAAAGGCGGCACGTAGTGCCGCCAGCTTTCCGGCTACCTTATGGACCATCCTTTGCGCAGCTTTTGGCGAAAAAATGACTGGGTCAGGTCAGGTAACAGAGCTATGACGTCACAAAGGTAACAAGGTCAGGCCGATTTTGCACGAAATCGTAGTTTTTCGTGCTTTTAACGATGATATCGGTTACACTTTGGCATTGTTTGGGTCAAAGTGCCTGACATGGCACTGACACACCCTCCATTGACCTATGTAGGGTCAAGGTCAGGTCAGGTCTAGTTCAGGTCAGTGACCTCTGGTGACCTCTTGAAGTTTGACTTTCCGGCGGTAATTTTTGGCCCTGAATTCGAATCTGACGGCCAAATAAAGCTCGGGCACTTGGTTTATTGAGCGTCTCAGGGTCAAGGAGAAAGAAGTCGCCGACAGGTTAGATCTCATTTCCGACCCCAACTGTCAGACGGCATTTTCGACCACCCGGGGCGCGAACGCGACCCCGCCGGCTTCCGGGCGCTCTGCCCCGGAAGTTATCGCGTGAAATGTGACAAACTATACACCAAAATGCACCAAATTCATCCAGAAATACGATGTTGAAAATTTCATGACGATATCTGCCATAGCGGCGACGCTACAGGCGCGCAAAGTTAAAAATGCCTATTTTCCCGAACTTTGATCTTTAACCTGCCAAACCTAGGTCAAATATTGACCTATGGTCAAAAGTAATGCGCGCAATCGCGAGCTCTCGTCGAGAGCAATGCGCTGTTTTTCCGCTAAGCTCTACGACGACGCGTTTCGAAACGGCAGAAGGGGTCGTACCCCCCCCCCCCCCCCCCCTCCACTGGAAAGGATGGCGAAATGCCGTCCACGGGCGAGGGTTAAATTTTTAAATTGCAAAGTTCTTAAGCGCCGATTCGGGCAACTTTCATAACGGTAATACCGAGGGGCACGCATTCGTGACGCATGCCCCAGCCCAATAAATGTGAATTGTTATGTCACATTGACGTTATGTTACCATTTAGTTTGGAGAAACAAAAAGTCTAGTTCAGACAGAATGGCGATGGCCATAGGGAAGTTGTGACATTTTCGCTTTTAGTTCGGCTCAGACTTCCGGTGAGATTTGTGCTTCCGGTACTTATTTAATAGGGACGGATTTTTTTATTAAGGTGAGCTGAGCATTTTGAGAAACATGGCAAACTTCCATTTATAGTTAATAAAAAGTGTGCTCATGGTCTGGAAGAGCAAGGTTAAGAGCAAGGAGCAAGGCCAAAAACATCAGGAGTTTTTCTATAAAACGTTGCGGTGAGAGCAAAGAGGGCGAGGAATTTAAGAACGATCCGAAACTACGTAACGGCACACCTTAAAATACAGAAGCCTCTTTAATCGCATTCCTACAGAAAGGGGTCTTTCCCCGGCTGGTCGGCCATATTACAGTAATACCTACACCGTTTCACCATGTCTGTGGCCTGCCTGTGTAGGGGAACAGCTATCTGCTACACCGCCCGGGCCCGCTCCCCGCAAACAGCCACCGTGATCAGTGGACTTCAAGCAAACCCAAAACTTTGCTGGAGAAATAATCTCAATATACACAGTACACACTGCCGCACTAACTCCGCGCGGGCTGCGACTGCATGAATCGCTCCCCTTCCCCGGCCTCCCTGCCCCACTCGGGGGGAGGGAGGCCGGGGCGGCTGCCTTCCGTGCGGCGGCTGACCCAAGTTCACCAGACAGCAGCCGCCTGGATGGGATACTGTTCCGCAGCGCACTATCGGTACACTCTCTGATACACCAGACCTGTCCCGCTTCGGTCCCGGTATGAGCGCGGATTCTGCGCTCAATAGTACGTAATGCATGAGTGTGAGAGGACAAAAACAGAGTCTTGTAGCCACGGACCAAGGCTTATGTCAACTAATTCTTTCCCGCACCCGGACTTCCCCGATAGAGTGGTAAAGATCAGGATCTGTGCAACAAGCTCTGCTTATAGCAGCATGTGTTTTGGCTTCGGAAGTCTCTCCGTATCATTAACCGCTCGGATCAAAATGTAAATCAGAAAGGTGACCTATCCAACGTTTAGTTGTCTAGCAACTTATTCATTTTAACGTTTAAGTTTCCTGACACTCGGCCATGTCTACACATTATCTTTTTTTAAAGGCTAATGCGGATATCATGTGCCTTTGCGTTGCCCTATAGAGCCAGCAGCGGCAGTGAGTCTCACCTCTGAGATGTTTTTGCGGCACTGGTCGTGGATGGTGCGGTGACACCAGCAGCACCTCTGACCGGTCAGCTCCGGAGAGTCGCCCACACTGGAGTCACACACCTCGCACGTCGAGTCGAACGGCAGGTTACCTGTGGAACGACCATATCGAACGCTCAGTTACATAAGGTATACATGTAGCTACGGAGATTATAATCACACATGACGAGTCAACGGCAGGTTACCTGTGGAACGACCATATCGAACGCTCAGTTACACAAGGTATACATGTAGCTACGGAGATTATAATCACACATGACGAGTCAACGGGAGATTAGCTGAGGGAATGGGTCCGCGGGTTAGCTTACAGAGACGCTTTGTGAATGTGAAGCAACAAATAATAAAGTTATACAGGACGAGTCAAACAGGAGATTACCTGCGGGAATGGGTCGGTGGGTTAGATTAGAATAAAGTCACACGAGGTAGCGACATAGAATAGGACGAGTTGAACGGTAGGTTACCTGAGGGACAATCATGTCGAGCGTTCAGTAACACAAGGTATGTGTGTAGCTACAGAAAATACATATGTAGTCACACAGGACGAGACAAGTTAATATCTGCAGGGGTTGGTCGGCGGGTTGAAATAAAGCCACACGAGAATTACTATGAGGATTATAAGGAAGGTATATAGCCCCAAACGATGAGTCATGCACTTGGTACCCAAGACCGAAACCCAGGGCTCTTTTTCCACGGCACACCACTTCCCGTTGCTAGCAAGTATCGACGCTCGCTTCCCATAGAAACGTAACCAGCTTTGCCGATTTGCTTACGTTTCCATAGATACCGAAGCATGAATACTTGATAGCGGCGGGTAGCGGCATGCCCGATGCCGTGAAACAGGGCCCGGACCTCCGTCAAAAACCGATTATCAACCAGCACCTTTCAGCCAGGACCGATACCCTGCACCTAGCAGCACCCAGTGGCACTCAAGCACTCCAAAGCTGTAACCCTCATCCCCATAGGGCACCCGGCTGTGACACTCAGGGTATATTGAGTGAGTGCCACTCACCCTGCACCCAGTGGTGCTTGTGGGACGCCTCGCGTGACGTCACCGCCTTGCAGGTCAGCTGCTTGTTGGCCGGACGCACACACGTGGGGCACGCGCAGACACCGCACGCGTCACAGAACGCCCCACGTGACGTCATTAGCAGAGACTCGCAGATGTTACAGTAGCTCGGCTGGAAACAGGGCGCCGCCGTTAGAAGAAGAAAACGGTTATAAAAACGGAAAACAGAACAATTACGACAGTCAATATAGTCGATTTATAGTCTCATCGGGACTCGGATCAAACATCGTGCGCTCAAAAATTGCTGACATTAAGTAATGAAAAAGGCAAGAGAGCAATACTTTCAAGACAGAATGTAACAAAAAAATTAGCCTGTTAACAAGAAATCTTGTTCGTCCCAGCAGCTAAGTTGATGTTTTTGATTTCCGTTGGTGAGAGCCCGGGTTCGAGTCGCGCCGGCGTTCCATACAAGACTCCAGACAGGGACGGTCGGCCCGATCTACCATACCATGCTTGGTGTGAGCAGCCAGTCAGTTGAAGTCAGCTGGGTGGGACAGTCGACAAGCCGTGTACGGCTTTGATTGGCGCAATTAGAATAGGCATCAATGGTTTCGTTTCTCGGAATAGTGCGATCTGACGGTGCGCCGGGTCGAGGTCGAGACCTATAGGGTCTGTTCCAGTCGCACTTCCTAACACCTCTAAACTCCTCCAAGAGCAAGATAGAGGAGGTTGGAGAAGGGCCCTCCTTGGCTTCGTAGGGGCTAGAGCTGCCACTGGAACAGGGAAGCAATCTTGGAGGAAGTTTAGGGGTGTTAGGAAGTGCGACTGGAACAGGCCTATAGTCTCTCGAAAGTATCGCTCCACTGAGGGGAGGGCGCCATCTGTCCCGGCCACGGTTGAGAAGAAAAGTTTGAGAGCCACTGGCAGCACTGACCGAAGCCTGACACGAGGCGGCCGCAGCCGGCGCAGCGAGGGAAGTGGTTGCAGAGGGATGGGGGGGAGGGGGAGGTGGTCGCCGTCCGGTGACCTGTGATGACAGTAAACGTATGGTCAATGGAAGCTGCCTGTCTCGCATGAAGATTCATGACATTTGTTCCATAACAAAACGGGAAACTCGACCGCGATCGGCACGCGAATGGCGCGACTACTACACGTTTCTGGTATAGCCCGGGAGGCACAGTTTTTGGAGGAGCTCCTCTAAAGTCGGGTTATGTCGGAATTGTTTTTCATTGTGATTTTACGCGCTTCACGCACATTGAGTTGACGGTAACTGGCAACCACTAAGGCAGACCAATGAGCTGGTGCCCGGTTGGTGAACCCAAGCGGCACCGGTATCCACCTGGGGCGATGGACTGACCTACCACTGACCTACGCAACAAGCCCTGCTTAGCGTAGGTTCCAGCTCTGTCAATCCGTCCATTAAAAAATCCCCACTTCATTTTCAAGAAAGATCGACGAATCGAAATACGAACAACTTTTTCACACGCTTAGGTATTCCATCCTATAAGCATCGAATAATCCGGCGACTCGTGCCCGTAAACCTGCCACTCTATCACGTGACCGCGCCGGGACACCATCGGCCAATCAGCGGACGCCGTGTACCGCCCGAGGGTATGCGCTCACCGGGTCAGACTGCCAGAGTGCCGTGCGCTGAGGACGCGGATCGTGCGGCGAGGCGCCATGTTTGCCTGAACGGTGAGTTTTGGTTTGTTTATATTTGGGGCATTTATGATATTGTGAATCGGTTGGTTCGTATCGTAGTCGTTGGTTGTTGGCATCGTGAGTCGTGACTTTATTATTCCTTTCGGATTCTTGTCACGCTGTATTGTAATAAGAGGTGCCAGATTCTAAAAATGGATGTCCAATGTCCGTCCGGTGTCCAGTATGTTCATTGACTTTCCGTCCAAAAATGTCCAAGCCAGCCATTTGTTCAATGATGTCGGAAAACTACGCCATAACTTACTCTCAACACTTCTTAAAATTCGCCTTGAATGCACTATTAACAGCCCAAAAGTGTATCAACATTGAGAGCTGAGCTCTCTATTCACCAATCTGAATCAATGCTATAAACGATTGCTTTGTACAAATGCTGGGGTAAAGCAGGTGATTGTCCAATGTTGTCCAACGCCTGCTGCCTTTGTCCAACCGGATTCCGAATAGGACATGGGGCAAAATTGGAATCGCGAAGGTTCAAGTTCCTATTGGCAATACTTATTGTAATGGGTTCTTGGCTGTTTGTTTTTATTTATTGCATTTCGGGACTGGGCTATGGGTCATGGCTACAATAGGTGGCAGGATGAGGATGACAATTTTGCGTCTTTCGAGTCGAAATTGTTGTCCTCATTGTAGGCATCTCACGTACTATGCGCCCGGCCCGGGGTAACTATTTTCCACAACGCGAGTGACTTAGGGGGAAGGGAAGGGGCCTCGACAGAACTCACTCCTATCTCCGAGACTGATGGTCCGACTTTCAAAATTCCAAAGGCGTGTAATTGTCCCGGAAAAAAATGACAGTCGCCATAACAGTCGAAAAATGACAGTCGAAACTTAATTTACCTGACATCGAGGTCATCGATGACGTCATATGCCAGTTTAAACTCTCCTTGTTCAAACTCTCCAGTTCAAAAATGACAATCGAAACTTAATTTACCTGACATCGAGGTCATCGATGACGTCATATGCCAGTTCAAACTCTCCTTCGTTCTCGCTCTTGCTTCCACTTCCACCTTCTCGCTCTCACTCTCGCCTTTTCAATCTCACTCTCGTCCTCCCAGTTCCCACTCTCACTATCGACCTCTCCCTCTCACTCTCTCTCAATCTCGCCCCCTTCCTCACTCTTACTCTCGCCCTCTCTCTCTCTCTCTCTCTCTCTCTCTCTCTCTCTCTCTCTCACTCTCACTCTCACTCTCACTCACTCTCTCTCTCTCCTCTCTCACTCTCTCTCTCTCTCTCCTCTCTCACTCTCTCTCTCCTCTCTCACACACACACTCACACACTCCCCTTCTCTGCTCTAACTTACCTGAGAAAACATGCCCGTATGGGACCAGCGGTGACCACGCCGTGTATCCCTGGCCATTACTCGCGGCGTTCGCTTTACCCAGCGACGCACCAGGAACCCGAACAGTAGCGCCACCAGCACCGATGCGGCGGCATCGCGAACTGATAGTTCCATCTGCCCCGTTATCGCCGCCACCGTCGGATCCGGCGCTGTCTTGTCCATGTTGGATGATATAACTCGCTGGAAAGAGGAATAGTGAACAGGGGTCATGCTAGTTGGGGGAGAGGTTGGGGCTTTTCCATATTTGGGGGCTTAGCTTGCGGGAGACAGGAGTAGGGACCATGCTAGTTTGGGGTGTAAGATTTTAGGCCTGTCTTTCCATGTTTGGTAAAGCCTGATATTCTTGAAGAGTGAGTAAGTGATTCAACTGCTTGGGCATGAGAGGGTTGACATTTTTTCAGGCTCAGTTTTGGTGGCTGAATTTCTGAGGAGCAGTGATGTATGTAATATGTTTCAAGTGAGAGGCCTGAGGATGTATTCAAGGCTCATGGCTGGCATTATACCAGTCAGACAGGGTCCAAGGCTCAGATTGCTTGTAGGTATGATAGCTGAGGGTTAGCTTGCTCATGGGTGGTGACTGGTGACTGAATCCTCCAACAGAATGGCAAAGGTCATGCTTATAAGTAGCTGAGGAACATAATAAGACAGCAACGGAGTACTGACCCAGCAGCTCACCATAATATTTTGACATTTTCTTTGGTTTGAAGTGAACCTGCTACCTATATCTACTAGCATGATCTACACAAGCTCACATCCAGACAAGCTAAGAGTCACCAGCAGCTCCCTATTTCTGAAGCTCTAATTTAATAAGAAACAATAAGTCAGCATTTAAAACATTTATTGCTCATTGAGACGAGTTGGGCCAAGTCAAGTCAGTCCTTGTCATAAACTGCACTTGGCAGTTCGCTACAGCATAAAGAAACTAGTAATAATATTAGGGATTAACACAAGTTTAGGCACAGCCTAGCTTCCAAGTCAAAAGGATTCCATGAATAGTTGGGAGCTGAAAACTGCAAAAATAAGAGATACAATTCATCCAATGAGCCTGCAATTTGGTGAATGAAAACTGAAAAGTGAAATTATCATCAGTCATAATCAATTCAAACATCCTAACAATTCAATTGGTGGCAATGCTTTGACAGACAATATCGGGTATAATGAAACAATTTATTCCAATTTAGTTGGAAGGAAGAATAGGTAAAGAATTGTGAGTTAAGTGATTAGCTACTGATTGCTGAAGGAAGTACAAAACAAAAAAAAACTATATTTTAACAGATCAGCAAATTCAATCTAAGCAAAATCATATTCAGCTTTGGATCCAGCACAGTAGATGGAATGAGTACATCAAAATGATGCTATGCTCAACTGATCAACATTGTTACCGCAGTCATGGGCCCTAAATAAAATTTCATCCACTTCGATTACACATAATGGAAACAGTGCATGTAAAGGCTTTTAGATGAAACTTCTGGTTAAATGTGGAAATAAACTGCTTTTTATAATTGAATTTATCAATTTCGTAGGTACCTACCCACCGATAAAAACCAAAAGAAACCAGTCAAAACACCCCCGAACTCTGCGTTACGAATTACGAAAGAGTACGCTGTAAGAGCCCATGTTGCTACAAAAGAACAATACAAAAGCCAAAAATACCAATGACGACAACCACAAATAAGTATATACATGCTAAAACGACGTACCGGAACTCTCAACTACTTCTGATGGCTGAAAATATAAACAAGGGCTCCGCCACCGGGGGGGACGGGTGGGACATGTCCCCCCCAACCAAAATGTTGGGTGGGACATACTATCTTTTGTCCCCCCCAATAATCGGCTCTCCCGCTGGTAGATAAATCGACTCTTGTTCCTGACACCGAATACAGAACATAGGTGCAAAGAATCTCCGAAGAAAAAACGTGATGAGAATCTAATTAACCTGTCGTCGATAACTATACCTATTGTCGCTGTGCTTTTTTTAGTCTTTTTCTGTTATGGGGCCTAGGAGTTCAGGTTTTTTTTAGTAGATCATATCGACAGGCGTTTTCGCGTTAGGTATATCAACGTGAGTCTACTGACGAATGTTCGCAATCATTCGGCCCATTCCGATGGTGAATCCAGTAGGTATAGGTATCCAGTAGGTATATCCAGTAGGTAATCCAGTAGGTATATCAGATAAGGATCTCTCAATCAATTAAACGCTCAATACGGAGATAATTCTTTCGGGTAAACGCGTTCGTTCTTTTAGAGGAAACTTCCAGCTGTCAAATAAGAATATCGCAGAACTGTAGGATGAGAGAAGCTGTTTGTTTCCAGTGTTTGAGAGGTTAACCCTCGTTCTTATGGTGGGTCGGATTGACCCACACCCACCCCTCAGTTTTTCGCAAGTACATAACTCGCGTAATAAGTGGTTTATCGTGTCGAAACTATTAGTATTTCCCGGGAATTTTACACATCCTCTGAAAATTTCATGATCCTAACCCCCATGGGCCATGACTTTTGGGCCTGTAGCCTATTTCTCCAGACCATGTCAGGCCGAAACACCGATTCGGTGTATGTCAGCGCACATTATCTATACGTTTCCAGACTTGTTATGTCATAAAACCGAGCCAACATGTTGAAATGACGGTAGACACATGCAATTATGGTAGGTGTCAAGGTCACATGAGTATCAGGTCAAGGTCATTATACCGTTAGATGAATTTGGTTCACTTTTTCGAGTTAGGCATGTTACTAGGAAACGTTTTGGGGATGATGTCGAATTAACCCTCGCCGGCCGAGGGGGGGGGGGTGCCGCCCCCCCCCCCCCCATAGGGTTTTTTCGCGATAGCTCCGAACACGCTGGCGATAGAGAGCTGAAACTTGGCATACCTGACCTTTGATTCAAGCCGGATCTTTTGACACCAACTGCATTTTTGGATCAGGTCAGGTCGACGTCATAAGTGAACCTCTGCACGGTCTTCAGATGTCGCAACTTCGCAACGCCCTGACTGCCTGAGATGTCACAAGGAAATGAAACTTGCAGGATCTAGTATCCATTATGAGTCTCACAACTTGTATATCTCGTATTTTTCCTAAAGGTCATATGAGGTCAGGTCATTTTCGTGACCTCACCATTATAAGTCAATGGGGAAAAATGAAAACTGCTATTCTGGCGCCGGGAACGATCTCCAAATATCTCAAGCACACAGAATCGTGATTTGATGCACTCCTTGCAAGGTTAGATGCGTCACTTTTGCAATGTTGACCTTGCGTGACGTCATTTATGGCGTCATCAAGGTCATATTAGTTTTTCGTCAATAACTCTTGATCAAATTGAGCTAGCGAGTCGGGAAAGCCACCACTGGACTCAGGAAGACCTGCCGAATCGAATGATATGCGACATGACCTCTTTCAACCAGCTTCGTGACCTGGGGGTGCTGACCTGACCTTGACCTTGGGTCAACACCCCAAGTTGACCTGACCCGGACAAAAAGTATATCATTCGACGCGCCTGAGCGAGGCGAACACGATGCGACCAAAATCGCGGCCCTGTGGCCTTTTTTGCGAAGTTATTCACCAAAAACTCAACCGTACCCTGGGCCACTTGACCTGACCTCAGAGGTCACCGGTTGACCTAGGACCTTAAAATCGGTACCAATCTCTGCGTCTCGTAACGGCGCACACGCTCGTTTTTTCCGCGACGCGCTAGCTCCACCAGGGGCGAAACGGCGATGGGGGGGGGGGTCGTACCCGCCCCCCCCCCCCCCTCGGCCGGCGCGTATGTAGAAAACCAATAGGTCCGGCGAGGGTTAAGCATCCATTTGAACATTAAGAAGTAGTTTTGGTACCAATGCAACATGTTACTTACGAAGCCGTCTGTGGTGGTTGACACCTTTTTTGGCTAGCCGGCGGGACACGCACTTGTTGATCTCACCTAACCTGACCCGATCTTCGCCAAATGCTAAAAATGGATTCAGATTCAGCGCAAAACTATGAGCTACATACCAGTAAAAAATTGAAGTTTGTTTTTCAAGTTTTTTTCTGTCTGGTGTGTCAATATGAGGAAGGTACAATCAAATATTGGGTAATATTGCATGGGTCAGGTTGTAGTGCATCGCCGCACGTTCTCCGACGCGGCGCGGCACTACCGCCGCTGGCGACTGGCGAGCGCTCCGACGCGGGGCGGCGCCACCGTCGACCTCAACGTGGCGCTGCTGTCGCAGCTGACGCGAGGCGTAGGTTCAGCGATATCCGCCAGATGGCTCTGCTCCACTTGTTCATTTTCTATGTCCGATTTATTAATGTTTTAGAAATGTATGTTCGTGTGTATGTATCATAATGTTCATCATCGTGTGGGCATTCACGCACTCTTCTAGAAAGTATCTCTCGCTCTGATATACGTTTTCTCACTGCCTTGTACTGTCTTTAACTTTGCCAAAACGAACTATGGTTTCATCGCTGCGTTCACTACATAGCTTGCTCATGCTGATTCAAATACATCGCTATCCTTGGCCGATCTAAGTGTTTGGGGGAGACGGCTCCACATCAGGGAACTTCCCAGCCCGTCGTTGTGTGGAATCCCAAGTTGCGAATCCCAAACACTGGAACGGCTTCATCCGGCTTAGAGCACGACTCGCCACGGCACCAGCCACAAATGGTGACCCCGACGTGATCGGTAGCTCAAGAAGTCATCGTCTCCGCCTCGGCAAGAAGAGGTCATCTTTGACCTGGCCTCCCCATCGCCTCGGCAAGAATGGGTGACCTTCACCCGGCTTCCGCTGCCGCGAACAGTGAATAGTGCGCTGGTGACGTGGTGAATAGTGCGCTGGTGACGTGGCCTAGCCTCAGCGCAACGAGCGCCTAACGCAGTGCAGCGCAGCGAGCGCCAACGCAGTGCAGCGCAACGAGCGCCCAACGCAGTGCAGCGCAGCGAGCGCCAACGCAGTGCAGCGCAGTGAGCGCGGCGAGCGCCTAGTGATTACCGACAGTCTTTCAGTGTGCCTCTAGTGTTAGTGTTTGCTGTATATAGTGACTATGCCGTCACCCATCGAGCCGGGGAGTGCCGCCCAGGACGCGCCGACGCGGCCATTCGCGTCGTTCCGGCTGCCGGCCTACGCACCTGAAGAAGCCGAGCTCTGGCTGGTGCAGGTCGAGTGTGCCTTCGCCGTCGCCGGCATCACGGATGACCACGACAAGTTCCGGCTGCTGGTGGCCAACCTGCCTGTCCATGTCGCTTCACAAGTTCGAGACGTGATAACAGCCGAGACCGGTTCGTTCTCAGAACTAAAAGGGGCCCTGAGCACGCGCCTGGCCCAGTCGCGCGCCTCACGCCTCGAGGCACTCCTCCGCGACCACCAGCTGGGCGACAGGAGACCCACGCAGCTGTTGCGCAGCATGCAGCACATGCTGGGCAGCGCGGGCCACGACCTCGGCCTTCTCAGGACGCTGTTCCTGCAGCGCCTGCCGCCGACGACCCGCGCCGCCCTCGCGCTGCTGCCGGAGGACACTGGTATTGACGACCTGGCCAGCGCGGCCGACCGCTTCCAGGAGGCCTCTGGCGGCGCCGCCGTGACTGCTGTCTGCACGCCGACGGCCGGTGTCGCTGCCGCCTGTGGCCCGCCGGCCGGCCCTGGGGTCACGCTCGCCCCGCCGGCCAGCGCGGTGGCCGCCGCCGGACCGCCCGCCGCCTGCGGGTGCGGTAACGCCGGCATGGCCGCTGCCGTCACCGCCCTCACCGCTGCGGTAGCACGAATCGAAGCCGTGTTCCAGCGGGGCGGTGCCGACGCTCCTCGGCGTGGCCGCTCCCGCTCCCGTCCGCGCCGACCCGCACCTGCCTCGTCTGGCAGTTCTCAACCGGCATCGGTGACACCTGATGAAGGGTACTGCTGGTACCACCAGAAGTACGGCGCGGAGGCCCACCGCTGCAGACCGCCGTGCTCCTGGTCGGGAAACTAGCCCGCCTGTCCGCGCTAGCGCCAGCGGAGACGGGCCGGCCAACACTGGCGCCCCTCTTCTATGTCACCGACCTTGCCCGGAACTGGCGGTTCCTCGTCGACACCGGCGCACAGGTGAGTGTCGTCCCACCACGAGTCGTGGCCGACGGCACCACCGTGCAGCCGCCCGACGCGCCTCGACTGGAAGCAGCCAACGGCACAGAGATCAAGCTCCATGGCGTTATTTCGACTTCGGTGCGTTTCGGAACAGTGGACTACCCATGGACATTCATGGTCGCCGACGTATCGATGCCGATCTTGGGAGCGGACTTTCTCGCCCATCATCGTCTGCTGGTGGACATGCGCCGTCAGCTCCTCCAGGCTGAACACGGCACGACGTGCGCCGTGGGAACCCGAGCCGACATCGGCTCCGTCGGTGTGCGCATGTGCGCGGCGCCCACTCTCGCAGACTTGTTTAGAGAGTTCCCTCGAGTGACGGCCACATCTGCGCAACTCCTGCCCGTGCGCCATAACGTCACTCACCACATCGTGACACGTGGACCTCCTCGTGTGGGGCACCCTCGGCGTTTGCCACCCGACCGCCTCCGCATCGCCCGTCAGGAGTTCGACAAGCTGATCAGCCTCGGGGTCGCCCGCCCATCCAAGAGCAGCTGGGCGTCGCCCCTCCACATGGAGCCTAAGAAGGAGCCCGGACAGTGGCGCCCGTGCGGCGACTACCGCGCCCTGAACGCCGCCACCGTCCCGGACCGGTATCCCATACCGTTCCTGCAGGACTTCTCCGCGAACCTGCACGGCTGTACCATCTTCTCGAAGATCGACCTCGTCCGCGCGTACCATCAGATCCCGGTCGAACCCGCTGACATCCCGAAGACGGCCATCGTCACACCGTTCGGGCTATTCGAGATGCAGCGGATGAGCTTCGGTCTTCGCAACGCCAGTCAGACATTCCAGCGCTTCATAGACGAGGTGATGCGCGGGCTGACGTGCTGCTACGTGTACATCGACGACATCCTCATCGCCAGCACGTCCGTCGAGCAGCACCGCCGTCACCTCCGTCAGGTACTGGAACGTCTCGGCAAGTTCGGCGTCACGATCAACCCAAAGAAGTGCGTGCTGGGCGTCAACCGTATCAGCTTCCTCGGTCACGATGTGTCCCCGGACGGCATCGCCCCGCTGCCGGAGAAGGTCGCCGCAGTCCAGGAGTTTCCGCAGCCGACCACGCAACGCCAACTGCGTAGGTTCATCGGCCTGGTGACCTACTATCACCGGTTCCTGCCTGGTGCTGCCGGCCTCCTCCGACCGCTTCACCACCTGCTGGACCAGAAACGCAAACGCGCGGCGCCGGTGGAGTGGACGCCAACCGCTGAGGACGCCTTCCAACGCGTGAAGGCTGCCCTGGCTCAGGCCACGCAGCTCGCGCACCCCACTCCCGGCGCAGCGCTGAGTCTGCAGGTCGATGCCTCTGACACCGGCGTCGGCGCTGTCCTGCAGCAACACTCGCACGGGACCTGGACGCCGCTGGCTTTCTTCTCGAAG